TTGTTTGTTTATGTGACTGCTCCTCCTCTAGGGGCAATTCAACATAGGGTAGGGTATAGAACACTTTCGCATTTTTGCCCCTTTGGTGGGAAAGTGTTATATGACATTCAGAATATGTTTATGAGCATATATGAGTAGATTCCCATCTTTATTTCACCCCCTGAAGTGTCCTACATCAATAGATATAGCACATATGCAAGAAAACACAGAATATGTTCCCATTCAATTATTTCTAGGTGAACAGACTTGTAAAAATGATTCCCAGCATCTTTTCAACAATAGGAACAATGTATCAGGAGCACAGGACCATAGGACAATATCCTGCTGCATGGTGTAGCCTCCCTCTCCTGGTGGTTTACCCCCTGTGAAAATTTTTCCTGTAGGACCAGACCTCAATTGAGGTAGGGGGTCTATTCCTATGTATATTTGGAGTAGATTTATCATATAGCTGGCCCAGGACACACATAGGATCTTGCTATAGAAACAAAAACATGAAAAATCACACTTTTGACATTTTTGACATTTTTCAGTATCTTACTCTTGCATAGATGATCTAGCCTGTTCATGTATCATTAGAATAGCATATATACTTGCTTTTTATGACAAGGATCAGCCCTACATAGGGCGCAATTTGAGATCTAATGTGAAGAGGGTATTTTTACTGATAAGGAGCCCATATTGTCAAAACATCGAAATTTAATAATCAGATATCTGGAGTAGATTCAGAATACATTCACTATCATATACCTAAATTTACAAAACAATCCAACAATAATGGAGTGTTGAGGAAGTGAAATAGATAAGAAATTGAGTGTGGGAAAGTTCAAAGACCCAAAACATCGAAAATGGTCAGTTGGGCAGTAGGACTTTAATGCTGGGTCAACTCAGATATACACCATATCCCTTCCACCACCCTCCAACCCCAGGGCAGTATGTAGTATAGGTTCCTTTATTAGTCTACCATGTATTCCACATATTTTCAATGAAATATTTGACCTGTATCATATATAAATGGGACTTTGTGTACAAAGATATCAATTGTCACTTTTTACACATATGTCATTTTACTTATCATTCAGTCAGTCCTTCATGGATCTTTCTAAACTTCAGATTCATCATTAGGGACATATATGAGAGGTATTCCAGATATCTGATTACTTATCACAGGCTTGATTGCTATGTAGGTTTCTTATCAGTAGAAATACCCTCTTCACATTAGATCTCAAATTGCGCCCTATGTAGGGCTGATCCTTGTCATAAAAAGCAAGTATATATGCTATTCTAATGATACATGAACAGGCTAGATCATCTATGCAAGAGTAAGATACTGAAAAATGTCAAAAATGTCAAAAGTGTGATTTTTCATGTTTTTGTTTCTATAGCAAGATCCTATGTGTGTCCTGGGCCAGCTATATGATAAATCTACTCCAAATATACATAGGAATAGACCCCCTACCTCAATTGAGGTCTGGTCCTACAGGAAAAATTTTCACAGGGGGTAAACCACCAGGAGAGGGAGGCTACACCATGCAGCAGGATATTGTCCTATGGTCCTGTGCTCCTGATACATTGTTCCTATTGTTGAAAAGATGCTGGGAATCATTTTTACAAGTCTGTTCACCTAGAAATAATTGAATGGGAACATATTCTGTGTTTTCTTGCATATGTGCTATATCTATTGATGTAGGACACTTCAGGGGGTGAAATAAAGATGGGAATCTACTCATATATGCTCATAAACATATTCTGAATGTCATATAACACTTTCCCACCAAAGGGGCAAAAATGCGAAAGTGTTCTATACCCTACCCTATGTTGAATTGCCCCTAGAGGAGGAGCAGTCACATAAACAAACAAAAAAGCAGTCTATTATATTATATTATACATATATATACTAAACTACTACTTATATATGCACAGGGACCTATTGTGGTGTGGTGGTGAAGCTGCAGTGAGGTGGGGAGGGTGTGGGAATAATTAATATTGTGGAGATTCCCAAAATGAGTGATGTTTTTGGAGTAGTGGGGAAATTCCCACAGTAGGTGGCTAAAAATGCAGTGCGGGGATAATGTGGGGAGGCCCTAATATGAGAAGCAATCTATTTTTAACTGATGTAGGCACAGTATAGCTAAAAATACAAAAAATGCGGAGTGTGGGAATAATGTAGGAGGCTGCAGGCCACCAAAATGGGTATGTTTTATGAATTACCACACATGGAATATATCCTGGAGCTGAGTTTCAAAAGTGCGAAAAATGCGGCTGTGTATGCTAGCATTTGGGATCCACCAAGGGATACATCTATTTGGATCATGGATAATTAGACTGAATGATGTATCACAGTTTTAGGGCTATAGTCCAGTTTGGATGTATCATTCTAGCTATATGGCCTTCTCACCCTCAGGCTGTTGTGTCCACCCTGTCATGCTGTGCAGCACTGACGCACACTCTTACTCAGTGTTAATTATGTCAGCTCCAGCAGTGAGCAATAGCGTGTCAAGACGTCAATGGCTCACTCTCACCTGTGTAGCATCGTAAGTACTTCGTAGAGTTGTGGAATGCTTACTGCATCCAGAATCCCTATAGCTACTCATTGAGTGGATCTTAAAATAAATTGCATAGGCTATGCGCTAGTGATGTCTCAGCTCCAAGCTGCATTTTTCAGAAAATGAGCATCACATGCTGAATAAAATTCCTAAATTCATGAAAATATTTATAGACATAGATTGAGCCAAAAGCCGGGAGGCATCTAAGGGGAATTTGTATTATAATGCATCATTGTCTTGCTATGAAGCAGCTCAGCAAATGGCTTGAATTTTGAGTCATTTTCTGAGCTGCTTCATAGCAAGACAATGATGCATTATAGTACAAATTCCCCTTAGATGCCTCCCAGCTTTTGGCTCAATCTATTTCCATGAATATTTTCATGAATTTAGGAATTTTATTCAGCATGTTATGCTCATTTTATGAAAAATGCAGCTTGGAGCTGAGATAGTGCTGCCATGGTCCGGTTCTGCAAAATCGTCGAACCCAGAACCGGACCTTCAAGAACCGTTCTTTGCGGTCCAGTTCGGTTTTTTTCCGGTTTGAACTCGAACCGAACCATAAGTTTTGGGTGCACGAAAAAAAACATTGGTATTACATCTACAAGACATCAACTACCTAGCCTAACTACATAATACTAGCTGCATGCCCCTCTGCCTCAACTGCTGCTGACAAGTGTCCATTATGATAGGCTGCCTTCAACACTTGCAGTGCAGAGAAGGTGGATGACGCGAGTGTATTGCAGCGCAAAGTCAATGTGATCCCCCCGCTGGAGAAAGCGCGTTCAGATGGGACAGCACTGCCTTGAATGGGAAGGTAATCACGCGCAACACGAGCTAAGGTTGGGTATTGCAGTGAGTGTAACTAATCAAAAATGTTAGCCAGGAACCAAAGAAAGTAATGATGGACTTACCCCCCACCACGCTACAATGTTGTCTGTTTCCTCCAATGGTGAAGTGAGGTATGCAGAGAGCTCTTGATGAGGGTTGTATGCGTGATGGTCAGTGGCTTGACGCGCCATGATCACATCACGCATCCAGGACTCACTGTACCGATTCGAAGGTTTTTTTGTTGACATGGCCATTGTGACATGCAGTCCTGGGCTTTGCAATGCTTCATAATACCTGTCAAACTAAGCACCTGTCTTAAGTCAGAGACTAGCAGGATAATTGAGTAGTACTTACCACTGTTTGAAGACGAGCCCTCCCGCTTGCAACCCTCGTCTCACTCCATCGGCTTTTGACATATGCTAATTTGTAGTTGGGGTCAAGAACTATAGCAAAATCAGAAATGAACTCGAGCGAAAAACGTTGATACTCACTGAGACAAATAAAGTAGACATCCGAGTCACCAGCTTTCTGATAGTACTTCTCAACATTTTTGAGGCCCTTCCTAATGGTGTCCGCAATGAGTCCATATTCCGGATTTCCCACCATCGTCTGCCATGTGTTAGTGAGACATTCTAGCATAGGTATAGTCTGCCATGCTGTTGGGCACACGACTGACGAGAAAGACTGTTGCACAGTCGCTGGCTCCTAGAACAATTAGTAAATAAAAAAACAGACATACATACAGATAAATACCTTGAGAACGTCATGCACAAGTCGTATCTTCCTCCAGTCGGCTTGATCAAGCCTGAAGTCACTATATGATTTGTTGCGTAATGTTGGGACTTTGTGACTCTCGTCAGCAAGCAGAGTGAAGCAGTTGACAGCCTGAAAAAAAAAGACATTAGATACTAAATAGGTGATTGTGTGTCACTTACCAGGCGAAGAGACAAAAAGCGCTCAAGGCACTTGAACAAGGATGCCCAGCGCATTCTCACCCAAGTCAAAATCTCACAAATGGCAATACCTTCTTCCTCGCACGATTTTCTGAAGAATGCTTGAGCTTGGGGTGATTTGCGTATCTAATTTGTTGTGTCAGTAAGGACTCAAAGATAAAGAAAAATGAAACTTTACCTGTTCAATGAGAGCCAGTGCTTTTCCAACAGTGTTGCCGACATCAAAACCATCTTCGACAATAGCTTCAGGATCATGTTCCAATGCAGCAAGTTGTTTGGTTAAGTTGTCAACATCAGCGTCCTCACCATGATCAATAGCGTGTCAAATCTTTCTGAGTATTGTTGCCTGAGGGGTGGGTGCAACCGCATCGATGAAGTGTCGTGCCGCAAGGTTCAGAATATGCTCTTGACAGCGGATGCGACGGGGACCCGGAAGCCAGTGGCTACCATCCTCATCTATGGTTCTTGCAACTTCTTTCATTGCAGTATCGTTGTTTGATGCATTGTCAGACATCATCCATCCAACCTATATAAGCAAAGTCAATACACAAAGTAAGACAGATTCTGACTAAATACACACCTTATTTTGAATATTATACTTGTCTATCGTTTCGATGAGTATATGGCCGATGTTTTGGCCACTGTGGTTGCCTAGTGGCATCTTTATTCCCAGATTTTATTTCATCGTCGTGATCCTCGTCGTCCAGTTGAGGGATGAGCTCGTCACAGGATGATTCTTCTGGGGCTGGGTTAGGGGGAGAAGAAGGTACATCTTCATCAGAGTCCAGAGGAGACAGAAACCGCATGACAGCTTTTTTGGGCGCCGGAGGATTGGTTGCACTGGATAATACACGCTTTCTTGACGCAGTGCTTGAAGATGAAGGCTGGGCACATGCATTGTCAGCATCCCGAATGTGAGCAGAGGGCTTTGAGGTGTGGGTGGAATGCCGTGAACCAGCCGTTACTAGCGCTGGTGTGTGTCCAGCCTGGAGCAACACAGAGAAGGCGTCTTTTGCAGTAGGTTGAGTTGAGGATGGAACCTGTGGCAGTGGTACACTATCGTCCGAATCGTTGTAGAATATAATATCGGAGGCATCCTTGAGGGAGCCATCAGTATTGAGAGCACATGAATCCTCAGACATTTCAAGGAGATGACTCACAATTTCGTTGTCAGGACCTCATTTTAAATCTGTGCACGGAGCAAGGAGACAACATGTGCAAATCCCAGAACGAACATATCCGAAAGTGAAAAGCCACTGGAAGATCATAGCTATCTAGGAATATGGATGACATGGTTAAGTATACGTCAGTCATGGTTAAGTATACATCAGTCATGGTGAGAGTCTGAGAGTGGGTACTTACTTTCAACAGGGCTGAAGGTAGCCTGATTAACTAAAAGCGCAAATCCCGAAGACAATAATTTGACGTTGAGACCGACGTTGTCGAAGTCGAAGTCGATAAGGGTTTGGAATGGTTCGGGAAGACCGAACCAAATTGGGATGGTCCGGGAAGACCTAGAACCCAGAACCATTTTCCAGTCCGGTTCAGGCTTCTGTAAGAACCATGGACCGGACCATGGAGAACCGGACCAAAAGTCCGGTTCAAACCATGGTTCTGGACCGGACTGCAGCAGCACTAAGCTGAGACATCACTACTATGCGCCATTCAACATAACCTCTTGGTCAAAAAGGGATTAGCGAGAAATATACAAGTATGAATAACAGGTCTGCACCGTGAATTTATCATAGTGCAACTGCTCAACAACCTCGAGAACTTTTGACGGACCAGTGCAGACAAAACCTTGTTACCTTTTGAAACAAGGCATTGAACTTGTTGACAATGTCCTGTCAATGTTTAGCGTGTCGTAACTGTGAGCTAATGCATATAATTACTCACCAGCACCATCCATGCCATTGTTTGTTTCCCTTCCTCACTTCCCTCTCGAGTGGCCCGGGATCGGATGTCTCAAGCTGCCAGGCGATAGCTCTGGGCTGGTCACCACTCAAGAGTCCCTTGCTTAGGGAACTTTCATTTACACCATGCTAACCTTCAATCCGAACACTGGTGTTATCAGCACCATCTTTCACTCTTTCGGTCCGTTTTTTCCACCTATCTACTTTCATTCAATCTGGTATGTGTCTTTCACTTTGGCCGTCCTTTCGGCTTTGATCATTCTTCAGAGCTTCGCTCCTTTGGTTCTGTCCTAGGGTGGTACTGGTAATCGCACTTCGTATGCCCCTAGTACTCTTGAACCAGAAATTATCGACTCTCACTTCCACGATATGGACCTTTGCATCTTGCTTCATCAAATGGACGATAGCACCACTCATAAAGTGGTGAAGAAGGCGCAGCGAAAAGCATTGAGGCAGCGCATCAAGAAACTGGGCATGAAATATAACCAAGATGTGCGCTCCACTGCTTATTCTTCATGTTGAATGCATCTTACATCCTCGCAGTCCATGTGACAGTACAGGAAGTCATCCCATGATCATGATCCTAGTGTCCATCTGGATGCGGACTTCCAGCCAGACACAGTAAGTTACTCCAATTGTTTGTAATGTTTGAATCTGACATCAACTCTGCAACAGCAAGAGCCACCTGAATGGGCCAAAGAGCTTATGAACGGAATGATAAAAGTGCAACAGCGTCTTGAAACCCTCAGCCCTCAGTCATTGCATGCGCCCATGCCACCTCACAGCCAACAGTCATATGCCGAGTCTGCTGTTTCTCGAGAGCAATAGCAAGGAGAGACAGAATATTCAGAAAACATGGATCAGTACGGCCAAACCCCGCGCACTCAAACTGTGAATATCAACACGCAGCCCACTGGCACGATTCCAGAATCGGTGTACCAAAATGAAACTGCTATCATTGGTGTGTGTTTTTACGCGGACGAGATGAATATCCTGATGAATTGTAGTTGAAGAGGATGATGAACTTTATGGCGATCACACTGAACTTGAGCAATGATTTGTACTTGCGAAACATCGATCAGATGCAGGTCATTGGGTCGTCCACAGGTTGGTTGATTGATTTTACTTTGCGCTATTTAATAATTGTTTCTTAGATTCTCGCTCCCTGATGGCTCACTTATGACATACAACTCGTATCCTGAACGGACGCTTCCCGATGGACGGGTGAGGAACCTGATATTTCATATGCTCAGCAAATACTGAGTTCTCTCACAGCCTCTTGGTTGGAAGCAAGGGTAGCATTCAATGTCACATCCATGTTCATGAACCGAAATTCAGAAACCAACGAATTTCTTTTCTTGATCAAGGTACATTTAATTCATATCCCATGCTATCTGCTTCATTCGATATTCCAGGCCATCACACTCTTCAATGCAGATCAACACGAGGAAGCAATGCTGCTCATCAAAGACCTAGCTGCCGCTTGTCCGAATATTGATCCTCCCGTGTGTTGTGTCATTTTCCAAAGCAAGTACATTCGGATACATCCCAGACACGCTCGAGGTGCTGATGTTTAGTGTACTTACGGTACAGTCCCATGCTTGTGATCACGTCTCGCTGAAACACAGACCAGTCACCTGCAGCAAGCCTTCGCAAGACAGATGTGTTAACTGCTACATAGAGAGCAGAATTAACAAATGAATGACTTAACCAAAACAATGTCCTTACCCGGAACCTCAAGATATCCTCCTTCATCGTTGAGAAACAGAATGGACCTCAGTTTTTGATCCTTCGCACTTTTGAAAATTATGAAAAGGTGACCACACCCTGATATGAAGAAGTCTGTGGGCTGTGTGAATGGTGTACTACATCTTCCATTCCCGTGAATGGAGTCAGATTTCCTGATGCCATATGTCAACCAGGAAGTGATGGTAAACTCGCACAGGAGGATGACTTTCAAGAGAAACATAAGAAGGCTGTAAGGCAGTAGTACCATTTAAGCCAAATGCAAACAGATTCAATAGGCACGTAGACTCACAGCCAGCGACCATCTGGACTCTTTTTGCTTAGCCACTGATTGATCAAATCCTGATCGAGATATATGTGCTCCCTGCCCGCCACCTTCTCAGCAACATTGGGACCATCATGGAGGAGCCCGCCACCAATGGCTGCTGATTTACTGCCAACAATCACTGGACAGTTGTTTCGAAAAAGGTCTCGAATTTCATCCATCCTTGTCAGCTGCGATTCTGGCATAGGATTGTCTGCGAAAGTGGAATTTGCCATGTACTCCAGAATGTCATTGTCATGAAGAAAACCTCGACAAGCTGATAAAATTGATGGTTTGGGAGAAGGCGACCTCCACTATTTTCAAGAAAGATGTAGAGAGATGTGTTGGCACTGTAAGGAGGAGGGTTGCATACAGATGAGTTTGCAGTCATGATGGTCGAATTTTGGTATTCACCTGAGGGGCTACTGGCCTCCAACTTCAACTCACATGTTTAGGGGTCTCGTCACTTGAACATGACCTATCATGACTATCTCATATCTGCTATGTGTCTTCCTCGAGAGTTGCGAAGAAAGACTATCTCCTGATCATTATTTCTATTGTGTCGTCGAGGAGACTATTCCAAATGTCATACATTGCCCGACCGTCTTGCATTATATGGTGAGGAGCACTCTCCAAAATCTCGACGAAGTTGCGGAGAAGCAAAGGGCTCAGGAGATCACCCAATATCTACAAACTACTCGCCCCACAGTTTCTGGCAGTGACTCCCCCGCAATGAATTCAACCTTCGTTGATGTACGTGCATACACAGCCTGTCAAGGTGGCAAAGATCCAAGGAGCAGGAGGCTTGCCCGAAAACACATATATATCCAGAAGTGCTTGGTTGACAACTGGATGAATTTAGCTTCAACCAATGGCACGATGGATTCCTATCTTTTCAGCCAAGAATTCTGGTAAGTAGCTTGACCTTTAGATTTTTGCTTGTTGCTAAATATGCCATCTCTGTAGGCTTTTCACTATCTTCATGAAGCTTTGCTTGATACGTGGGCTCATTGCTGTGGTCAGACTTGCGTTCACTTCACAGGACATTGATGTGAAGTATGGGGCTCATGGTTCTCCATGCTTGCTGACCAATTTCCTCTTACAATGGAATGGTTGGTTGGCTTGAGTTTGACGCCGGTAAATCTGTTCATCGCGCGAAATTGCCATACCGCAAATTGCATTCTATAGTGTTTTCAGGCAATTCTGAATTGTCTCCGAATCGTGGTTACGTGCGGATAAAAGGTATGTATGGAATTTTAACGAAAGGTATTGACACGCATCAGTGACCTTTGGACTATTTCAGGTGATTGGTCCTACCCGAATATTCGATTGATGGCTGGAGATTGGGCAGCCATTCCACCAGTGTGTCCTATGCTCTACAATGAGCTCCAGCCGCACTGTCTACGGATGTGGAATTCTCCACCAGATCCCAACCCTGCAAAAATAGAGACGATGCCATGGACCGGTGATTACAGATCCTAGATGGGCCGAAACAAGTGGAAGAGTATTAGTCAAGTTATTGTGTCCATGGGGGATGATTACGTAGCTGAATCTTATTCAAGTTGACAGCCTGACACCAGAGACATTGCCGGATTCCGTCCTGCCTCAGGTGTGAGTATCTCCAGTGGTCGATGGTACCACATCTTCTCTGAACCAACGTTCGACCGCAACCCGAGCGCTGAATACGCGAAGCCTAAAGGCTAAGATACTTGAGCTTAGCAACAGGTCACATCACGATGCAGTGCCTTGCAATCTTTTGCGGTCATATAGGCCTTGACGTGGCACAGGATCCGTGCCTTGCAGTCTGACTTGTTTTTGTCATTCTAGAAAGTGATGATTGACTCGCATAAAATCAATGTGCGATCCTGCTTGGATGATACTACCACCAAATCACCCTCCTCTCACGACTCCACATTGACATTGCAGCGCAATGATCTACAAACTCTTCTTTGCGACATTGTTGTTTCCACTCAAGGGAGCACTAATAAGATGGCGGGCAAACTTCACTCCCAAAGTTCAACTTGTTCCAGAATTGCCCTTGGTCGACGATTTACAACACGTCTCTCAGCCTCGGTCGTTGGTAGGTGTGTTGCGACGAGTTAACGCAGAAGAAGTATGTGCAAATTTACACGAGGGTGCTTGGACGCTAACTATCCGTGCTTCCTTGTTTCCTAGGGAATTGACGGGTTGTACAAAGGAATTCGTGAGTCCTTCGAGCATTCCGAATCATTCTCTCAAGATTTATAACTATCTTCCTCCGTGACACAGTCCCTACCCTCGGTTTCATGTTATTCTGGGAGCAAATGTCTATCCCGTCCATTGTGGTAATTGGATATCTTCACTTCGGGGTGTACGACCAGAGTATTGTTCTCATAATTGCTATCGCTTCTCTCGTCAAAATCATCGCAACCGTGATCGAGGCTGTCTTTGTCAATCGGTGCGTTCTATTGGGCAATCGTTCATTTCCATGGGCTGAAAAGGCATAAAAGGGCTGTAACAACTCGGGAAGACATCTCTTCATTCTCCTTACGACGAGCGCTTGATGCATTACTCTCTCCGACTGAAAGAAAGCACCCTTATCGCATATTTAGCATCCCGGGCTTGCTTGCGACCTGCACTTTATGGGTTTTGTATATCGTAGGCACAATTGGAGCACGCCACTTTCTATTCGTCAAAAAATTTCCGGAGAACTTTGGGAACTGGGAGGACATGAGGCCCCACATTCCTCTCTTGGTTGGGGCCGTGATTTTTTCGTTCGCGCTTAATGCTCTGGTGCTCACTCCACTGGAAGTTATGATGGTTCGATTGTCTATCCAAGCCAAGGCGGCCCAAGTTGTACTTCTTCTGGATACACCACCGGTTGAAACTAGCGGGCCTGTCAGGTAAACCCTCTCATTCACGTTTTCCGGGGCCATCTTAACATCCGTCATTGCCCCTCAGACTAAGGACTGATAAAGATGGATATACCGGACTTATCAGTTGCGCGAGGCTGATCATTGAGGAGGAAGGTTGGGGTGCGCTTTATCGGGGGTGGTGGTGGACAGCTTTCCGTGGTATACTCTTTATTTGAGTTCTTGCAGAGTATAGAAATATTCCTGCACTTAATAATTTGGCTTGACGTTTGTTGACAATATGATACCCACGGCACACGAAGTCCGGCAGTAGACCCTATACTTAGCCACGAGGCAGAATCCGAGATATCGATACGAATCAGCAACAAGTAGCTCCGCAAGCTCTCAAAGGACTTGCATTTCGTGCGTGGGCTTTGGTTGTGATCTCTACGTTCTTTTCCTACCAAATCTTATGCAATGGTTCCCTCAATTGATGAAGTCGAGGAATACTTTCAGTCTCTCGAACGCTTTCTGACAGATTCTCTGGTGGTCGCCTCGCCTGCTCTTCCAAACATTCGAGAGGCCGTTCACCGTCTTTGGGTTGATATCTCTCGCTTTGGGCCACCTGGTCTTTCTTCATTCCCTGACATCCATGTCCCCGGTCTTGGGGCATTTGAAGTTCCTCCACCCCCGCCTCCGCCTCCACCCCCGAGGACTCTCGTAGAGAAGGCTGGTGATTGGATCATAGAAAATCCATGGAAGAGCTCTAGCATAGCAGTAACAGCTCTTGTTGGAGCCGGCCTACTTGCTGGCTACACTACCTTCCATATGACGCACGCCCATAAGAGAAGAGTTCGGTCTACTACTGTCACTCCCGAGAAACGGCAGGTTGTCGGTAAGCACTTCTACCACTCGCTTGGATTGTCTTTCCATTGCTGATATCTTCCTAGTTGTGTTGGGTGGTGATCACCCACTTGGCCTCCCTCTTATCATTGAACTTGAGCAGAAGGGATACATTGTTATCACTAGCGTCTCCACACCGGAAGCTGTTAGTAGCATTGAAAGCAAAGGACATGGTTATGTCCGAGCTCTTGTCCTTGACCCTAATGAGGTGTGCAACTATTGAACCCTGCTTTCCAAGTTCATATAACCGAAGATCATTTAGCCTGGCACCATCCCAATCTTCCTTCGGTCGCTCGCATCTACTTTATCCAGACGGTTCCCGATTACAGCCGCTGGTGACCCATATGCAACCACCCCTTATCATCCCCTTCTGCATTCCATAATATCTCTACTCACACTGCCGGTTCCATCCATTCATACAGTACCGACCCCCATTGAACAGCTATCTTTACGAAGTACATATCTTCCGCATCTTCTCTCCACGCACTTTGCTCCTCTCCAGGCACTTCAAGCACTCCTACCATTACTCCGCTCGGATGCCCAGCGCGCATACGGACGCAAGTCCATCATTGTGTGTCTCCCTGCTGCTGATGCACGCGTTGGACTTCCTTTCGGTGGAGTCAGTGCCATGAGCGCAGCGGCCACTCTTCGTGCGTTGGACGTGTTACGCCGTGAGGTTGCTGTTGGACAAGGCATGAGCTCCATCCGTATCGTTGCTGTTGATGTAGGTGTCGTTAGCGAAACCCCCGTTTCCAGCCTTGAAAATTCACACGCAATGGACGACTGGACTCCCTCAGAGAAAGCAACATACGGTCAAGCATTCGCTGCGCTCGGAGAAACTAGCATGGGACAGTCTCGCAGACCGGAGGACATATCTGTCCTGGTAAATAACATAGTTGGTGTCGTCAGTGCCGGAACAAAGACCAAGATTGCGAGTAAAACGATCTGCGGTATCCGCGTTGGTTTTGTGTATGAGAAGATCAGAGATTGGATTCGTGGCGACCGATTTGCTGTTGGTGCCGGTGGTTCGTTGTTTTTCCGTCTTTTTTACGCATATATGAGAGCTAACAATTGTTGTCCATACAGCAGGGACATATACCTTTGCGTCATTCCTCCCTGGCATGTTGCTAGATGGATTGCTGAGTCTACCTCACATATTGGTTGGTGTTCGTAATCGGCTCTTGCCTGTGCCTCTTGCACAGCCACGCACAGTCCCAAAGGCGGCTCGTAACATTCCCTCTTCTACCGCGGCTTCTGTAGTTCTTCCATCATCTTCCTTGACAGTGAGCAGAACACACTCTGCTCCACGTCCGTCACCTCCGGAGACAGCTGCAGCTGCGCTCGAGCAGACTGAGCATCTTTCCGAGCCTGAAGATATAAGTGAACTTGGAACAAGCTCGGAGGTTGATTTCGAGAGTAATTCTGGGTATGGCGATGCATCTACAGTGGAAAGTAGCTGGGTGAGCTTGGGATCTCGTGGGCCCACTGATGAGGTTTAGGTCTCGCAAAAGGCTGAGTGCTTTGCGTGTTGCTATTTTATTGATTGACAAGGATTCTGATCACTGATACTTTGCTTGTGCGCTTTGAAATATATATTCTGTGTCGAACAAATATTACTCGTGCTCAGCACGTTGCAATGTGTAACCCATTTTCCTGTGGGCACTCCTTTGCTCTGAAATTTAAGGACGTGATACTGAGCTTGAACATCGTCTACTGGGAGTCTAATCTAAATATGGATAGCAGCTGCTCGGCGGGAAGATGGCACTGATTCAGGAGTTACTTTCTGCTCTTCTACTAGTTCTTCATTGATCTGCCAGGTACACTTTATCGATACCATTTTGGATCCAGATGGGTACGTCAATATCGGTCATTGTTACGGTTTGACAAAACCAAGCTACGTCAGGTCTCTCGCTTTGGCTGGTGCCCAATCCCGCCCAATTGCAACTTATCCAAAAGGTGTTGCCAAAGCAGCCTAAGACACGTCCAGTGTCCGCTGCTTCCTACCCAGATATAACTCCTCATATCACACTGGCAAGCTCGGGAAAGGCAACGCAGGATGCAATCCTACGAGCCATACCATCTACTCTGCATTCAATTCCAGTCGAGTTCCAGAAGCTCGAAGTCGGCTATCATTATTTTAGATCTGTTTTCATATCTGTAAAGAAGACGACTGAACTCGTCGCGCTGCATGAACATATTATGGCTGCGCTCGACAGGGATGGAGCATCGCCTTCAGCCCCAGCATTTCCGCACATGTCCATCAGTTATATTGCAGATGAAGATGGGGCTGCTGAGCGCAAGAAGGCCGTTGATGAGCTGCGGGCTATCGCAGTTGTTGAGTGTTCAGAGACGGACCTAGATGAGGCAGAAACAGTTGTTCTTCGCTGTGGAGACTCCGAGGAAGGACATGTGTGCCTTGCGGGATTTGAAGGCACAGAAATTTGGATCGTCCGATGTGAAGGACCAGTACAACACTGGCAAGTGTTACATAAAATAATAGTGACACCAGACGTTACCTAGGATTGAGGACTAGGTTCATGGTGAGATGAGACTCCATCACTGCAGTCACGGTGTAGGTTTGTTACATGATATACAGAACAAGGAGTTATAGTGATACAATCAAATTTCAAGATTAGTTGCAAGGTGCGAGGAATGATTGGTATGCGGACTAGATCAATGCGAATGAAAGCAAGAGACAAGCAAAGCTGCCAGATCAGCAGAACGAAAGAAGACGAAAGAGCAGGACGATAATGGAACGAAAGGACGGAAAGTGCGGTGGACTGCCGGAACGTCTAAAATATTACATGACGATATTAATGTCTTCGGTTTCGGTGTGCGAATGTCGGTGTATATGCAATTCCGAAAATTATCAGATTGATTTTCGATTGTCGTCACTGTGATCAAGAGTGAACGAAGATGATGACGAAGCTGTTGGTGGAGGTTCGTAAAGTGGGAGAGGAGTTGAGTAATCGATCTTGCGCTCTCCATTCGAGTAGAAGAGCTGAGAGTATGCGGGAAGACTCTGGCTGTATGGAGCGCTTTTATGGAGCTCTATTTCACCCACGATGGTGCGATCGTCAGCGGGTGGAATAATTGATGGGGCAGCCACCCGCACATGCTGCATGGGCAGTGAAAAGTGGAGGCGTTCACTCACAACCTCGCCGTCGGGTTGTTCGTAGACACACCGGAGCGCAATGTGCATCACGTGGGACACACTAAAAAGAGGGCTATTTTCAGATATGCGACGGCCGCGGAGCCCAGCCCAATCCAATTGGTGGGGCTCTGGTGCCAAAGGTACATTTGCCTCGAGCACATACCAGTTCTCTGATGAAGAACGAGTGGTCGCATCGCCTTCTGGAGAGTCATTCATGAAGATGCGACCGTCGCCAGATATAGTGTACTTCCCGGAATTCGAGGGATCAAAGAGGGAAAACGAACGAGTTGAAGTAGATTTGGAGGGATATGGATTCATGAGAAGGCCAATCTCATAGAGTGTATGCACAGAATGTGCGTTCCGAAGGGGGAGAGAAGGAGGTTGTTGTGTCCTAGGCGGGACCATAAATCGAGCTACGCGATCAAGAGAAGTAGTGCTCCTGAATAGACATGTCGTTAGCACCATGAATAGTAGATAGACAATAATGCAACACACCTGTACGTTTCAGTCTGTTCAACGTCAACAGTGAAATCAGTTATTCGAAGGCGCTCTCGCTGAGAGGTGTCCAGTTCGTTGCCTTGTAAGCGCAGGATAAGAGGAACGGATGTCTCATCCAAAGTCACTGCGGTAGGAATGGACGCGACGACCTGAATCTTCTTCAGGACTTCAGGCGGAATAGCCGTTTCTGTGTCATCTTTCCCTAATTGCGCATCGACGATGAACAATGCCATTGGGAAGACAGAGATGGAGGACGAAGAAGAGGGGGCAGAAGGAACCTCGGCAAAACGAACGAGAGTGACTGGACATCTTGGCGCGTTAATTGTGTGAGTGCGACAGCCAAAAGGTGAACAAAAGCTGCTAAATATAGAGGAGCTACCATCCTCAAGATAGATGAAAGTTGCAGTGGCATACAAAGCGTAGCGGGTCCCAGCTTCAACTACACTGCGATCCCCGTACGCAGATGTAGTCGGCAACCAACCAGGAACAGGGATGTCAAAAATGACATTCCAAGAGCAGGGCTTATTGGAATCTTCGTGCCCTTCGTTGGAAAGGTCAACGGGTTCACCATTTACAAGCTCACGAGTGATGGAGCAGAGCCGCAAAGGAGCATACCCAATGTCTGGGGTGATCATTTCGGATTGTCCCTCAAATGTGACGGTGAGCGATTGCATCAAAGCACGGGTTGTGCTCCGCCGGCGCTGGAACATAAACGAAGGTGAACTGAGCGAGATAGACACATGGCCTGCCAGAGAGAAGGCAGATCTAGGAAGGTCTATCAGCACAAGCGAGACGTTTGACTTTAGCAATTCTAGCTCACGAAAAGTCTGGTTCACCATACAATTCCAAAGAACCTGAAAATGGGATGATGTCTATCGACACAGGCATATTGACTGTCTACAAGGCAGTAGGCAAGGGATATCTATAAGAGACTGGAGATATCAGCGACTGAGCCAGGAGAATGACTTTCCTTTGAGCGATGGACATGAGTCGTTATATAGGATAGTTTTCGGTTACACGCACCCACGCATAGCAACCTGCAGGGTCTGAGACAGAACAAAAGGCGCGTGGCCCGCCATCTGGAACGGCTGAACTTCGGCATCAGCTAAAATTTGTCAAGGCACACTGTCCTGGTTAGACGAGAACGTTTGCTCAGCCAAAATTCCTTTTGTTTCATTAATCCGGTTATTGCCTTTGTGAGCGCACAAAAGCAAACATAGGCTTGGTGGCTGTGCACCTCTTGAGATAATTTTATGGAGAAGCGCTACTTCCAGAGCGCTAGAGAGCACAAAGCAAGCCGTATAAAGACAATGCTCCAAAAGCAGCAGGAGCAGAAAGATCTTGATGCGTCTGTCGCATCAATGAGCAGATGGCATACATGCATCGCTAAGGCGATAAAACGTGTGTAACGCTACAAAAGCACGTAGATAATCGCCCACAGATACCATATAAGCACGCCAAGTTGGTGTGCTTACCGCTCGGTACGATTGCGCGTTGATGACACGTGTAGGCATCTACGCAAACACCTTGGATACTGCCAGTGCATCTTCATCCCTCTTACGAAGCACTTTTCTCTTTGATGTCTCCTCCTGGGCTTCTTTCCGTTGACGGTATTTGTCACCCCTGGCATGCCTGACTGCTGAGCGCACGGAAGCAGGTGTAACAAATTCTGTTTGTGAAGTGAGTGCGTGAGTAAGAAACATATTTGCTCAAGTGTACGAACCAGGATTGGAATAAACGGTGGCGCCACCAAATGCTCCTTCAAAAATACGGATGGGCGTCAGCACAAATCGGGGGCCAATCTCCACGAGAGATGTCTGAGGTGGGCCGTTAGGCTGCAACGGATCCTTTTCCATTATCTACGGAGATGAAATGGAGTTAACGCTCGGTAACAAACCGAAGAAGCCAGCATACCTGGAAATTCCGGAACCAGATTTTGTTATCGAGGATAGAAAAGGTTAAAACGTGGTCGATAAACGGTTTGGCTTTCCGAGCCAGTGGGGGAACACCAAAGATCTACGTGGAGGAACGGAACATAATCAGGCGTCAGCGACCTTCCGTATGGCCCATGAACGTACATGCGTGAAAACCTCTTTGGTAAGCTTTCCCCACTCTGTTTCATCAAACGCTTTATCAAAGCTGAGAATTCCTCTGCTTCCTTTTAGACAATTTCCTGTCATCTTCAGCTCATCCATTGTATGCACGTTTTGAACGTGTAATTTATGCTGGGCCCATTTGGTGTTTTCGTAGCCCACATGTATAGGTCTTCATGTCTCCTTGCCTCGAAGTAAAGCGTGTTATTGCAGTTGTTCAGGTCTGCTATCTCAGGCAGGAGATGCAACTGTGACTTGGAATCAAGTTTGGAATCTGAGATAGATCCCATTGAGAACTGATGAATCTGTCAACAAAAGTGTCACTTTACCTTTCTTTACATGAGGTAGCAAAGTCTCAAGATCGTTCATGAGATGTCTCATGCGATGGGTGATACCCCGAGAGGAGAGTAGTAAGACGCGTTGCTTGTTTCTCTTCTGTTTAGGTTGCTGAACATCGTCATCGTCGACATCGATATCGTCCGCTTTTCTTTTGCCTTTGCCTTTGCCCTTGGCATTGATATATGCTTTTTGAGCTGTAAGGAGTGGGGCCATTTAGTTGTCTACAGCTGGTGTAGATTCAAAACAAGACTTTCAATTACATAACGATTAACAATTTTCAATTGGCTGACTACGCTACAGCTGATGTAACTCAAGCACTACATATAGTAAGTACCTCAACTCGGGCGCTCTTCACAGTGGTGCAAGTAGTGAGAACGAGAAAAAAGTCTGCTTGGTCGCAAGCAGATAGATGATTCCTCCCCTTATCAGCTTCTCTGGCGAAAAACTCCACCAGAGTTCACAACGGTGAACTTCCTATACGAGTCAGCTTGAGAGAGCAGTGTCATAGCACCTTCGAGTGCTCTCTACTCATGACCGGCTTCCCTGCCGGACTTGGCTTCATTGCATGCGGATGCACATAAAGATCAGAGCCATCAGAGCTTACCAGAGTTTGTAACAGAAAATAAAATCCGAAAGGCGACAGGCTGCGGACAGGGCGCCAGAGCTCAACCGGAGCTTGCTGGAGTATAGCCTGGGCGCTAGTTGGCGGAGAAGAGAAGCACAGCTGCTGCACGTCACAAGTACCCTATACTAGTACACTCCTACCTCGCTTCGGGGTAGAATTCCAATAAAAGGGATACCAATAATCACGCGCACGACCCTGGATGAAAATGTCACAAATGGGTAGGTAAATCAAGTACACACCGACCAGTACTGGCTTCGCGGTACGCCTGTAAGTCCCCAGACTTGCCCTGCCAGACGAATACTTGCATTTTGCGGAAACGCGCAACAAGTCGTCGCAGGAAGTTTTTGATTCGCACCATAAATACCAGAAAGCGTCGGGACAACAGGGCAAAAAAATTAAATAAATACTCGTTAGGTCATATCAACACCAGCGGGCAAGCAGAAAAAATTGCTTGACCAAAGACCAAAGACAGGAAGGGCGACTAATGTACATATCTGCGTTATGAAGGCATTGACCTTTTCACAGCCACAACATCAAAAAGAAAAAGAAAGCACAGCAACCATGCTTGAAGATTTGTCGACAAATGAAAACAAGTAGCAGTGCATGAGTCCAAGGGCCACAGTGCGCGCTCAAGAAGATGAGGTAGATGTTCGTAGCTGCTTCTGTTTCTCTTGTTCCAACCGCTGAAACAGCTCACGCGTGAGGAAATTCTCGGCGTTATTTAAACAGGAGCAACGTACGTGATACAGCAGTTGTACTGCCATCTGAATGTTTGCAGGCTGTCCAGTTATAACAACCAACCGCTCGTTTTCGTTACCTGGAGGCGCTGGAGCGCCGTTGATCCCGGCACCCGGTTCCATGATTTTGATCTGACTAGCGCTCATATGGCGAATTTCATTGATTTTACTACCCCCCTTCCCAATAATACAGCCCACCAAATCATTGGGGATGTATATTTGCTGTGTTTGCAGTTGCTGTGGTGGGTTAGGGGGTGGTGGGGCACCGTAAGGCTGCGATGCGTTCGCGTACCCTGGCACATATGACGAGCCAGTATACGGAGGTCGTCGAGAGTAGCTGGAAGGGCGGTAACTAGAATGGCTGGAGGACGAAGAAGGCATGCGTTCTTGTGCTTCGATAAGGATATTGCCGATGTAGTAGGTTGCTATATGGATAGCATCCGCAACACCTGCAACGCTTAGAACTCGCTATATTCACGCAAAACAATTAGTTGCTGCCTTGCAATAAATTCTTATACTGTACCTCAGTCGAACCGGGGAGCATGCCCTCGCTTGCATTCAGTCGTGCTCCGCTGGCATCTTGAATTTCCTTGATTTTTGAACCTTGTTTCCCTATCACAGACCCCATGCGCGAGTTTGGAATCATGAACTTGATGGTTACCGCACGACTTCCAGGAACTGAAGGTACATCGAAGGGTTCGTCATTGATCCGTCGTACAATAAGACCAAAAGCCTGTAGGTTTATTGTGATGAAAAAAAGAAATGGTAATAAGGTATCTGGAGCTTACCTTGGATACAGCATCAAGCGGCCCGCTAACATTGAGAATTCTCTCAGGGTTACCAGGAATGCTCTCAGAGACCATAACACGAGCTCCACTCTTGTCTCTGATCTCATTGACATGTGAACCACCCTTTCCAATGATGATTGACGCGTCCTGTGTAACGATCAAGCAACGCATATGAATCATAGCTGAAGGAGGGGCGGGAGCTGAGGACGAGGAAGGTGGAGCAGACATTGAAGTTGATTTTCCGGCCTCTTCAGAGCGAGTGCGGGACTCGTCGTGTCGATTGTCGGATGAAGTTTCCTTAGGAGAAGGAGTAGACGCAGTAGTATCTACTACGGATGCGGGAGTTTCCGTCATGTTCACATCGCGAGTCATAGACGTAGCGGTTGTTGAACCAGAACCCTGGTGTTTGTCAACTCGTGAGTCATCCGCGTGAGCCGTAGCGCCTGTGTTAGCACGCTTATGATGCTTCTTCTCGTCAGAGTCAGAAGGAGAGCGCGACCTCTTGCGATTGTAGTCTGCTTCTGCCATTTTCGAAATTCAGCTCAAAAATCTTTTCTGGTTAGGAGGACGGGATTCTGGAGTGATGGGCTTGATAGTGTGGTATCGTATGGTAGTGTGGTTTGAAATGTCTGATGGGGGACGAGTGGATGTGGTGAGGAAGACGGATTGCGAGTTGGATACGGATTGAATAGTACTGAAATTGACTTACCTCCTTTACAAAATTTATACAACGAAATAACCGTTGTTTAGTTGAAACCAGTAGCCGGGCCTCCTGTAGCGCAAATAGTTTCTACAACACAAGAGACGACAGTCTAGTATACGTTGGCTTGGGTTTCTTCAGAGACAAACACACCAATACATCACAGCCACAACAACACCCAACTTTTCTGCTACTAATGCTGACCATCCTCGACAACTTTTTTTGACCAAGGATCAATCCAACGTGAGGTCACTTATTCATAATGGCTGAAGCACGCGGAAAAGCATGGCCTCTTGCAGATGAGGGTCTAACTAACTCTGTAAGTTTTTTTCGAGAGCTCATCACTAACGACTGACACCATGGTATTGTAGATCTTGGACTTGGTCCAACAAGCTGGTCAGTACAAACAACTAAAAAAAGGTGCCAATGAAGGTGAGCAACGTTCAACCCCTTTTTCGTTCCCTGTATTTGATGTTCATCTCCACAGCAACTAAGACGCTTAACCGTGGTGTGGCAGAGTTCATCGTCCTTACCGCGGATACCGAGCCTCTCGAAATTCTCTTGCACCTTCCCCTTCTTTGCGAGGAAAAGGTACTCACTTTCTCGAGCTATTTACGCCGTTGACCGCTAACTGTTGACTATACAGAATGTTCCATACGTGTTCATTCCTTCCAAGGCAGCCCTTGGACGTGCATGCAATGTGTCCAGGCCTGTCATCGCTGCCAGCGTTACAACTAGCGAAGCTAGGGAGCTGCAAAGTCAGATCCGCAATGTCAAGATTGCGATCGAAAAGTTGATGTTCTGATGTTCTCACTGCGGAGCAAAACAGATAACCGCTGATACTACGGTTGTTATATTATTCTTAGTATATCTCCTGTATGATATGTAGCAACTAGATGTCGAACGGGTATCTTTTAAAGGCCACATTTCCTGATTTTCCAGTAAATGATGCGCGCTTACGCATTACTTCATCTTTTCCAGGAATACCAACATAAGATTCATGAGCCAGATTTGAACGACGGTTCGACGGACACTAGGATCACAGCTTCGTACAATTGCTATAGGTATCGATTCGGTATTTCCCGTACAAAGTCATCGGTTTGCCAAAATCTGTTCTCTCCCTCAATTGTTCAACACGACGAGCATTTAATCCTACATGGACACTGACACCTATACAGGAGGGAGATAAATTCGGCGACTACTCACTCGTTCCATGTCTCGTACCATTAGTAGCGAGCTGGACGAGTTCCTTCGACCACCAATTGTGCATGAAGACTAAAGACCCATTTGCATGCTGGTAAAACAACTGCCGTACTTATCCAACGTTGCATCGAATGGCACTAGGCTATCTCTCTGTCCAAGGTTTGCCAACCTCGAAGCCTCTTCCAATTAATCAGTACTCATTATCTCAACTGCGGTTGAACGTGTCTTCTCGCAGGACCGGCAGTCTCTTCACTTTACTCGCAACTGACTTGCACCATAAACAATTCTCGACCTCAGAGCCTGGGGAAGAAGAGTTCTTCTAGCATCTGCAAGGAATCAAAAGCGAGAGCGAGACGAAGTTAAAGATGAGGAGGGAAGGAAGAGTAGTAATATTTATTTGATTATACGGTGTTGGCGGGTGCAGGTTTGTGCGGGTACGGTGTCAACTTTCCGATCCTGGGTGTTACCCGTGCGGTACACTAAGAGGAAGATTCTGATGCCTTCGGAATAACCCCATGCTGCTCGAGGAGCGTTTCCAGCTCTCCAGATTGAAACACTTTGAATGGTTTGAGTTAGAAATATATTTGGCAATGCGACCCTAACTTACTGCTTAAAGCAATGTCGCTCCCACCTACAAATTCCCCGTTCACATACAGTTGTGGGATGGTTGGCCATTCCCTGCAAGAGAAGTACCTGAGGCTTGGTAATAGTGTCAAATGAAGCATGACTCACGAGAATTCTTTGATTCCGGTCCTGAGCTCTAGATCCTCGAGGACATTATATGTCTTGAACTTTCCAGGTGGAATGTCGAAAGCACTGAGGATCTTCACGACCCCTCGTGAAAAACCGCACATGGGCTGCTCTGGGTTGCCCTTCATAAATAGCACCACAGGGTATTCGGTCACTGCGGCCTGTATTTTCGTGCGAGACTCCTGAGATAGAAATCGACGGAACGTTTGCGACCTTAGACAGCTGGAAACATTGCTCCTGTAGAGTGAAAGCTGACGAAATGGTTAATATACACCAAATATGAGCACGCCTGATGGAAAGACATACAGATACAGATGTCCGAAGTGCGTTTTGGAACATTGCGAGCGATATTACTTTCCTACAAGACTACGCTTGGCTTGACGTGCAAAACAAGTTGGAAGCTCCGCCATGTGTGACTAAGCCCCGAAAATGGTCGTTCATAGAGTAAATCGTGCAAGTCGACATCTCAACATCCTTCCAGAGAAAAATTCGCACCGAGTTACTTCAGGTTACTTCATTATATGCATTGCACTTGCTACTTTCTGCATCTGAAATACAGCGCTCATGCAAAGTACGCCATGAATCATATCAATGAGCAACAGTGCCGTTGTAAATAATACACCCATCATCATCACTCTCAGCTTCGCAACCTCGACCGGGGAAAGTTGTGTCACTCAAAGCATGTGCATGCAGCTCTTGGACCACCGGCGATTTCATGCGACCAAAGAAACGGTAGCGCCGTGAGTAGTCCCCATACAAATCGCTAGGTTGAGGTCGGAAGTGGCTTCCAAGGCGTTATCATTGGACAACAATTGCACAAGTTTGATGATTTCTACAACATCCAGAGCTCTATATCTCGGTATTTCTGTGAGTGAAAGTCAATGGTTCACGGACTCAATGCCGCAACCTCTTCTATGTACTTGTCCCACTATCTTTTCCCTGCATCCATGACTGAGCATCTGCTCTGTTCACCGAGCACGAAAAACTACACAGGTAACATTATACAATGCAAGGGATAAGTACAAGGACATGACTTACAGTGAAATCCGAGAGCCAAAGTTTCATGGACTCATCGCCGCAACCTCGTCTATGAATTTGGTCCACCGTCTTTCCCATGCATCCATGGCCTTGCGCTTGCTCCGTTCATCGAGCATAGAATACTACCCAGGGAACATTACACAATGCAAGAGACAAGGATAAGGATATGACTCACAGTAATGCTGTCACGAGCCATCTGGCCGAGAGTAAGGAGTCCCGTAACTTCACTTGCCACTAGCACCTTGAAGCAAGTGATGAGTCTTGTTCTACTAAGGGACAACCAAGAAAGAGGTCACCTGGAAGAAATCAAAGGACAACCCCATACTATTGAACATTGCAGGATCGTCTGAAGACAGTACCACTGGAATGCCTTGGTTCATAATTATCGGGAGGGGGTGCATAGGCATCGATGAGGTAAGACGCTATCATTTGTTGAGTCAACATAGGTTCGGAGGCAGTATATAAAAATCCTACCAGCACTTCATTTCTATTGGAACATTGAGATAAGCTGGAGGCATCTACTTACACGGCTCACTCACGATATAGGGCAGACTTCAATCGCTATCTTCTTCTCTCGACAAATTTGCATCAATTTGGGATGCTTGGCTAGTGAAAATCTATACAACACGAGTTAGCGAGCGCTTTATGCCATACAATGCACCTAACCCGTGTCCGATACGCTTCGTTCCAAGCAGAATAGCATCATACAGGTTCATATCCGCTGCAGACCCATCGCCCAGAGTTTCACCAGCATGAAAAATGAATGGGATGTCCGGATGCTGCTCCGCGAAACGCAGAAGCGGCTCTGCATAATAAATCAGTGGTTTACACTCCTCCCCATCTTCGTGGCCCACGAGATCAAATCCTGTAAAATAGAACACTCAGATCTGGGTCTGTTGACATCAAACATAACCGCGGACTTGCCAGCAATAAGGTCCGGGAATTCCTGCTTAAATCTGCTGCACCGATCTAGCTCTGCTTCCAGTTCCTCGACAGAGATAATTCTCAGGGTATTATATATAATCTAAGAAAAATATCGGTCTGAGCTCGAGTAGCTTCGATCAAAACTAAACTAACCTTCAACCCGGCGAAATCGTCTTCCCGGCCTTTCGCCTTCATTTCTGCTTTCACTTCGTTTATGACCTCTCGAAATATCAAGAGTAGTTCACGTAGTTCAAGTTTGGTCTTTGCATCCTCTGCAAGTATATATCTGACGAAATGTCAGGCATGTCAGGCATAGCCGCGTCTTTCCGACTCACTTTTTGAAGAAACTAGTCCGTATCTCAATATACGAGATGCCATCATCTATCGACGAGCGAATGCACGTCCGCAAGTATTCCTTTTGAATCGGCACAAATCGGATGATGGGCTAAGGTTCATGAGTACAGGCTCACATCTTGACTTCCAGCACGCTACATGCTTACATCGGTCACGGCAAACGTACTCCCAAACTTCAGCCAGATCTGTGAGTCCATCGAATTAAAGACGTGTTCAGCAGGTCACATGTTGATATGGAACTCACTTTCATCGGCGTATTGTACGTCTTAAACGCATCACTGGGGTTGATCACAAAGGTGCTAAGCACCCACTTATCAAATCCGGCAGGGCCGCCTAGTGCAGGATCGAAGAGCTCTCGCGCCTTGTTGATAGGAACCCAGCCGCCGGTATATAAAAGATCCGTGATACCAATTGCGTCGGCGGCAGGATACTGTTCCACGGGAATCGGCTGGATCTTGGGCAATACAGTTTCGAGAGAAGCCGCGTCTAATGGACCCGGGACACGAATATGTATCGCGGGATGACCTAGTGCCAGATCAAGCACCATTCTGGCCTCCACCGAGGTGTTCTGGTGCAAATGCAACAGCCCACCCTTTGGCATCTACGGGAAAACCGCGGTCGAGATGGTAGGTGACGGGAAGTACAGTGATTTGGTATGCTTACTTTGGAGACTATTTTGCTAAAAAGATCCGTCTTTACAATAATTTCTTTGGCTGTACGCGAATGTGAGAGGAAGTGCTAAGCGCGAGTCAAGCCTCTTACCATTCAGGAATTCCATCCCGGGGTATGGGTGAGGGATGTTCTCGTGATCAACTCCCCAAACAGATACAGCTTCTTTAGCACGGATGGAGCGCACGACTTTGTCTGCCTTGATCTCGGCCGCTGAATAATTGGCACGAACATGGTCTATTCGCAGCGCGCGATCCTCTGCGATAAGTTTCTCACGTCTTTGTAGATAGTCGGCGAGCATCGGCGGGGACACTAGTGAAGAGGGGGAAGATGGTGGATTCCGTGAATTCGATAGTGTTATAAACGATTCCCATTGCGGCTCCAATGGCAAACGTTCGCTTGCACACATTCGCATAGCCCTAGATTGCTGTTTGAACCGTCGTGGAGATGGGCAAGCCTGTTGCAAATAAACGACATTTGATAACAAAAGAATGGGTGCTAACCGATTATCAAGGAGTTTACGCGAAAAACCTGAGCAATCCAGTAGACCGGGACACATGGAAGAACAACAGAAACCAACCAAAATTGTATCCAGTACCGGACTAATTGGTGCTCCGTGCGCTTGAAACCTGTAGTGCCAGAACGAAGCAGACCGTCAGTCCTCCGTTACTGCACATATGCATGAGCGCTTAAGCGATAAGCAGGCAGTGCCGTGTCACTGCCATGCCACGAGTCAGTTAGGTAAGGCCTTGAAGCCCAAATTTCCTCAATAACTTTGCATTCAAATGACTCATGCGGCGACATACAGTGAGAAATTGGGCCAGTGGCGATCAAAGGCTCAGCTCATCTACGCAAGCATCCGATAACAGGCCATTGAGGCCAGTAATGTGATATACCCAAACTTGCAGGCCGCCTCCGGACTCCGAAATAGAAGCCTAGCGACGTCCGGGCTTTCTGTGTGGAAGCTCCCAAGCTCCAGTACTTACATATGACAATGATAGCAATGCGATCGCGTGCAATCCGAATTGCAGTGATGGGATCCAAATAAGAGTGCAATTGTTAAAGCCACTGTACAGCAAACTTGGACTAAGTTGAAGTAGTGGCGGCGGCGACCAGCCAAGTCTCCGACTTTGGCTGTCCGTCTGTTACCATATAAGTACATTCCTCTCGGCTCAAGTCTAGTAGCCAAGCCTCAATGCAGAAGTGTTCGCGTTCTGCCCTACGTTGATGCTGATCTTACGCCGTGTTTTCTTCGTGGAGAAGTACCTGTAATGATCCAGCTGTGCAGTGTGAACCGAGAGCACGCTACTTATAAGTTATCATCGCCCCTCACTTCGAGAACAAACAAGTCAGAAAATCTGTGAGAAATTCAATGCTAGTCGTGGGAGTTGGGGACAATAGAATTCAGCGCTTTCAGTGTGCCGGAATACGCTTAGGCTTAGAGCTAATACATCATCCACGCTATAATTTACATTGAATCATCAGTTGAGGGTGGACGGCCGTCATCAGTTTTCCATTTCCACGAATTTATCGAAACAATTGTAACTTACTAGCTACGCTTCTACTTGGAATCATTGTAAGTCCAAGCCTCCAGTAAGGTCTGCACGAAGAAGCTACTGAGTAAATCTCTCGGATACAACGGTCACTGCGAATGACTAGTCAACGTCTTCCATCTCAGATGAACAGTCGTGAGATATCCCTCTCCATGAGATTCCTGAATGTAACAGGTGCCCTAATCGATCGCCATTCGGAGCTTCGTCTTTGGGTTTAATTGTCGCAACTAGTAGGCGCGTTGCATTATTGCTTATCGCGAACAAAACCAGAAGGTGCTCCAGTCCATTTCATTACACCGACATTCGCTAAATTTTGATTCACATGGGTGAAAGCAATGAATATCAGACCACGACTCACCTGGCCGTCTCTCCCATCCTCGTGCTTTTGCTTTAGCAGACGCCAACCGACCTTTAATAGCAAGACTTTGATCGATAAATTTGCGTATTTTTTGTGATGGGATGGTGTGAGCTGTCGAACGAACTTTGGACCCAAGTGAATCGGGCAGGGTACGGATGGTACGAGTTCTGTAATTATGGACTGGTCAGAAAGCTCGCAGCACAACGTCCAAGATGCGCACCCGACAAGAATGTCTTTGGCACGCGCAAGTGGCCGTCGTTGCCGTTTTCTTGATGGTAGCACTTTTTGTAGTGCCTTGGTTGCAGTAGAATCTGCCATTGCATGCGCACTTTGCGAAGCAAATGCAGACGCGAAAAGTGTATCTTCCAGATATTGTCCTTTGGCCGATGACTTCGTTAACGGAGGCCGATCTTCGTCTTCTGATTCGTCCTCACTGCCACTCGCCATCTCCTCATCCTCATCTGATCCGCTTTCGGCATTGAACTCTGCCATCTCTTCATCTATTCCACTTTCGCTTGATCCTCTGTCCATCAAATTTTCTAGCTCACCGTCGCCATTCCCGTCATCTCCGTCGTCAATTTCAGTAGCAGCGTCCTCCATTGCGCGGCGCATTCGCATTTCCAACCTGTTATCCTTAGGAACATCATCCTCCTGACCGGAGGACCCATCACTTTCGATATTAGATTCCCTTGGAACTTTCCGCTTTCCCTTCTGCATTGTATTATCTGAGAGCTTCCCCAGACGCGTGACAACCGCCCGCTCCTTCAATTTCCGATCTCTTTCCCGGTTTTGTGCCTTCTTCCGCGCGTTTTCTTCTGCCTCAAAGTCACGAAGGGTTTTCTTCTCTCGCTTGGCATTCCGTTTGGAAATAGAGTGAGAAACTGCTTCCGGAGCATCATCGTCGCTTGAAGCGGGATCAAGACGGGCCATATTGCAGCTATGGGGTCAATTTTTCTACTGACAGTGAGACTGGAAATACTTTGGAATGTGCACAAAACTTTTGAAACTCCGCGATATTGTTTGTGTGCACCTAATAATTTACTAAGTTACAGCTGCGCGCAACCTGGGCGAAATTCAGGAAATAATATTGCGTACATCTTCCATCATTATTCCTATCGTTGAAGATCGATGCTGTTGGAAGACAATTATAAAAGAATGAACATCGAAAACTGCGTACCACCTCAACCGCTATCAAATTTATCGATCAGTTTCAAGTTGAAGGAAATCAAACCGGATGATGCCCTTACAAAAGATGTAACGCCCAGTATATAACTGAGGTTACGAGGTTTTTGGCGCTTTGTCGAAGTGCTGTCCACAAGGAAAGCCGTTTGGCTGTTTCTTGCCTTTGAACAAGTTTTGACTGCACAGATAGATACCTCTGTCGAGCCATCCGCCTTTGTCCTCTTACCCGGGGCTCGAAAATGATCTTGGACAGTGGGACCTCGATGAAGGCCCTGCAGTAAACGCGACAGGACATCTAGTGTTCGAAACGGTCAATTCTCTGCTTCGATACTGGCCAAATACACGTCATCGTATTGGTATGTCTGAAAATACTGAATACCATGCAGATGAGTCACGACTCATCATTTACGTCCTGCAGGTCATACAATAGTTCCAAGGACAATTCCCGTGGGCACTCTTCTCTACCATGGAGCCGCCAGTCCCCCATTTACCAACTGCTTTGAATTGGGTGGCTGTAGAGCCAGAACACTCCATACTTTTCTGCCAAGGGTCAATCGAAAAAGGATGCTGGCACCTCACCCTTGCAGTCACTCGACCGATGAAATTTTGACGGAAGCAGCGCTGTGAGACTCCGTGAGGGCACCATGGACACCCAAGATCTCGTGGCATGGACGGAAATGAAACCTGAGCGGGTGAAAAATGAAGAACAGTGCATAAAGGATCTGTGTAAATGGGGTCAGAAATACGGCGTGAATGGTTTTGTGAGGTTCTCTGGATGTTAAGATGCGTCAATGCCGATGCTGATTTGTGGATCATGGGATGCAAATGAATTTGTGCGAACTCATGTAGTTCCTTGGTAATTTTTGGTTAACAACAGTCATAGTGAGAGTATGATCTGCAACTTCGACTCTCACATCGAGGTCGCTTCGTTCTTAAATCTCGAACGCACTCGCCTCAGCGGCGGAAATCCGGAGCTGCCTGAGGACCCTAATACTAGTGAGCGACCATGTCCATGTTTTGACGTAGGTCTGATTTATTCTCGGACAGAAGTGCATCGCGCTGTGGAAATCACGCGTTCTGCTTCATGGCACGATCATTATCCAGGAGAAACCCGAATTATGCTTGACTTTTCTGGGCTCGTCTCTTTCTGCGATACCGCTCTTGTTCCCTCATCACGAGACTGGCAGAAAGATGAGAAGAAGATATATAGTAATATATAGTACATAATCACAAACATCGGCGTAATTCTGCCATCGATCAATACATTGTGATGTTTGACCTTGTAGAGGAAAGAACATTGTCTAAATCTCATACACCGGTGTATAATCGGGAAAACACACACACGTCACTCAAACTCCAACGTGAAGGAAATGTAGAGCAAAAGCTAACAGTCAAGCTAGATGCAACACAATTGGCACGTCAGAAGTAAGTTTCACAATGTTTAAAGTCCCTCGATCCTGGGACAATGTTCTGAGCAAGACTTAAAGCTGATATTCTCCAGAGAACGACAAACCTTTTCTGAGCGCGCAAGAATAAAATTATATCATACTGTGAGTTTTGCTGCCAACCTTTCGTAAGTTGTTGATGTTTGTCCGCTATATATCAGTTGCGAATCTGTGTGAAAAAGCTGTATCATTGTATAGCAGCCGATATATGTTCACCAAGCAAGCAAGCACCCAATTATACCTTGCTTCGACTCTCCGTGCGACCTTCTACGAGTATCCCATACCTCGGCACCTGTATTCACTTGCGAGAAATCCCAAAGAGGTTGTGGCGTCGTTCAAACACTTGTGCCTTTAGGATGTAGTACCTTGGCTTGAGAGTTTATGCTAGTGAGTCGTGCTTCACCTTAGTACCTTACTTACCATTCATCCAGTATCTTACATGTTTCGTCATGCATAGATACCATTGCATTTATAGCACCTCATGCGACGAATTCTGTGTGCGTGCAGTCGCGACCGCGTCGGCTTAGTTCATCCGTGAAAGGACAAAGTTGTTGTTGGGGAATGTTAGGTATTTACCGGCTTCGTTTTGCTATGCTCGAGCAATCGCTGACCTAGTACATAGACTGAATGGATATCCTGACCTGTCCATGTCTTACGAATCGGGTATCACCTTTCAGCTTTCTTGTAATTCTCAACATGTAGATGGACGGAGAGAATTGATTCCGACTTTTCCCTACGTCATGGGGGTGGGCCTGTCATTTCGATAGTTTTTACAATTGTTGTTGCCTCACATTCTCTGTAAAATCATATGTTTTGGCACTTATCACGCTAGATTTTCTCGATGCAGCCTACAGAGCACAAGTAAGGGAATTCACCAGCTGTAGCTCAACCTGTACTCTGTAGATTGTTCACAACATGTGATGCAGAAGACCCAATCTGTTGCCTGGATTCACCAGGCATAGCTTAACCTGTAGCAGCCCCCTTTTGTTGCTTTCTTATGGCACGAGCGCAAATAGTCAGCCTGCTATCACTCCACGTCAAACAATTAAAACTTGGTGCAAATCATGACATTAATTAAAAGGGTAGACAACCAACTATTGTGATGTAATAATAAATGGCTGGAATGATGCGCGAACTACTCAGAATCGAAAAGTGCATCATCCAATCGTGCCCGCTGCATTGCAAGAGCATTTACGGACATGTGAGCCTTGGCCGCATCACTGAGTTCCTCCCGACGACTTGTACCAAAAACTTTCCTAATAAATAGAGGTCAGTTAACAGCTGTTGACTTGTAATCAATTTACCTCGTCCACCACGTCAGAAGTCGGTCAACGTTGCGCTGCGCTGTTCGACCAGGGGGGCGTTCAAAGAAGTCCACGATATTGCACCAGAATTGTATGTAATCAAAGTCGCCGTCTACTGACCGCCATGACGTTACAGAGGAAAGGGGGAATCGCAACTACATGTGTCAGGATTTGTTAGTGCTCGGTAAGGACATGGAAAACTGACCACTTACTTGACACGACACATAAGCGATCGAGCGAGGTGAGACTTTGTGCATTTTAATGATTTGAGCCACGTGTGTTTTGACTTTCTTGCCCAAAACATCCTTCTTCGCGCGTCTGTTGTTTTCGATGATGTTGGCACCATCACCATCACCAGCAACTTCCTTTGCCGAAGAGGGAGATGTAAATATGGCTTTGAATGCCTGCCAAAAATGAGAGCTTTGAGGATCTGTTTTAGTATGACGAACCTGAACTAAAAGCTTGCTTTTGAAGAGACCCTCCTCGAGATTATTCGGATCGGCTGTGTATCCTGCATAAAGAAATGCGGGCCATGACATTTCCGTCACGATATGGCCGTCTATGCAGTCCCTAATTCCTGCTCTGACACTGGCGGAAAATTAGTGTCTAGTAGAGAGATCACAAGTGCAATACTAACACTGGGTTATTCCAGTCTAGCTCTGTTGGACAGAGCAGTCTGCCACAGGCGTCGTTGGTGAATCCACGGCAGTGTTTATCTTCGGGGTCGACTGGGGGATCAGGTTTCCACTCGCGATTGACCCAATCAGGGACAAGAGGCTTGAGCTTCGAAGTGTCATCACCTCGAGCACCGTCCGCACCCTGTCTAAGCTGAAAAACGATTTAATATAAGGTTGATTATTGACACAAGCGAAGAACACCTTTTTTAACATGTGCGTATAATCTTCGTACTCCATGTCGGAAGCCTTTCGGTGAAACCACGGAAGTACATTATTGAGGACTATATATCCGGTTTGCAACCGATTTTGACTGGTATCAACCGGTCAGTAGCGATCAGTAGGTGGAGGTGAAATGCGGACTCGAAAGTTACATCGTCGTCGTCGCCCTCTATGTCACACCGCCTATCGTTTTCATTTATCAAGTCCTCGACGCTATCATATAGTGTAACCATCCGTCTGATGGCCCGTCCTTGTGACATGAAGTAGTTTGTTTCCCTGACAATGATGAGTATACTGAACTACATGTCACGATGGTGTTCATACCTTTGTTTCACCGCATGCCCCGACTCGAGCACTTGCAGCTTCTCCTCCAGATCAGCTATTCTGCGCCTCTGTCGAGCAATATCAGACGTTGGCACCGCTATGGACGATGCAGCAGCAGGCTGCTCGATCTGGGACGATGCTTCAGGCTGTGGGTTATCGTCCACCTGGGACATGAGCGAGGCGAGAGAAAGGAGATTGGGGAGTGGAGAGTGGAGAGTGGAGAGAAGGTAAGAGAGGTAGGAATAGAGTTGAATTTGCGTACCCTCTGCTTTATTTAACGGCCACCCAGTATGCGTCAGCAAAGGCAGCTGCCCTAAATATAATCATACGCCTACAATGGAAAGTGTCAGACAAGGAACGATTAATAACGTTACTTACCTTTTTGAGTGACAATACTTATGCAGGATATCATGTTAGCGTCAACGTAAACTCAGGAAATTGTCACATACCACACCATAGTACATCGGCTCCGAGTCAGGCTAGTACGAAGTGCTGCAGAGCGCTCTGTAGCACTCTGTAGTGAATTACGTTTGCCTGATGCGCCTGATGCTCATTAAAACTCGTCAATCACAAGTAGCAACCTTGACTGGCTGACTTAGTAACTCACTGATTTGAACGGCAGAAAGAAAATCCAGCTTCGTCTGGCTCAGGAAGAGTCGGAGGCACAACCTAAGGTCCGAGCGTTACTACATAAACAGGTGGTGCCACCTACTTACGCCGAATTCGGTCGTGTGCTGACTCTGCAAATCGCTGAGATAAGCTTTATATATTCTACTAATTGTGATAAGACTGGAATACGACGCATTAACAGTTAGAAAAGCTAATTAAGATGGAGTGGCGGGTGTGAGCAAGGAAGGAACAAGAAGGATAATGAGCGAGGGTTTGAAGGATGCCGAGCTCGATGTCAGCGGGTTGGATTGTGCCGCAGAATGCTACAGAGCGCTCTGTAGCACTCTGTGGTGAATTTGTGGGTAGGGCGAGAAACGGAAAGGAAGATTATTCAAGGGTGATGAAAAGTATGTGATGGAGGTAATTCTCCTTCAGATCTCTGGAGTGCCATTTGCACGGTGGTACATAGTGCTGACAGACTCTTCTGAGTCATCAGCGTTGGCACGGGCGTCCTTGACTTTTTGAAAATGACGCAAAGCCCAACGGCGAGATAAAGACATGCGTCGTCTGGCTGCCAATCCGCATGACGACGGCCCACCAACAACCTTTGCAACACGTGAGCCTTCTTCCGTAGACAGTTCATCATACGGTTCGAACTCCTCGTCTGTAAGCCACCTAATCGATTGTCCACCATCTGGGTAATATTCGTGAACCATTGACTTCCTTTTGGGAGGTGAGGAAGGCAGCTTCTTATGGTTTCGACCACTAGATTCCCTCATCTGCAACATCTCGCGCTGTATTTCTGCCAGGTCGCGGGCATGTTCGACTTGAGCGTCATACAACCTGCCTCGCAAATCAAAAAGTTCCGTGTGAAGGGTGTCGATTCGTCTCTGGGAGTCTCGCAATTGGGCTTGCGTCATGAGAGTGTTAGCGATAGTCTGATCGCCATTGACATCTCCTCGAAGATCGTAGACCCTCTGTTTAAGCTGTACAACGATTCAACACAACACTAATTATTGTCACTGACAAAGCTCACCCTTTTTGACATACACAAGTGATTGTCGTGCTCCATACTATCACTATCTGAAGACGTTTTGAGGGCCACATATCCGATTCGCAAACGATCCTGGCTTTAATAACAAATCCATGAGTAGCTCTCATAAGACAGAGATGAAACACTAACCTGAAGACGAGAGTTACATGAACGTCGTCGTCATCCTTATCGCAACCATTCTTGCCTACTAAGTCCTCAATGTTATCGAGTAAGGTAATCATTTGTCTGATGACAGCCCGTCCTTGTGAGATTGTTTTCCACCAGACTAGATGTAAAAGCGAGGCTCATACCTTTTCAATGTATGCCCCGACGTGAGGTTCTCTTCTAAGTCAGCAATTTTCCGTTTCTGACCAGCATTCTCACTGGCAGACGTCGGTGCTACCACTATGGGCGATGCTGCGGGAGGTCGTGGGGTGTTATCCACCTGGGACAATTCTTTGGGATGCTGATCATCCTCCATCTGGGACATGAGCAGAAGGGGGGCGGGGGAAAGGGGGAAGAGTGAGAGAGTAGGAGACTGATGGCTAGCGTTCACTAGCGGCTCTCACTATATTTAGTGTTAATCGTCAAACTTTTAGTATTAGCCAAAAAAAACTTCCCTGAAGACATTGACGTTCAGGTTTTCCATTGTAGGCGTGCGCTGGAAATGGTCTTGTGAATAAACTAGTAATGATGATCATAAGTGCTACCAACGTAATTGAATAAATTTATTGTTACATTGGCAGTTGACACTGAAAATTAGCTGAAAACGTACATGGATAAAAGAGTCAACCATACTCAAACTGGTGTGGGTGCCTACTAGGGTCCAAGGAACGGGCGCATCGCTCGAAGCCTAACTTGCTAGGCTGTAGCATATCGTCATCATAGGAATGTCAGCACTAGTACTACGTAGACACGCAGACCGACACCTGGGCTGAGGCCTTATATCCGGGTCCATCAGCGACAAACCATGATAATGTAGATAGAAATTAAAATAATTGTCCTGACTGAGTCGAGATGCAGATGAGAATGACGAAATCATGATGGATCAGGTCACAGAAGGGACTCAGAACGTCGGCCCTCACGGTACGGGTACGGCCGCATCAGGCAAACGTAATTCACTACAGAGTGCTACAGAGCGCTCTGCAGCACTCCGTAGCACAATCCAACCTGCTGATCGGCGGTGCTAATACAAGGCCGTTGAAGAGGTTGAAAAGGTTTCGAGGGCACATGAAGCATACATGATGGAAAGAAACTCGTTGAACCAAAGAGGGTCACGGTGACCAGCCTAGTAATCATGTTGTAGTAGCTACACACCGTACGTCTGCGGACAAAGACAGCTTGTAAAGCGTGTACATCGTACTGCTTGCCAAACCTAGTAATTGAAGGCTTAACTCGATAGAGGAAAAATTAAAAAGAAAGATGGTCATCGAACAAATCCTCATCTCCATCTCCGTCTCCATCTCCATCATCTCCATCCAGCTCCTCATCGCTAAGCTCATCCTCATCCGAGTCCTCATCCGAGTCCTGTTCATCGTCACGTTCTGCTTCTTCAAGGTCTACATCGTCAACGATATCCATAGCGTCCGAGTCACAGTCAGCTGGGGCCGCTACTAGTGAGCCAAGACAGTCTCTGGTTATCTTGCGCAACACTACTGGGTGTCCAATGCCAAAGTGAGTATAGCGTATAAACATATCTCGATCGACAAAGCTAACCAAAGACTCGAGGGTTAATGTATCATAAAAGGTATTATGCTAGCACACTCACATCCCAACATAATATGATTCCCAATCATCTAGTTCCCCATCAGGACGTCCCAATGATTTCCCAAGGGAAAGGGAGCTTATGCCTCGTCCCGCGGAAAAAGCAGGAATCAGGTGAGCTCCTCGAATCACCTGGTCTGGATCGAGAAACCCGAACGAGTCAGGGTCAGATTCATCAACAAATGCGACTTTCGGAAGACGAGTATGTTTCATGCTGCATTTATGGTTCCGTAATGGTGCTAGCCATCGGACCCAGAGGACTTCAAGACGGTGCTTTACAGGTTGATCTCCATCGTTGAGCCAGGTTTCCATATGGTAGATACCCAGCACGCGAGCGTACCAATATGGGTGGCTGGGTGTCATCTCCCCCGAAAGCACCATGACGTCGGCGTGGGTCCTAGGGTTGATCGTATCATATTCGCGTCTGAGGTCGTATGTAGTGTAATACACCTGCATGGTTTGGACTGAGTAGATAGTGTTATTAGGGATAACTACCGAGTTGTGTTCTTCATCTGTGAAGACGTGGTCGCAATGACTGGTGTCGAGCTTGCGCAGCCTATAAAGGATGTAGTCCTTCAGCCTTGGAATAAAATTCTGACGACTATTGTGAGAAAAGCGTTCCAACCGCAATATCATGCCTACCTTAACTGCTGGGTCGCCATCGTGTTCTCGAAGGAAGGGGAATAGGTTGACTGGATTGCTTTTAGTATTCGCGATGTGGTGATGGTTTCGAGAGAGCACCAAAGGCGTGGCTTCGGTAGGCGATTGGCTATCAGAGGAGAATGACGTGCCTCCAAATTCTGCAACACGTCGAAGTACACGGCGCCTCCGCTCGTGTTTAGCTAACTGCGCTGGAGTATCTAATTTACTGGTTAGCGGGTAAAATGCCTTTAGGGCTCGGTGTGCAAGCTCTCCCTGGCCAAACTGAACATCAGGTGGATAGTGTAAATAAAACAGGCACATACTATTTGAGTGGTGAAAGAATCCGTTGTTCCGAAGAGCTTGATGGTTCTAACATAATCTCCCATTGCATGGAACTTGTAAGTGCCAAGATTGAACTTCTTTACCCTCGATCCATTCACTTCTGGAGAGGTGGTATGGGGTTCTGAGTGCTGAGCGAGTCTTCGTTGGCGAGCCGCTTTTTCTTTCGGTAATTCGATGGTATTGAAGGCAGCACACGTGTCGCGTTGAAACTTCCGCAAGTTCTGACAGAGCTTCTTGAATATCTCGTCAAAAAAAGTAACCGTAGACTCTGTATGAATTCTAAGTTTAGCGAGCGCATGCCACTGTGCGAATCGATACAACAGAGACTGCACGATTGCATCGTGGTCTGGTGGAAACAACCCTTCAAAAACTGGAATAGAACACTTGGGGAACATGTCAGTTAGTCTAAGAAAAAACGAAAGATGAAATAACCTGTAAGATATCTTCAAAGTCACGCGCCGCTAATCGTTTCATCTCAGATGTGTTGTTGGCAAATTTTCGAATCACGCCATGACCAAACGTGGGGACCTGGCGAAATCTACGGTATTATTGAGAGTCGACGATGCATTAGTAAATAGTGACAGCACTCTATGAATTCACGAACCTGCTGTCAAGAGTAGCCACCAGCTGGCTACCCCCAGGAAGAGCATAAAGAAGCCGTACAAGGTGCGTAAACAGCGCCTTCCAAGTACCCAATTCGCACTTGTGCATAAGGTCAACAACGAGCATGCAAAATGGGTCGAGGCCGAGCGGCCCAAGCTTCTTGGCAAATTGATTCTAGGGGAACTGATCTCAGCTAATCACAAGTCGTGAAGAACTGTTTGCGCTTACGATGGTGGGTACCCAGGAACCCTCTCCAAGAGCATTTTCAACCTTTGAACCGAGTACAGTGTTTCCCCACCGGTAGATAAACTCGCGTGCTTTGTCGACTTTCGTTGTAGCATACACTCGAAGTGTAGCTATACGATTTTTCATGTCCTTAAGTAAACCGAGGGAACCAAACAATTTCTTTGGTGTGAGACAGCGAGGACATGCGCATGTGCCCATATCCTTGATGGTTGCGATCAAAACCCTGAAAAGTGACGAATGATCTAACGGTTCAAATTAGGGAAAAGGATGTGTTACAGTCACTACGTGAGCCCCCAGCTACACGACCTGCCCTCTGCCACCCTGCACGGCAACGATACGATACGATACCCGGGCCCCTTGGGCCTCGACGAATAGATGACGAACAGTTGACGAATAGAAGAGAAGTCCGGAAGATGCCGGATTAGGTAAGCGATCTGGATCGCTTACATGATATGACGACATAGGTCTAGAAGACCTATATATGTTATCAAGATAGAAGGCAAGCCTCGTGTTGCCTCGTGTACTGATAGAAGCCTGCCTCATGCATGGTATCTCTGACTCGATAGATAAGCACTTAGAACCCAGCTTCAGGCTGAGCTTAGATACGATAGAGTAGCCTTATATAAGGTCGATGATTAAAGTAGATGTTCCTTACTTTAATCCTACTGGGTTTACCATCGAAACCTTTGTCTTGCTAAAGCTACCTGCTCGACATCAGACCCGCACCTTCAGGAGGACTTGAGACCCCTTCTGCCTGTAACTCGCTATCATCGTTCACCTCCGTGAACGTACGCAACTCCTGCTCTTCTGTAGGAGCCGACCTTGGACTCTCAGCACGAGGTATCACTGTCGTGATCGTCGCTGTTAGATCATCCCAGTCCGCACGCGACACACGTCGTAACAGGATGGCTGTACTTCTCTGGATAATCAGCAGAATAGGTAAATATTCTTGGAAATACTCTCCGCAGGACTCCATCCAGACAAGTCAGAATGATACCGTGGCGGTATGCTCGAAGGAATTCTTCATCAAGTAAGATTTCCCAGCATGCATGAAATAACTCCCTACGGCAGTGTGTATGAAGCGAGGCCATGCCAGTCTTTGATATACCGGACAGGTTGCTTAATACATCTTTAATGCTGTCGGGGAGCTAACAAAAACCGTTCATGTTAATAGTCGAGAATCAAACCAGGAGGACTCACCGAAGGTAAAAATCCTACTAGATGGCACGCTCCCGATTGAGGTAATGATCGTGCGTACTTCGTCAGATTGCCGAAATACAAGTAGAGGGGCCATGCCTTAGCAGTGCCAAAATTTGCTAGGTGAGTGGCATCAGAAAAGAACATAAGACCCGCTATGACGCGTTCTAATGTACAGCCAGGCTCTTTGGGCAGCTTCTGGAGATCGTCCTGAGCTTCTAGCCAGGTATCAGAAGCGTAGAGCTCATCGAATATTCGCTCCTGGTGATCGTCCATTGGATCCTTCCATAGCCGTTTGAAAGGCAGTAGATGGAATGTGCCTGCTTGGATGTCTGCAAATGCCGCGCGGATCACTTCAACAAGAGGGCGATAATGGAATCTGGAAATACTATACGCCTTTGGGCTCTCCTCCCTTGATCTCGTAGGGATGTCGATGGTGACATCGGTCTCGATCCAGTCATCTGGGAAGGTGACTTTCTCCTCGCCCTTATCTTTATCCAATTCTTTCAAGTTCTTCCTAACCGAAAATCCCTCAAGATGCTTCGTGTCAAAATCGTCAGCCTGGAGAACATCACTGACGAGTCACTGGACCTCAGTCTCTGATTTCTGGTGACTGCCCGAGTTCATCCACGTCATGAGGCGATAAATAGTCATATTTGGAAATGGGTAGGGTGGCGGAAAGATCTTTGCTGGGGAGTCAGTTCCTTGGACGATTATCGGACACGAATTGGCAAGTAATGAAGACGGTACGAATCTATCGGGCTCAAATGAAGGACGGCGAGGGTATAGACGACAGATCCCAACCGAGTCAAAGGCGGTCTGAAGAGTATCTCTCAGCATAAGAAGGACACGCCGGATTCTGGACCGGGCTGGGAGTGGTTGAACAGGAACATTATTGCAGTCATTGAGATCCTCAGCTGGATGCTCGATATCATTGAAAGACCTTGGAATACGTCTCCTAGGAAGTACGGGAACTTCTAAAACCCAGTAGAGTGATCAGCAGACATCAAATATTCGGACATAAGATCTCACGATGACATCCATTTCCAAGACTAAGCCCATCGTCCATGTCAAAGTCAACATTTTGTCGCCTTTCCAAGTCGGAGTTATTAAAGGGGTGCTGCAACTCGGCAATTTTGAGACTCGGGCTGGGGACATCGGATGACATACAAGCTGCTGGACTAGACCTAGGCCCGGCCATGGGCTTACAAGGGGCACTGAAAGGCTTCAATGGTAAGATTCTCTATTGACAAGTTTAGTGATTCAACTCTGACTCGTCAGAAACCAATCGACTCACTTGTGAAGCGTTCGTGGACATATTTGCAGCTAAATGTGCTGAAGTCGCATTCCTCGCACGCTCTAGTCTTTTCTGTGTTGCAAGAACACTAGACCTCCTGAAAAAGCTGCAGCTCGCGCGATGTCTGTTAAGTCCTCGATTGTCTGTTGCTCTCTCCCAAGAGCAACCTCGAGCTCCGCAAGACACCATTGAAAAAAACAACAGGATCCAAAGTACTTTTTGTGAAAACCACATGAAGTATTACTGACGCCGGCTATACTGCCTCGTCTGAGCTTCCAAGTTCCGAAGCTTCGACCTTCAACATTCGAACGTTCCACTTCGGTATATACGTACATCCAGTGAGAGTTCGAGTCGGAGTTTCATGCTATCCGTATTTCAAATTGCTTATCTTTTTGCCTTATACGACGTAGGTTCAATATAGGAATTACAGTTATATTAATATTATACGTACACGTACTCATAAGCGACTGTTCAGCCTTTGGAACCTACATACTTGCCTCCCTCTTGATCCCCTGCCCACGCTAAGCATGTCCTTTCACAGTCCTTCTCATTCTTCCAGAGGGTCTAGTCATGAGTGTGAGGGCAGTGATGGGCCTAGTCGTCACATGACTGTGGATACACATGAACCTGCTCCAGTTCTTGATATGACGACTGGTAGAACTTTCAGTCGGCATGTCCCGCGAACCAAACGTGCAAGGTCACCATCATCAGACGAAACCGACAGCGACATAAACGAACCTGTAACTCCTCCTCCCATAATCCACCATCTATCTCGTTTTGTCAAGCATGCAAAATCAAACCCAAAGCCTTATGAGAGGAATGGCTCTACCAGATTGGAGCGCCGCTTTTTTAACAATCAGTTGCGTCACAAAGACTCAATGAGTCAGGAAGATGCTGAAAAGGTATGTTGTGATATATAAATGTAGAACTTGCTTATTGACAAAAAAATACCAGAGCAAAGATGTGCTTGAGCGTTGCCTGGGAAGGTTGTCTCCTGGGGCTGCAGCTCAAGCTGTCGTTACGATGCACGCTGACGTTGAATGGAGGCGTGTGTCTGCTCTGGCAACGGCGTGGGAAATCTATGCTAGTGAGGAGCACTTAAAGTTCCTTCACATGGTTTTGGAGGATGAGGGGGAAAAATACACAAATGCTTCTCAAGAGCCCCTTGGAATATCAGTCCAGGAGCTCGTAAGATCCGATGAGAAGGATATCAAGGAACAGATAGACTGCAGTGTCACAGCATATAGCGACGATATTGCATTGTTCTCTGTTGGAGATACTCAGCTGGATTATCTCGAAAATGCTCGTATGTTTTTTTTATATTGTGTGAGTAATGTTGCAGCTGACGATCAGCTCAAAGTCACAGATGTGACTAGCGACTCTGACGACTCTGGCATTGCGCTTACGAACTCGGAAGAAGACCGATTCCGAACAACCTCCAAGTTGGGAGGTTCTGCCGATGCCAGCTGAAGTAATCAGTATTCCTTTGGAGTCACCTAACTTTGCACTGACCTTGTTGGCGACAGGCCAATCATCGAGCCGTAGCAACAGGAAAGCAGCAGTAGAATCGCACTTTTGTTTTTGTGATGGATCATGCATCAGCGGGTTGGATTGTGCCACGGAATGCTACAGAGCGCTCTGTAACACTCTGTAGTGAATTACGTTTCCCTGATGCTGGGACAAAGTTTCCCCTGTAGTTACATCGATGATGTGGGGCGCCAGGCCCCACTTTTTTATTTGTTCTTCATTCATTCGAGTTGTGTCAGTATTAGTTATCTCTTCCGAGTCACCCAGCCATCCATTTGTTACGATAGCTTACAACATGACATGTACCAATTATTACAGCTGCTGCGGACGACTTGTTGTGAAGCCGAACGAGAACGGCACTTCAGAAGTTCAGTTGGATTATCGGATTATCCGTCGATTTTAATTCCGAAGCGGACTCAGTAAATACAATATTACCGGTCAACTATTGGGGCTCAGGAAATCAAGATCCAGCTTCATCTAGCTCTAGGGTCACTGACACGTTCTAACAGGTTGGGCTGGGCCGAGCGTTAGCTCGGGGTGGTACGCGAGCAGGTGGAGCCGCTGGGAGGGCGGGATACCTGCTCACGAAATTTGAACATGTCAAGGACTGATAAGCATTTATTCAATGAAATATGTAACGAAAGGAACCATTAATGTAATGATAATTCAGTAAAGAAAAACGGAGAACTACGGTGTGTGTGACACTAAAATTATAGATGCTTGAGATAACAAAAAAAAGGGAGTGGCGGGCGGGATTTGAAGACTTTGAAGGAACGAGTGAGGAGGTGTAGAGTACGACGAGCTCGACAGTGAGTACAGAATGAAAATGGATGAAGGGAAGAGTCGGCGCAGCTGCTCAGCTGGACCCGTGGTGCCGGGACATTCCGGCAGGCTGCATGACCCGGCACCAGTATAATGTTGGACATAAATGGAGGCCTCTCTAGACACGTATTTTGCAAATTCCGTGGATATATCGAGTGCCCTTTTCTCACGCCTCGTTTTTTCGTAGCGCTCATTCTCTTCGCGCGATCGGATGTTTTGTTACTTGTCTTCGTATTTTTTGACTGCTGATGAGTCCTCGCTCGCGCTTCAGAGGGTGTGTTTCGGGTGCTCGTGACTTTGGATGGCATTGAGAAGCGTTCTGAGCCCGAGTCAGTTGACAGCAGCCGACGCTGAATTCAAAATTGGCTGACCCGACTAATTTGGAATCAGTGGAAGGTTCCGAATTTCCTAGGCGCGAGGCTCGGAAGCTACTAGCCGTAGGGCTGCGCAATGCAATCGAACTCCATTTGGCGACGACACGAGTTGCACCTTGTTTCACCCCAAACCTTATGATAGCGGGAATTAATGTAGGATGCGTCGACTTGTCAAATCTGTATGCATCCCAAACAGGAAATAAGCACGTCCCTCCAATCGGACGCTGTGTCGAGCTACAGGGGCCTAATTCAACGAGATCGAAATAATAATATTGTAAGTTTTAATAACGTTGTCCAATAGATTCGGTATCGCGTCCGGCATGCCGAGCTTGAACATCTGACTACCGGTGGGGATACGAAGCATCACGGTCAATTTTTCCCCTCTACTTTCACCCACTGCCGCTTACAAGTCGTTATCGATCAGACTCTCGCATAATGGACATGTCAGATTTTGAATGGCAGTCTCATGCCGCCTTTGATCATGGTGATGGTAAGTTTTTCGTGTTGCATCAGCCTTCTGCACTCACAATCTTCAAGTTCACGCAGGACCCAGTGCAGGTCATCACACTTACGACAGCTACCCGAACACCCAAGGCAACATCGACTTTGAGCAGCCAGTCCAGCACTATGATGGGCCCGGTTCCCAATTCTCTGCCGGCGGCCATCTCGAGCTGCCATCACACGATATCAGCCACCTGAACGGTATTTATTTTGTGTATAATTGATTTCTGCCGTTCTAACTTCGACGATCTTTAAGTTCAACACGGTAACTACTTGGTGCCCTCAGGTAGCAGCCAGCAGGGCGTGCAAATGACGCTGCCACATTCTTTCCAAGCGCATGATGGGGGCGGCCATTACTACGGCGGTCACAACTACAACTTCACTCTATCACACGGCACGGACGATCCTCCTCCCCTTCCTGACACCTACCATTCCGTGGTATCCCACAGCTCAAACAACTCTCAGCCCGCCATGTCTAACGATGGCTACTACTTCATGAGATCCGACGACTCAAACGTTCAGGCCCCCCTTGACCCCATACCTGAAGTGACGACTCAAAAGTTGATCCGGGGTAGGCATACCTCCCGCAAAACCAAACGTGCCACCTCTACCCGGACGAAGTTCCTCAATTCCAAATACGTCACCCAGGAATCATCCCTGTCCATGGAACAGGCGTCCTCGTCGTTCGTCTTTTTAACACCGACGTTACTCCAGGATTTCAAAGGGGACGCTCGGACCGACATGTTCAAGAACTTATTCGAAGACAATCTCTTTCCGTCCGCATCTGAACTCTCCACCATTGCCAACAACACGCTAGACGCGACGATTGCTCGCTATACCAGCAATAACGTCAACCACGGGCATGAACTCATCCGTTGGAAATCGGGGCCGGACGCTAAGAACCTTCTCGCGAGGCTCAAAGCAATCCTGAAGGAGATACATGGCGACTTCGAGGAGATCGCCAGTATCTCTTGGATATCAGCTTATGACTTGAGCCTTGATCTATCTCTCTCAAGAGACGAAATGCAAGCAGCACGGGTCGCAAATATTGCAGCCCTGCTATCAGACTTTCTATTTGTGGATAAAATTGTTGAGGTAGGTCCGAGTTTTGTGATCAAACCTTACGTTTTCGGTGTTCACTATACTCTATACATTTTAGGTGACCATGGACGACGGGCAAATCAGGTTGTGTCGAACTCCATGTGGCCACAAGGCCATCTTTGACCTGTTAGAACACATCATATCCTGCAAGCAATACTCTCGTTATATTCCCCTCGATACAGAGTCTTGGCAACCCCTCCTTACCAACGTCATCGCCCTTGCAGTAACCTCGCGTGCTTGGTCGTTGCAAAAAGCCTTAGCGGGTCCTTGGTCTGCAGCTTTGGACTTTCGCGGCGAGGAGAACAAGGTCTACTACACGTTCATGAAGTCTCGTCTACGCATGTTGCCTGAGGATGAACGCTTGAGATTCGAGGCATTGATGATTAGCATGCATCGTGCACTACGGTAACTGGGTGTTTGATAGTGTATCTCCCGCCTTACTAGATATCTACTCTGACTCGAGCTCGCATATGTTTTCATCTCATCGGACTGACAGTCATACTAGTTCCTCGTTGCGCATTGTGATTGTGTTCAAGTTGTTTCGATGTCATACTTACAAATCTGTCTTGCCAATCTGTATAAGTACTTGTCTCCGAGCATTCAAAACATCTCCACTATGATCTTCGCGGCACGAGTTGTTAACGCGCGCAGACACCAAAGCGCTTGAGGTCTTACTAACTCCGATTTTGGTCGTTAAGCTTACGTACGCAAGTAGCGTTTCTGCGCTAATCGGTGTTTTTTCTTCATCAATATACCAACCGCGCCTCAGTCATAGTTTGTCTAGCACATTTCTGGTGACAAAGGATAGCTTGTAAGTACTTGACTGCACACTCCAGGATTAATTGCGTGATCATATCACTTCCAGCCGTCTCTTGCAAGTACTACTCGCTGGAGTGTTCACCTCCGTCTTGTGATACGTATCACAGCTCAGCTTGTTACATTTCGATCTCAATCGTTGGTCCATGGCTGCAAGCACGAGCTTGTCGTCCGCGTTACCAACAAACCAGACCGCCTATTTTGTTTTATTTGAAACAACAGTGTCCCCGGGTTATGTGCTCAAGCATCCTTTCGCACCTTTGTATCATGAAGGAACTACGCAGACTTGAAGTACTAGACCCGCCGCTTATACTGTATTGCACCATAGGTTCGGTGCACCATTTTCCGCGTATACCTCTTTTGGACGACATCCACGATGGGTATTACATTCCAAAAGGTTCTTTGATGCTCCCTAATATATGGTTTGTACCTTCCTCATCGCATATCCACTGTATTAACGCTTTGAATTGTGACAGTTTCATGCTCAATGATCCGCAGACATATAGCAACCCCTCAGAATTCAATCCTGAGCGCTTTTTGGCCAAGGATGGAAAAGAGCCTGAGGCAGATCCTCGCAGGGCATGCTTCGGTTTTGGTAGACGGTAAGGATCAAGTCGCTGTTATATTTCTAAGTGAAATGTTAAGGTTCTGTTCCCCAGGCTCTGCCCAGGTATGCGCAACTGACAGGGTGCTGACTGACAAGACAGTTTTCTGACCTTGGTTGCTTTCGACTGGACAGGTCTGCATCTCGCTGATGCATCCATCTGGATATGCGCCGCGATGTCACTTGTGGTGTTTGACGTTTCCAAGGTTGTCGAAAATGGCGTTGAAATCACCCCTGAAATTGACCCCTCATCCGGGTCGATCAGGTATGTTGTGTATCTTAATATGACCACGGTGCTCTGAACATACATACTCGCAGCCACCCCAAGCCCTTTGAGTGCTTGATCAAGGCTCGCTCTGAAAAAGCCTTGGCGCTCATTCAAGAAGATACTTACTAAGTATTGCTAATCACCGGTCAAACCAAATAGTGAATGTGTAATCTAGTAGTCAAGTAAACCGCTATGTACCACTTTGGCCCCAGCCGAGGTAGTGCGAAAGTTATGTAAAACACAGCAACACAGTGCCGATTGCAGCCTAATACACGAGCAGATTTGCAAAAGAGAGCGGGAGCAATTTTTTCAATACGCGTGACGCGACGCATTTTATCTTTCACTTCTTCCTTCTATTATCAAGTCAAGATTTAACGGTAGCATGGCTCTCATGTATGGGAAGGGAAAGATGCAGAGCATGAACCGAGTGAGTCTTCGATTGCTCGACAACAGAAATTTTAACTCTGACCTTTCGTTGCATTCTTTTCCAAACTCCCAAAGAAATCTCCTGAAACTGGAACGATCCGTCTATTTGATCGCACAGACTACTACTCTGTCCACGGGCAGGATGCTCACTATGTCGCAACACACGTCTTTTGTATCAACTCCGTCCTCGAGTATCTAGGTGCTGGAGGCAAGGCTTGTGGTCTTCCGAGCGTCACGCTCAGCCACACCCTGGCACACTCGTTTTTGCGAGATGCCATCATATCTAAACAGCTGCGCGTAGAAATCTGGCCAATGCCTGGGCAGGGAAGGAAAGCTTCCAAGTAAGTCAACATTTATGCGGTTTCTGAAGTCCATCTAATTCCAAACGTCTGCAGGTTCTGGCATATAAGACGATAAAGTTGCCATTCTGAAGGATTCTTTAGCCGCTATTGGACGACGCATCGAGATTGTTCTTCAGAATAAACAAGCCGCTGGAGAGGACCAAGAACGATGGCGTCGACATCTTTGGGTGTGAGTACTAACACCTAGACTAGTTGTATCGATGTTCATCTTTGACCGCAGTTTCGTAACACTTTTCTGGCCCAAGAAAGTCAAGGCGTCGAAATTGGGGGACATTCATACCAAAATGGTGATGAAGGAAGCTGCACCACAAGCGTCTGCGGAAGCCTCGACGTCTGCTAAGAAGCCTCGGCCCATTACAGGTGGCAAGAGCAATGGCACACCATCTACCACGACGAAGGCCAATGGCAAAGCCCATCGATAGTACTTCATTGATATTTTACTCATACTCACTCTTGTGCTTTGGATCTTACCCCCGTTTTTGCCGCTTTCACGCTCTCTGGCTATCACGATTAACTTTTTCAAGTCAGGTTGCAATATTTCACGATTCCTTTATCCTTTATGATGCATGTATCAAATTATCAATTAGTACATTCTCGACTGCGATGAAATTTTGATTTCTGCAGCTCCCCATTACAGCAAAATGAAGGGCTGCACTTACTGCCAATCAGCGGGTTGGATTGTGCTACGGAGTGCTACAGAGCACTCTGTAGCACTCTGTAGTGAATTACGTTTACCTGATGTGTTACAAAAATACATGTCCAGCACCAAAGGTATTAGAAGGGCTTGAATAGCATTGTAATAGGACAAATAAATAGGGCCAAATGGCAATACACGAAATAGTTAGGATAAGTCTACTACCACCCCTCATCGTCTGAAAAGGAGGAATGTCATAGCTTTGTGGCTAAATCTAATGGCATTCTAGATTAATTGACAAATGCCAGAGGCTCTTTCCTTGAAAAGGCCTTGAATAACATTGTAATTAAAAAACGAGACTAGGTGAGATGTCGAAGCTCAAAATGATTGGCTCGGGTATACTACCACTACTCATTGGCTGCAAAGGCGGAGTGTCCCAGCATTGTCATAAATCATTCATGTTAAGCTGGATTTACGAGCATACATGGGTATATATGTGCAACTCAAATTGCTCGCAGTATAAAAGCTAATATTTGGCGGCAGCAGAATTACATTGTGCTATACTTCCCACGGCTACAATATCGAGGACTCATCAATTCACTGATGCTCCTTGGTGCCGCGCCATGTAGGCTTAGAGCGGTGGGATCATCGAGTAGGAGGAATATCATCGGAGGATATAGAACGCGTCCAAGACAGGCTATCTCAAGCGTTAGCATGACCACCTGTGACAACCCGCGGCATTGACGGGAAAACGGTCTTGCAGGTGGTGGTTGATCGATATGCCAGCCGCCTAGAGTTTATGCACCACCTTTTGAACCTGACATTAAACGATGGGTCAATCTTTAACCACGCACAACAAATTCAGAGACAACTGCGCACTGTGCTTCTGCCCTACACTGTGTTTGCAGCTTTACCTCCCAATAACTCCGTCACTGCCAACGCGACAAATTCGTGGGCTGTGCCAGTTTTTCGGGAATGTTGCTACATCGCACACGCCTTTCATAGTGTCATGGAACGATACTGATGCTCTCCGAACGCTTGCTCCTGCAGGCGGTCCGGGAAACTACGCATGAAATATGCCGCGTCGCCACGAAGATGTGGGCATCTGGAGTGATTCTTAGAGTCGACCCCCTTTAGCCTCCGGAACTACGCCCTGAAACTGATCACATACGCACTCTCGTGGGCAAATGGAAGGAGGATGTGACACAGTTGCTCTCCTGGTTAGATTGGAGCGTGTGGGTGAATTGCCGACCGGCCTGTGGTTTCGAGGTAACAAATTCAAGTTACTTGTTTGCGAAATGACTGACCTTGTCGTGTAGGAGATGTGCTACTTGCCTACTTGGCCCATAGGGTTTTTCCCGACTCTCGGCGCACCACCTCAAGCTCAACGGGACAATGCTTCCTTATGGCCAGACCCAAATAATGGGGAATGGAGGTGACCACAGCCGAAGTGCATCAGACGGCTGGAGCCATATGGTTTTTAGGATACACGACTCACATGCACTATTGCTAACATATAGATGTCCTTGGTACGTAGTCTGACTTGTAAAATTATTGCACTGGTGTTTAAGCGCGCCGCGCGCGTGACGTATGTACTTTGAAGAAGTTTATGGTTTGAAATGTTTTGACGTGTTGGCTCTTAGTAGTCCTGGTCAGCCAAACCTGAAGGACTCGAGATTGATATCCATATACAAGGCCTTGCGCAGTCGAAAGTTTTCATTTACCGTCTGTGAACTAGTCCGGGGAAACAACATAGCTGATCTTTGTGGGCAATCGCGACCTTTATTTGATTAGAGAAACTTGAGGAATGAGCTTTGTGGGCAACCGCGACCTTTATTTGGTTAGAGAAACTTGGGGAATGAGAAGACAAGGTGACTGGGAAGAAGGATTGACTTTCTTGCGTGTTCCCCTCCTCGCATTAGAAATGAGATAGATATCTATTGACTGCATTGAACGATCTTATGGCAACACACGTAAAATGACTTGCGCCCTCAGTACTCAGTGGTCATAGCTAGGAATTTTATGATAGAGAAACCGATATTGTAATGACAGCACAACGCCGGTGTATCATATATGTACTGTATACTGTATACACATGACGGGTATCACCGTGGGGTAATGTGGGGTGTACATAAACCAAACGCCTCGGAAACATTGATGCATCTGTGAACCCAGGCTTGTGGCTCACTCCCCAAATACTAAAGATCGTCCACATCGACGACTTCTTCTCTCCTCTCCTCATGTTCGTCAGCTGCACTTTCCGTCCTCTCACTCGAGTCAAAGGCAGTCTCCATCTGGCGCGTCAAACTCCCCAAAAATAGAGCAGCTTGTTTATGCGGGAACGTGAACCCGCTCGCTAGGAAGCCAAGACGTTCCTTGAAATCATCGCTCAATTTTTCAAGCTCGAGAGGGGTATACTTGACGCGCCGGTCCATTTCCGGGTCTTCAGAATCTGACACCTCGGTGTAGGCACGAAGGGAGAAGGATATTGCTGATTTTCGGGGTTCAATTAAGTAGGCACGCATGGCAGGAGGGGGAAAAGGGGAACAAACTTACACTTCTCCACATTCTCCAATGCGTCGGTCTCATCCTTCACTGTCGCAACATACGTATACACACACGTGTGCACAATGTCGTCTTCCGCGCCCTTGCGCGGCTCCCATTTGACGTTTAAGACCAAGAGGTTTGAAAAATCCTCATAGAATCGGATGGTTGCAGTGTGTTCAGTGGAGGAGGTCTTGGTGTGGGGGTGTGGTTGTCGCGCAAGAAGCTGCTTTGAGCGGGCAATCTCGGCATCAAGTTCGACGCGGATATCTTTCACTGTACATAGGCAAACGATTCAGCATCACTACGGGAAGAATCTACCAGATCCAGCAATAAAGACGTACCACTTTGCTCAAGCTCGGCAATTTGCCGTTCGCGCCCCCCGATAACTGCATCTTTAGCTGCGAGTTCGTCCTGCATGTGTGCGAGCTTATCGTGCAACATGCGCTGTTCAGCATCAGCTGTAGCACGAGTGAGGAAGTGAGGAATGGCTAAAGTGCTCGAATTGAGGGGTGGGTGTGTCGACCTGGACGGAGGGTTGGGCTCAGGTTCAGACTCGGATATCCGGAAGAAGGGCGACTGGGAGGCAAGTTGTGTTTGAAGGGTTGATATGATTGATTGTTGTGCTGAAGAGATAATGATAGTGCAGGGAGAGGTTCAGGACTTAGTTTAGCTAGAATGCCGTCAAGTTGGTGGCGCTCACTTTTTGAACGACTATCATATAGAGCCGTAAGGTCATCAAGAGCCTGTTCAGCATCTGTTTTTCGGACCTGGAAAAGTTCCTCGAGTTGCTGCGAAAGTTTGTCACGCTGATGTTCCAACTAGTGGTATCAATGAGCGTCACTCATCCAAATGATGAAGGGCACGAAATATACATCTTTTGTCTTTGCCTTCCACCTTTCAAGCTCCTTGTGGATACGTGGGCTCAGGGGTATTGTATCAGGCTCATGCTCTGGTTCACTATGATTTGAGAGGTCTTCGGCGATGGGAGCTGGAAAGGGAAGTTTCTTGGCAGCAGGCTTGACGGGTTTTGGTTTGACGTGAGTGTCTTTTGACTTTGCTTGACTCTCTGGTGCTTTGCCCTTTGCCTGACTTTCTTGCTTAGACTTTGAGTGGCTATCTGGGGCCATCCCATTAGGGCGACTTTCGGATGCCTTGCCCAGCCCCTTCTTTCTCTGTGGACGGACCGCATTCGCGAGTGGATTAGGTGGCGGATCGATGAGCTCGATATCGTCTGAAGAGGAAGGGAGGGAGTGGGAAGATTCTGCTATTAGTTGGCGATTACTTGATTGCTTAGACGTTGACGGCTGAGGGGACACGGTGCGCTGCTTCTTACGAGGTTTTGGACGCGTCGTAGTCTTCCATGCATCTGTGTTCACGTGCGCTCATCAGTTGAGTTGAACTGGTATACGAAGGTCAAATATACCCATTTCATCGCCTGAAGACATTATGATGGCGAGCAGATAGAATGTGGTTGAGTGGCTACAGAGTCGTCGAGGATTTGATTGCAGAATGACTTTGTGCAAGTCTCGATTCTTGAGCATTGTCAACTCACGTGATCCATTATCGCTCACATGACTTAAATGCCGCGGCTCCTTTGCAACCACAGTACATGTTGATCGATCGGTTGTGATGACTCTCCTCGACGAGTACTACCACAAACGAACCCAGCTTATTGCAAGTGATCGAGCCCTTCGTATTGATGCGGTCAATGGAGATCGTTTCTCTGAAAAATCGCGACAAGCAGATGTGATCTTACGCCGCATCCGCGAGGAGGAGGCAAAGTCGATTTGGGCAATAGAACACGAGGAGGTCCCTCATCCGTTCCCCGGAATGGAGTTCCTCACGGGTATATTCAAGCCCCCAAAGCATAGAGTGTTAGTTGATATCTTATTGCGTAGGAAAGGATATCATCCTCAAGACCCAGCTCTTCAACATCATCACCAAGGTTTGTCCATCTCTGAGTACTTAGAAGTCTCAGTCACAGCCATTTGCATGATTTTTGTGACGCGTCAAATTATAAAGATGCCAAAGGGCGCACTGTTGCACGTACATCTTGATCTCACCGTCAATGGCAATACCTTGTTGGCGCTCGCCTTACAGCACACCTCAATCCATATCCGCGCATCAGCTCGAGTTACACCTGGCTCCATCAAATCAGTCGAAATTGAATTTCGTCCTCTCCCCCCTAGCTTCGTTCCACAGTGCATCTCGCTGTGTTTGCCCACCTACAGACCAGGACAGTGGGTACCCCTTCGCCGTGCGCGTGAGCAGTTCGATGCTGCCCTGGGTGGCACACAAGGCTTTGACCTCTGGGTCGCACGCTGCCTCACAATCAACCCAAGCGATGCATATGTCACGCATAATAATAACATTAGGGTGTGCCGCTTTGTATCTTACCAGGCAAAAGAATGCATTCATAATCTTCGCAAAGATATGGGACAGATTCCGTGCAGCTGCTATCCTCACAAGTGTGAGTACCCATATTTAGGTGTTGATAGATACCATACTCATCGAGGTGCACAGAACTTGGTGTACTTTGCCCCAATTTGGCGCACATATATCCGGCAGTTCCTCGAAGAAACCATTGCAGATGGTGTATCTTATGTAGAGGCGCGTATCAACTTCAGTCCAAAGTAAGGCTTGCTCTGTTAAGCTTTTCGTTTCTGATTGGCATACTGGTAGGTACATGATTGGTCCTGACGGGGAGGAAAATATCCCACACAAAGAGTGGCTGAGCATGTTCCAGGACGTCTTGGTTGAATTCAATGAGAGCCTACGAGCACAAGGAAGAGATGAGGAATTTATCGGTGCTAAGGTATTTGTTATCCTTCGACTCGAGTCTCAAGCCTATAAAACAATAGATTATATACTCTGTGATCCGGGACTGCGAGCCTGAGGAGTTGGAGTGGTATCTCCACGACTGTATAGAGATGAAAAAGCTTTTCCCTGATATCATCGCCGGTATGTTTTTGATGTTTTTGATTTTCTTTCGCTTCATAACACCAACAATGAACTGCTCCAGGTTTTGACCTTGTTGGGGACGAAAATATTCTACGCCCACTCAAAGACTACCTCCCGCAGCTTCTCTCTTTCAGCACCCTGCAAACCTCTCAAGGACTCCCAGAATACCATCATATCCCGTTCATATTGCATGCGGGTGAAACCACTGGTGACGGGTCCATAGCAGATGACAATCTATACGACGCACTGTTGTTAGGGACGAAGCGGATCGGACACGGGTTCTCGCTTGTGAAACACCCAAAGTTGATGTCGATGTGCAGGGAACGCGGTATAGCATTAGAGATCTGCCCAATTTCAAATGAGATCTTGGTGCGTTAGCCTCCCTCCCTTCCACCTCATCCTATCCGGGCACTGATTACGTGAGGAACGAGTAGAGATTGACGGCATCGATGCCGATGCATCCTCTCCCAATCTTGATCAACCATGGTGTACCAGTGGCACTGAGCTCAGATGACCCATCGCTGTTCCAGAACATGGGTTTGAGCTTTGACTTTTTCCAGGTTTGCTCCATTCTCATGCCCCCCTCTCATCGTTACTCAAACATACGCAACTACAGGTACTTGCAGCAAGCGAAGTTACTGGCCTGCTCACGCTGGGGCACATCGCACGGGACAGCATCCAGGTACACATTTCTCTATCACTGTCCCGCTTCAAGCAAAGACTAAATGTGTTCGGGCGCAGTACTCGATGCTCACTGCCGATGAAAAGGCGCGTGCGACGCTGAAATGGGAGGAACGCTGGGAGCGTTTCGTGGATGAGATCGTCGAATTTGACGGGGTGCGACAGAACTAATTTATAACCACATCTTGGATACCTTACACCTTGGAATGGATGATACTACGCAACTAAGGCTGCAGTTCATGCCTTCACTGATGTTCTGACCATGGAATGCAAGCCCTTCAGCGTCAAAGTGATGTTGTAGCATCAGGTCAAGTTCGGTCAAACATCACTGCTAACCAGGCAGCCACCTTGGAATTATCCTCCACGTCCGTCGACGAGCCTCACATTTATGGGATGTATAACCGCATACGTGGCATTCAAGCCAAAGGGAACATGCTAGCGACGAATTTGCACACCGTGTGGTTGCAGAAGTACTGAATCCAGACCCTCCAAGTTATATATTGCTTGGAGTCAAGTCAGATCTTTTCGAATTCCTCTGCTGGTTCCCTCGTTAGCTTGTCCCCTGGATTTTGGGATCGCGGATGGTGTGGAAGAAGACTGGGCCATCTGTGTAGCCACCGCGTACTATCTTGTTCGCCATGGAAAAGTGACATGATGGGTCAGACCGTGATTATGAGGGCACGTTCTAGTGTAAGATAACACCCGAGAACCATTGACGTGGCGATCATTGGTTGCATCCCCTTTCGACTTGCCCTCGGTATCAGATGTCCGTGTCGGGGTCACGGAGTTCTGATTATTATATATGCAGGTCGGGTGGTGACTGGAGCCCTCAGATACGAAGAATCGACTACCTCGTCTGGGAATCATGTCTGGAAAAGTCATTTTAGTAACCGGCTGTTCAAAAGGCGGTATCGGTTTTTATCTGTATGTCCTTCGTTTCCAAGGAGTTCGGGCACTCCAACTCATAATAACAGATGCGAGCGCTTTTCTGAACAGGGATGCACCGTGTATGCCACATCTCGCACGCTGGAGACGATGGACGGCTTCAAGCATCCGGTGGAAGAACGCGTCATGGATATAACCAGCGATGACGATGTCAAACTCGTCGTACAATCCATTCTGGAAGAGCAGGAGAAGATCGATATCGTCGTGAACAATGCCGGTGCTATTTCAATCGGTCTGTCAAGTTGACTTGAGCCATGAACCGATTGTCATATTCAATTTCTCGCAGGACCGTTGCTTGATGTGTCCTTGGATCAGGCTAGAAAAGCCTTTGAGACCAACACATACTCGGTCTTGCGGGTTGCACAGGCAGTTGCACCTTCTATGGTGGAACGCAGACAAGGACTTATCGTCAACATTGGATCACTTGCGGGAAACATGTGAGCACGGTGCAATGGTGCAATCTTTTAGCTGACCTTGTCTGACTCTGAATAGCGCTACCCCATGGAATGGATTATACTCTGCAGCCAAGGCGGCAGTTCACGCACTCAGTGACGTTTTGGCTATGGAATGCAAACCCTTCGGTGTTAAAGTCATGTTGGTAGCACCAGGTCAAGTCAGGACGAACATCACTGCTAACCAGGCAGCCACCTTGGAATTATTCCCCACATCCATCTACAAACCTTACTTTGATCGGGTGTACGAACGCCTGGATGGTAGTCAAGCCAAGGGGAGCATGGATCCCGATGAATTTGCACGCCGCGTAGTTGCAAAAGTACTGAGTTCCAGCCCTCCAAGTTACATGACACTGGGGGGTAAGTCCCGTCTTTTCGGATTCTTCCAGTGGCTACCTCATTGGCTTGTCCTCCGGATCGTGGGATCGATGATGGTGTGGAGGAAGCCTGAACTATCCACGTGACCGTCTCATTTGCCACGGAAAGAAAGACCTAATGAGTGGTCGCAGACCACTCAGATGTCTATGAAGGGCCAAGGCATGTTCTGTAGGATAATACAAATCATGTGGCAACTACTAGACTGTACCAGCTCTCTATCTATTGCCCCCTTTCTTCTTTTTTCTTCGGGACTGGCCCTCGGCATTAGCAGCTTCTCTGATTTTTTTGTTCACATGTCTGTTTGCCGTAGATTCGAGACTAACTTCGTCACAAGTCCGCTTCTTGCTTCCCGCTGGTTGAGGTAGCGTTAGGGCAGGGTTCGGAGAAGATCGACTCGATTTTTCTGAGATATTTACGTTGTCGCGCTTCTCGCTATCTCCGGTCTGCTGGATGGGAGCCACCACCTGAGTAGTTTCTGGAATCACCAACCTGGGTTCTGATAGGACCGCTCGATAGGTTTTGCGTGCCTCTATCGGGTTTCCACGAGGAAGAGGGGGATCAGACTGCTGAAGAATGGTTTTTAACGGAGTGGCTTACGTGCCCGCAAGATGAGCGATTTTGGCGCAGCAACTGATGCATCGTGAGCCAAATTTTGTGCCAGGTCCAGTAACGTGAGCCTAGAAGGGAGGTGGACCAAAACATGAAAAAGTCTAACAACTGATATCGATAGACTCACAAATTTGCGATATCCTTGGGTCCTCTGTAGTCTGCCTCAGAGGCAACTCCACCACTCACAATAATGCCTTTGCCTTTCGTCACCCGTACGACTTCTCGTGCAGCGGCCCACCAATTCCGTTTGCCACTTGCACCAGTATCACTTACACCAAAAGTTGATAAACTAGCGTCACTTTCACCACCGATGGCTCCTGCGTAATTGATTTCGAACACCGCGCCGTTTTTTATCGCAGTTCTGACCAACGTGTGCTTCAACTGAAAGGGCAGTCGGGGGAGCGTTAAAGGAAGAGCAACAATGTGTGCAGTGAGTGGCGAAGGAAGACTGTGTGTGAGGCAAGCAAGTGAAAATGTCGCGGGGGTCGTTGGCAGCAGAGCAATTACATCGTAGGGCTCAACAAGGGAGGCGTTTGCGTTCGTCTTGCATTCAAAAAGATTACGTTACTCATGACCACAGGAGGTAGGTACTTACCAGACCAAAGCCTTTCTCACTGTCATTATCGAGAACGATTGTAAGTCGCTTCAAGAATACCGTCCCTGGCCTCGCCCTCAGCTGTTGAAGGAGTCCATCCAGAATGTTGACATGAGTTTTCGGGTCAATTTTCTTGTTCACAGATTGATTAAACGCAATCACAGTGTATCCTACTGTGATGCGATGAGTCTTTGGTTTACATATGGTGAAATGAACAGACAATGTTCAAGAAGGTCCAGACGAGCTTCGATTCCCTTTATCTGAGCAGGAGTGAAAGCTGCCTGCGAGGATTGCTGGGGTTGTTTGTTTTTATTCTTCTTTGGTTGAGAAGTGGATCCAGATGCAGTGACCGGGAAATTAAGGTCAAAGTGCATCGTGGTGCGACTGGGAGTTAGTAAGTGTGCGTCTGACGTCAGGAAATAAAGTTCATGTCCTAATTTAGGGTTACATTTTACTTGTAGCGAGGGACACGGGTGAATTCACAGTATATACGCGTACGGTACGGGACACTCAGGTATTTCAAGATTTGTTGGCGTTTCATAAACATCCGAACACCGCAAGTAGGCCGACTCATCAAAGCGGAGATTTTAAAACTGCCCGAGAATAAGGGAGAGCCAGAAGCCTGAAGACCGCGGTCGTTGTACTCCCCGTGACTGGCCTGCCGTTACATACAATACCAAGTCTATAAACCACATTGCCCAGAGATAGTGTTTCCCGGCTGCAATGAGGCTGAGATTTCTACTTGGGGGTAAGGCGGAACGCGTTTGTTTTACGATGTACGCACGGACTTGGGAGAGAGCGGTCGGTGCAACACGACCTCAGGTATGATCGGAAGATACCTCGATGTGGCAAGAAAGACTACAAGTAAATCTGTCCAGTCACGTGATCGGTTACTTTATGAGCTCGATCACGGCGGCATAGATCATGATAAAAAGGGTAGCAGTGACTCGTTTCAGCTTCCTTTACCACAGATCATGGACGCTCTCAAAGCCGTATTCGAAGCTAAAAAAGCAGAGGTGAGCTGACTTTCTCTGAAATTTGTACTTGAATTCAAGATTTGAATAGGGAATTCCAGCATTGGTGACCTTCGTCACTGCCGGATACCCAAGAACACAAGACACTGTACCAATCTTGCTGGCCATGCAAGCTGGAGGTGCAGACATAATCGAACTTGGTGTGCCCTTCTCCGACCCCATCGCAGATGGCCCAGCTATCCAAGAGACCAATACTGTATGTTTGGCTTCGATGTGATTGCTTAAATACCGACGTATGATAGGTTGCGCTTAAAAATGATATCGAATATGTCACTGTACTTGGAATGTTGCGAGAAGCGAGAAGCCAAGGACTGAAGGCGCCGGTCCTTCTTATGGGTATGCTGTGTCAATCTCTGTACATACCTTTTTGACTTACTGTCGTCTCCACCAGGGTATTATAATCCAATGCTTGCGTATGGGGAGGACAAAGCAATCCAAGACGCTCGTGAAGCTGGAGCAAACGGATTTATCATGGTCGATCTTCCACCTGAAGAGGCCATCAACTTCCGTGACAAGTGCGCAAAAGCAGAGTAAGTTAACCGAGATCGCATCAGTTGATACTGACCTGTTTCATTTCTCAGCTTGTCATATGTTCCTCTCATTGCACCATCGACATCTTTGCATCGCATCCAATTTCTCTCGTCCATTGCGGATTCTTTCATCTATGTAGTGTCAAAGGTATACAAACCCGTTTAACGATAACTTGTGTGTATCTGACCATCATGAAGATGGGAACAACTGGCTCTTCTATCCTAGGCAAAATGAATGCCGCTCTTCCGGACATCATTGCCCGCATCCGAGAATATACGGCCGTCCCACTGGCGGTCGGCTTCGGTGTTGCGACGCGCGCTCATTTTGACGTTGTCGCCGATGCTGGGGCGGATGGTGTTGTTGTTGGCAGCCGTCTTGTGACCATCATCAAGGAGGCACCTCTCGACTCGATACCTCAAACCGTTGAAAACTACTGCCTGGAGATTAGCCTGAAGGATAAACCTACTCGCACGCGATCGCTGCCGACTTCAAAAACTTCGACGCCTTCCAATGGTGCTTTGGAGCCACCCTCAGTTGCCCTACTTCCTGCGCGTTTTGGTCAGTTCGGTGGACAGTACGTCCCAGAGGCGCTCTTCGATTGCTTAGTGGAACTCGAGGAAGCTCACAACTCGGCTGTGAATGACCCTAAGTTTTGGGAGGAGTTTCAAAGCTATTATGGATACATGAATCGCCCATCAAAGTTTTACTTTGCAGAAAGCCTGACGAAGCATGCTGGCGGTGCCCAGATTTGGTTGAAGCGCGAGGACCTGTGAGTCACCTGCCGAAAAGTATCTATGATGTACTAACAGACTGTAGGAATCATACGGGTTCGCACAAAATTAACAACGCCATTGGGCAGGTAGGATTGCATATCCGTACCTTACTTGTGTAGTGACATCTTGTCAGATATTACTTGCTCGTCGTATAGGCAAGACGCGCATCATCGCCGAGACCGGTGCAGGTCAACATGGTGTTGCAACTGCTACCGTGTGTGCACGATTCAACATGGAGTGTGTCATCTACATGGGTGCAGAGGATGTTCGTCGCCAAGCCTTGAATGTCTTCCGAATGAACATGCTTGGTGCCAAAGTTTGTTGTTTTGTCCTGCGCTGTCCTGCATATATTGACCTCCATCTAGGTTATACCCGTCGAGTCAGGTTCCCGTACTTTGAAGGATGCTGTCAATGAAGCTATGCGCGACTGGGTGACAAACCTTTCCACAACACACTATCTTGTCGGCTCCTGCATCGGTCCACACCCATTCCCGACGATCGTGCGCGACTTCCAAAAGGTGATTGGGCAAGAGATCAAAGCACAGCTGAAAGAGGCAAAGGGGAAACTCCCAGACGTCATCGTTGCATGCGTCGGTGGTGGGAGCAATGCCATTGGAACGTTTTATGACTTTATTCCCGACAAGAACGTGAGGCTGGTGGGTGTGGAGGCTGGTGGTGAAGGTTTGGATGGCGATCGGCACAGTGCAACCCTGACGAAAGGCAAGCCCGGTGTATTGCATGGTGTGAGAACATACATCCTGCAGTCGAAGGCTGGCCAGATTATCGAGACACACTCAGTCAGCGCGGGTCTTGATTACCCTGGTGTTGGCCCAGAGCATTCCTGGCTCAAAGACTCTGGCAGAGCGGAGTATGCTGTTGCGACAGACGAGCAGGCCCTCAGAGGATTCCGACTTTGCACCCAGTTAGAGGGAATCATTCCCGCTCTTGAGTCATCGCATGCTATTTGGGAAGGTGTCCGCCTTGCCAAAACACTGTCAAAAGATACCGACCTTGTCATTGTACGTATTGGAAATGTTCTCCATTTATCCGGCGCTCACGGAGTATTATACAGTGTCTCTCGGGGAGAGGCGACAAGGATGTAGAACAGATATCGGAATTGCTCCCTGGAAAATGGGCTGAGAAGCTTGACTGGCATATTTGAGAAATCGGGCTTGCTGAGGCTCTCACAAAGGATTAACAATGCGTGTGGTTGATAGCCATATGAATGAAGAACAATGAGGTGGTTATGTGGCTTCTTCCAAGTCGCGGTAGAATTATAGACGATGTACAAACGATGTAGTATTGGTTTACTCCGTGTAAGTAACAGCCTTTACGAATTGCTACTTACGGCAAGTATGACTCGACTCATGTAACTTGAATATCAGTGTGACTGCATTGTGCAAGCTCAAGCCTTTTCTACTAGTGCATCCCAGTCCCAAATACCCGCACCGTTCGACCACAAAGAACGGGACTAGAAACCATGGCTACTGATTCATTGAGCGTCGCAAACCAGCGAGTTGTTGACACTCTTGCAGCTAGATTACGGAGACGGTGAGTTGAAACCCCCGATCATACCCCTACATCATATATCATGACAGGCAAGTTGTAGGTTCCCGCGAAACTGCTCTTGAGACCGTCCTTGTCCTGAGACAGGTCATCTCAAAAGCACGGTTCTCTAATATTGACCAACTAGTTGAAATCATCCGATCCGTTGGACGAAAGCTCGTGGAGGCACAACCTAAAGGTTCCCCTCCACTTATGTTCTACACCGTTTGGTATCTCATCACTCTGAATCGTCGTCAGAACATACGGTCGGGAACACCGTGCGGAAAGTGCTACATCATATCCGGGAGGAATACCACACTGCTTCGAAAGGGACTGCGGTTGTCTCGACATCGAAGGATACCTTGTCGATCGCAAAGTTCGTGTTGCAGGGACAACCTCGGAAACAGAATGTTCCACAAAAGACGACTCTGAACGAGTCGCACGACATGTTGAAGGAGAACGATGCGGATGATCCTGATGCATTTGCTCGAACACTCAAACCCGTTCTTATGGAAGCCATCCAGGACGTCTTGGATGAGCTGGAAACAGTACATGACAATATCTCAAAAAATGCAAAGGATCATATACATTCCGAGTGAGTCTATTGTGTTTCAAGGCCGTTTGATTTGTTCCTGAGTTCAGATAGCGAGATAATCTTGACCATCGGAAAGTCGAGTACTGTTGAAGCATTCCTGAAAGCTGCAGCGCCCTATCGGAAATATACTGTTATCGTCGCGGATACTGCACCATCGTTCGTACCTGGTATTTCTTGCTATGATCTCTGGCCCTCATCGTACAACAGATATGGCGGACATGACATGGCTCAATCTCTGTCATCCGCTGGCATTTCAACAGTTCTTGTTCCCGATTCATCCATCTACGCGCTCATGTCTAGGATCAACAAAGTCATGATTGGCGCCCATGCAATACTAGCCAACGGTGGCATGTTTGCGATAACAGGATCTCTGCTTGTTGCCACGGCAGCTAGAGCGCATAGCACCCCGGTTGTCGTTTGTGCTGGACAATTTAAACTCACCCCGCAATGGAATTTGTATCACGAATATGGCGCGCTCGACTTCGCAGATCCAAGTAGTGTGCTAGGATTTGAAGAAGGCAACCTCGTCGATAAGGTTGACGTGGTCAACCCCTTTTATGACTATGTCCGACCAGAGTTGATTGACGCATTCATTACAAACGAGTGAGTAATTATTATATTCGAGTTTTTTCTCTCCTCAACGCACTACGCACTACAGTGGAGATCACCCTCCATCATCGGTTTATCGCCTTATCAAGGAGGCATATGACGATGAGGATTACGAACTGTAGCAGAGTCATGTAGACCAAACACGCTACAGACAGTGTATTTGCATCACCACTTGAGCATACCACTCGCCGTTCAGTTGCTCTTGGTGCTCAATATGTCGAAAAAAGCGTCTTGGGGGAGGTCAACGGATCCAATGCGCTTCATCTTTCGCTTGCTCTCCTTTTGATTTTCTAGATGTTTCATTTTGCGCTCGTAGTGGCCTATACGAGGAATTTCATGAGCGGAAGGGAATATCGGAAATATGTTTATGCACGTACCTCCATAGAGCCCAGCAGTGACGTCTGCACGCATTGCTGATAAAGTCTCACGAGCGATAATTTTCTTGCCGACCGCAGCCTGTATCGGAACTTCGAATAGCTGACGGGGGATCACTTTATCTGCGATAATTTTCAGCACCAAGCACGCCGCAAGGGAAACCGTCATCACGCACGAAGCTTCTTGACCCACTTTTTGCCAACTTCGTGTTGAGCCGACCGATGAACTATAAGAGCGAGTGCGTCCACTGGTTTCCCATTCAGAAGGAAGACCATCTACTCAATGTTAAGGACATGTATGATACAGATGCTCTCACCACACACCTTCGCGAGGTCGCTAGCTTTATACCCGCCATCTTCATAGCTATAAATGTTTCAGCAGTCGCCCTTGTATATATTACAAGTGCTCACTCAAAACTGGCATAGCCTGAGCTCCGGCTCTTCAGTTGATCAAAGAAATCTGTGACAATTTCACTGAGGGGCAATGTGCACGTCAAGATGGCTCGCGGAGACGCTTCTGAGGTGCTTCCTGAATCCAGGTATCGGTGGTCAAGGTTCTCGGCACGGTGCGCAAAGCAAAGGTTCATCATCTCGCCCATATATTCTGATATTTAAAACATCAGCAAGATCACTTTGTCAACTTTAAGGAGTGCTGACCTTCGGGTACAATGATAGAAGCGTTTACGACAGGTTCTTGCACTTGTTTCACTTTGCAGGATGTATCCGATGTGTCCGGGAACTCCGTAGGATTACTGATCATAACTGTTTTGTCCTTGTATATAACTTTCTGTTCTTCAGCGGTTGCTCGAATACAAAGCTAGCGCTGTCACATACTTTTATATGGGACGGTTGGAGCAGTTATTATTATGTTTGCATCATACTCATCTTCTAGACGCTGTCGGAAAACATCCATATGCAGTGTCCCAAGGAAGCCAAGGCGACACCCTTGCCCCAACGCGGTAGAGGACTCGCGTTGTATAGTCACGCTCCTGTCCGTCAGGGTAAGCTACGAAGGTGTAAGAGTAGGACAGAAAATCGAATATGAAAACGTGCCCTCTTGATGGATTCCTCGAGCTTAATGAAGTCATTGCTATCCACTGGGAACACACCGGCATAGACCTAGGTCAAATGAGGAATTGATCGTGAAGAATCGATATTGGAAACAAACCATAGCCTTAGACGGCTGGAATCCAGGCATAGGATCAACAAGTGCACCGACGCGATGGAGTGTGTCTCCAATATGAGCTAAGGGCAATAATGAGGATGACTAACAGCAAATGATGGGAGTACCCTACCCTCAGAAGACTCTTTCATGTTACACGCTATGTAGCCAACTTGTCCAGGCTGTAGACTCGACGTTGGGACCTCTTCAGGGTGCATCACGCCAACTTCAGTGATCTCATATTTCTTTCGGGTATGACAAGACGCAATCTTGTCCCCTACATGCCACTAAGTGATGAAGGTGACGCGCAAAGAGCGTATAAACCGACCTTTCTGAATGATGCCATCTTGTATGCTGACGAGGGAAATGACACCCCTGTAACGGTCATATCTAAGGCACTACTTGAACCACAGAAGAGGAAGTACAAATAGACATATACGGACAGTGAGTCAAACATAAAGGCCTTGAGAGGGGAGTTTATATTTCCAGAAGGAGGTGGTATGCGGTCCACGATAGCCCTTAGAACTGCTTCTACTCCTTGGCCAGTTTTCGCGGATATATGAAGAATTTCACTCGGGTCAATGCCAAAAGTTGACTGGAGTTGAGCGGCCATTCGTTCCGGCTGTGATGCGGGCAAGTCAATCTGCGAAGTCGGTTAGCATCATATTCAGTAGTCAAGCGAGATCTAACCTTGGTCAAGACTGGGATAATCTTTAGCCCTCGTTCCTTCGCGATGTGAAAGACAGAGATTGACTGCGCCTGAACACCCTGCGAGGCGTCTACCAGTAGTAAAGCGCCTTGACATGCAGCCAAGGATCGTGAAACCTCCCAAGCAAAGTCAACATGGCCCTGTAAAACAAACGGTGCTAAGTTCCCCATCAAGACCAAGTATTAAATGTCATTACAGGGGTGTCGATGAGATTGAGCAAGTGCTGTTTCCCATTAGCCATGTGTATCATACTGAGCTCTGTCAGTAAATTATGTTGAAAACAGATTGTGTCGCGAACCTTGCTGTCTGTGCCTTGACTTCACGAAGTTAATCATCTTCAACTGAAGCAGATCCACAACTATAGATGGCCCACCGGTAATACCCCGCTCGCGTTCCACCTTTAGCTTGTCTAGGACCTGCTGGTTGAGTCCCGTCGACTTCGTTTCAATAGTGCCCGTGAGCTGAGTGATGTTAACCAAGAGAACAGAGGTTTATGCACGAAGCAACAGACCTCTAACAATCTACATGTAAGTGTTATATCTTGTTAGCACAGAAACTTGACTACTTTGCGTAGAAGCCCACCTATCTGCCAGGGTTGATTTACCATGGTCTGTAAGCAAAATTCAGAAGAGGCGTTGCAGACCAAATATTAAAACTACCAATGTGCGCGATAATAGAAAAGTTTCTGGCGCGGTTTAACACGTATAAGCTTTAACTCTGAACGCATACTACCGCATCATCTTCGTACCTAATGACTTCGCAAGGAAACTCTTCCATCCTCAGGGACTTGGGCGTAGCAGCCAGACATACTGCAGTAGAACTCAAGAGCCTTGAAATTGACCAACGGACAGGTTGACGGCGCAGTAACACCTTGAGACATGCATGCCGCCAGCCAGGGAGCATTTCCCGAGTTGCGAGAAGCACGAATTTCGAAAGCGTCAAAACTGCTGTACAATTAATACTACGACATACGAGCATCACACCATGTGACATTTGTGACATTGTATTCTTACCGCTAGCTTCCGGCGGGGTTTTAATTATTATTTGTCATCCCTATATGAAGTTCGTTGATGTCATGTGCTGCACCTTTCCCACTTCCATTAACCACTTCGCCATTAAGGTATTTTTAGTGTTAGATTTTTGTACGATGTAGTAGTTGAATGTAGTAATTGAATTTAAAACATGTCGGGCAATGCACGTCAATAGAGTTTGCGTATGTCCACAACATGCTGCGCGCATTGCATTGCTCATTCTAAAAGTGTGCGCTCTCCACATGTTGCGTCGCCCGCCCATGGTTCCAATTTCCAGATATGGATAGTTCTGTGTCTTGGCCACAATGTTCATCAAGTCCACTACGCCCTTGTCCACGTTATTTGGTAAGCAGCCTAAATCAATGTTCCCTATAAATTGCTGACCTTTGCGATTGCTGGTCTCTTTTCTTCCTCCATCAGCTCACAATCTACAAATGCTAGTATTTCATCATTAAGATTAGACCTTGCGTTTTTCAAGTATGCAGCTCATTCAATTGAAGTTTGAGTAATATTAACTAAAGTATACTAGTAAACATGCCGTCAGTACATCTGATGAAGAATCTTGTGCAAAATGTGCCAGAAGTCAAAGTAAGCACCGTCAAACAATGCATTCGTGTTGTTACTTACGTTGAGGCAGGCGATTCGGAATTGGGCTCACCATTAGCGGATCCCCATGCATGGGATATATTAGAGAGTTTCCTCACCTCCAAAACCGCCAGTTACAGCAAGACTCTCAATGCGATGGACAATTACCTCGGCGGGCGATTTATCACCGCTGAGTGGGCAGAGGTGACCACTGCTTTGTTTTCAGGCGATAACAACAATAGCCTCTCCCTACAAAACTTTAGATCAGTTAGGCAGAAATATGTGCTGAATCCTCCAACCAGGTCAAAAGACCATCCTCTGCATCAGGTAAGCTCTCACATTTATCGTCAACCACGACTCACTTTTTTCAGTATCAGAGCATCTTTCTTGATCTCGAAGCAAGCGATGATGATGATGAGGAGGATGAGGAGGTGTTGGTGTTTGAAGAGGGGGAGGATGCGTATGGCACTATATCTGCACATTTATTATTTGAGCGTTCCACAGCTTGCGCGCTGCACATTTTCGTCAATCCAGAGTGGGCGTGTTTTAATCAAGAGGTTCTGCATTCCTGCACTGCGCATTTTTGCCAATCCAGAGCTGGTGTGTTTGCTTGTTCAAGTCTCTACTAACTGAGTCATTCAAGTTGTGTGGAGCTCTCACACAGTATTATAGTTTTTTTTCTTCAAATACATACTGTTTTGATGGACCCACAAAATGAATGAGACAACACGTCCTTTGTACTTAGTCATCAATAATGTTTGCATTCAAAGAGTGTGAAGTAAATCATGTACGTGATTGTTACAGTTCTATCTTTTCACCTCTTCACATTGTCACATATGCTTACTCATCATTCCATAGTATTCTATCACATTCTATTGTACGATTCTTGTTCTCTTTTTCCTATTCGCTATTCATATTCAAGCTCCGCTTCAATACTCTTATATATACCTTACTCTTTACACTTTGTATCTTTAACTTGACCTACGCAGACCAGGGCCTGCAATCTAGCTTCATCTTCATCAGAACATTGACTTTGACTTTGATCCTTGAAACGTTAAGACGTCTAAACAACGCCGAGCATAACAGTGATTCCTGCAAGACATCATTAGGTGAGGCATCGCAAGGATGCAAGGTATAAGTACGGAATGAGATGAGGATGAGGATGAGATAGTGGTACAGTGTACTACTGCAATGCACGAGAAATGACAAAAACTAGTACCAAATTAGCATGCCTGTCATCAACAAATACTAGACCCGGTCACTTGTCAAACATTGTTTGGGAAATGGTAACCGACCCTCCTCACATGAGCTGGAGGTTAGCAGGCTTCATGGAATAGCAAGAATCCCAGGGATTGATCTGCTCCGGTGCAAAAGGGTCATCAACGTGTGATCGACTGCGCCACAACATCAGTGAACTGATGGAAACCTCAGAAGGACATATACAGTGGCTCAAAAGTGTCCAAATGTTTATAGCTTTTCATGTAATTGCTTTATCATGTGTCAGGACATGGGAATATGACTACTCTATAGGGAGGTGTCTGAAGGGTCGGCATCTCAGCTTTACTTTTGTTCCCTATAGCGTGGAAATATAATGATATTGTGCGAAGATATAACTATTTTAAAATGATGACTCATTCGGACACTTTTTTGACTTTGAGTTTGACTACTACAATCTCTACAATTCTAGTACTATATGTGGCCTCCTCTTGCCCTAATCACTTCTTCCACTCTTCTAGACATATTCTCTATTAATTTTGGTCATTCCTCCTTAGTATTCTTATCACATTCTGCTGTAACACTGTCCTATAGCACAAATAGCCCCTATGGTGGATCTTAATATGCTACAAGCAATTTCTCAGGTGACTCCCAGGGATATTCAATAGGGTTGATGTCTTGTATCTGTTCTGGATATGATAGAATAGTAATATCATGGTCTTTAAGCTATTGGTGATCAATTTAGAGGTATACTCAGGGTCATTATCTTGTAACCAAACAGTATCTTCTTCATTCACCCATGACTTCTGCATACTTCTGAGCAGACACTCTCATGAAATGAAGATTTACTGCTCTGCATTCATCCTCCTCTTAGCTTCATAGAAAATTCCCACTTCACTTCATCCCATACAGCCCCATACCATCTGATTTTCTCCTTAAAACTTAGGTGCTTGACTGACTTCTCTTTATCTTGATGATTTACATTGAGAGTTGGTGCCAGTGAGATGGACATTGTCTCCATCCTTGGATGAGTCAGGGTCAGACTCCGGAGTCAAAGACTTGAAATTAATGAGGCAGAGGATGGATCAGCTTGTGCAGCAGTGTAGGGTAATTAGTTGCAAATCGAACTCCCATTGTAAGCTAATGCATTTGCAGAGAATCAGTTGTCTGGAAAATAAACTGGGATGCAGCGTCGACTGGCCCGGGAATTAATATTATCTGAATGCAATCCAAACACATTTAACAGTTAGTAGACTCAGACTCGCTGGGTGCATATTTTTTCGTAAATACTCTTTGACCAGAATCTGACTGCGAAATCTCTCGTGCATTTGATGTGGACCTAGAAGCACTGTATGATATACATTGTAATGTCGACTATTCTAACTAGAGGATCTCCAACCACCGCGACTGAGACAAACTAACTTAATTCAAATCACAATGCAATCATGATGAAGATCTAAATAGAACTCAGTATCGCAATGACAACGTCTGTTTTGTTAGGAGTGTCAACAGTAAGAGATGAAAGGTGCCTAATAGCCTGCGAAATTCTGTCAGCTCACTTCCGTTCAATGATGCCATCTGAGCCTTCATTCTCGCATAGATACTACATCCCTTGGCATGGAGATCTATGGGTTGGAACCAGCCGATCTTCAAGCATTGCACCATTTCCAATTCACAGATCATTGCGGAAAGGGCCATGGTGTTTTGAAGCCCAAATTCCCAGTCCCCAGTGGCTGTGTCGAGAGGTATATAATGATGATACCCCTGATCAACCAGTATGTGTTCTGTCATAGTGATGATGGTAGAGCTCCCAAATGGGACGCAAAGTGATTGGAGTTGCCCATCATTCATGACCTGTTGAAGTGAAGATTACATATGAGCTGAGGACCATTGAGATACATGCTTACTGAATGATGGCATCAAGATAATCATCATTCGATACCAATGTCAAGGCGTGCACTTTGCGTGATGGTATAACATTGTTTGGGTGCTTGAACAAAATTTGAGCGGATAGGTTATAGGCTCCAATCACCAACCCCCAAGCATAACCCTTGCCCTGGCAGTCCGTATGGATGTGTTTGGCGACCCCTTTAAGCCTTATCAGAGTGTTTTGACCTTCTGGCCGCAACTTCCATTCCCCAAGTTCCCTAGCTGTGTCCTCCATGAGTCATGGAATGAAAGTAAGGAAAATGAATACCATTGTCGTTGTTCATATGAATAGCGATCACATCATTAAGCGCTGCATCGGCCAACTCATCGTTCTTCTCTTTGATCAGAAACAGGGTGTTCCGAAATAGAGACACTCTCATCAGTCTTGAAGCATCCATCTTCAAATGATTGAGTATTAAAGATTCAATCTGCAAAGATGATTGAGAAAGCTCCATTTGTGCCGAGGAAAGGTATGGTTGAGAGTTGACAGAAATTTCCCGTTTTGCGCATTTGAGCTTTCGGCGGACCTGTCTGCTCTCACTTACTCTTGTCATGTAACCTCAAGGTCCGAAGGAAAGGGGTTGCTCTTGGTCTTGTGAGCTGTGATGACTCAAAGCTGACAAGCTTGATTGAGTTTGAGCTGCTTGACTCGTACTTGGATCAAGGGCAGTTGTAGGAAGAGCTGATACCTGGGGGGCGTGTTGGGCTATATTGAAGGAGTCGTCATGAAGAACCTCGCCCACAGATTGCCGAGATGCATTGATGGTGGAAGACGGTAGTTCAGACTGTACTGGATTGTTGTAGTTGCCACCCACAGGACCCTGCAAGTAAGGATGTTGATAGTTACAGTGGGCAGCCGCATGGTGCACTGGCTCGGTATTTGAAGCCTCAGGCTGGTGCTGGCTATCAGCTGCGGGCTGTGAATCATAATGGCCATATGAAGAAGCCGCCTGACTCATGTTTGGGTCAAAAGATGTCAGATAAAGGGAGGTTGAGGGGAAAGCTGGTCCCTGCGGGGCACTCTGGGCTACATTCAAGTTGGAAGAGCCGTCCTGCGGATACTGGCTGCAAGCTTGCTGAAATGTGCTAACTGCAGAAGAGGGTGGCTGCGACAGGGCTAGACTATTGTGACTGCCACCCACAAGATTCTGCGAGTAAGGAGGCAGGTAGTTAGAGTACGCAGATGTGTCATGCGCTAGTCCAATATCAGAACCCTCAGGCTGATGCTGGCCACCAGCTGCAGAAAGTGTATTATGATAGCCGTATGAAGAAGCCGCTTGACTTGTGCTAAGGTCAAAAGAAGCCAGATAAAGAACAGTTGTGCCAGTGGGAGCTGGTCCATGGGACACTATGGACAAAGTTGGAAGAACCGTGATGCTCTGACTGGTTGGTTGCCAGAGGCTGTTGGTTGAACACGCTACCTGTATAGAACTGCAGCTGAGATTGTGGGTTTGCATAGCTGCCTGCGGGACCTTGGAAGTGAGAATTATTGGGCGCTAGGATGCTGGACTGGAGCTGGCCCTCACATGTGGGCTCATGCGAGATAGGATTATGATGATGGTGCGAGTGGGGGGTATAATAGTCATGGGCATTCATGTGGGGCATTTCGGGAGCATCAGAGGCCTGAGACACAAAATTCACATGGCTCTCATTGCCCACGGAGTGACTGAAGCTGCGGCTCATTTGCCAATGAGCCATCTAGTTACAATTTTCGACTGTGTAGTATGATCAGTCCATGATAATCATCATAGCACAACTCAAAGTTGCTGTGCTTACCTTTTTGGACTGAAACAGTGTGGAATAAAAGTCAGAGACAGCGGCGGGTTTGGATGGGAGTCAATTACAGAGTGCCCTCTGATAAACAAAAAGATGAGAACAAGGTTGCTGCAGAAAACTTGCGGGCACTGATATCTGACTCACACCACTAGTGGCCGATATCCATCATGATCTTATCGTGGATAGCTGAGTTACATGATACTTAGTTGTCCAAAGCTGCTTGCACTTGCCTCGAGGCCTCCCCCTGAACAATTTAATTGGTGAAACCGATCCAACACAATGTTTGACAGAGTTGGCATTAATTCCTGCTACTACATAGTGATTAGCAAAGATGGTCAGGGTTTATTGAATTGAGCCATTAGCGAGGCATTAGTACTTACTATTGGTTCAGATCCTGGTTCAGATTGAAATACAAGGCTCGGAGTGATTCACCACTTAACTTGAAGCATATAACATGTTGCTTATGACTTTCAAAAACAATTGCTGTGGTCAGCGATCACAATTTACAAAAGGGGCACTCTTACCAGAACAAACTTTGTGTGACAAGAGGCTCTTTACCTGTGGCTGGTCCGAGATATACGTACCTTACCTCAAGGCTCTGCTTACAGCACCATCGACACCAACAGGACATTTTCAGGATATTTGTGGCAAAGGATGATAGACTGGATGCGCAACGTTGCCTGAGTCATCATTGCCGTTGTCACAATCATCATAGTAGTTTTTTTTTACCTGGGAAGCAAGCTCCTCAGCAAGTCGTCCGAGTTGTTACCATTGGTGAGTGCTAGAAATTGATCCGTATAGGTACTAGCAGTAGTTCCTGTCAACTTTTCGGTCAAAACTCAAGAGATTCAAGTTATTGACAGACCGCTGCTCCTCGGGCTAAGGGTACTGTCAGCGAGCAGAAGTTGTTGGTATTGTGTTATGTGACACACCATTCTGAACACTTGGCAAAATCCGGGGTTTCCCTTATGAAGCTGCCTGCGAGTGACATACTACACAGTATTGTCACGAATAAACTCAAAGTTTGATTTGAACATTGAACATTTGATCAACCAACCGATGCTTGCACAGTGCACAAATACAGCTGTCAAATTTGATGTTCGTAAATAGTAACTTGGACTAACTTTGAACTCAAAAATTCAATCTATTGAACGTAACTTATTATTCAAGAAATCAATAGAAGATCTAACGGTCTTCAAAGCTTCACACCCAGTACTCGATACTGAGATCGCCTTGTTGGGGACTAACATGGCCGAGATCATGTCAATCAGTACGAATTACAATGTAGATTGCAAGCCTAGTAATAAGTCGAGATGGTGCACAATTTGTACTACAAATGAAAGCGCAGTGTCCCGCGCCACGATCTAAATTACATCACTAGTGAATTCATTGGCGAAAAAATATTCCCTAAATCCCTCAGTGCCTGCTACACGAGATTAGTAAAATGGTTGCAATATAGCAGAAAATTAATTACTTCAGTTGTCATTGAAAGTTTCTTCGTCTGAACTGGTGGTGCTACCATCCAAGTCCAGGAGAGTCACTGCTTGCAATGGTCATTTAGCAATGGTGTCATTTTGAGGCAAATGAAAGTGCGCACAAGCAATATTTTCGACATGATCAAACTCTATGTCAGCAGCAGCAAATGAAGTCTCATCAAGGTTGTACACAGCAATACTACAATTTTTGCGATTCTCAAGCTCCTCAGTAGTACAACTAGAGAGAGCCTCAAAGGCAGGTCTCGAATGGTTCCGAAACAGCATCGACATATGTATGTGTCTGCTTCACTCTTAGCAGTTATGTCAAGAAACATGGAATGTTTCTGAACCGCATTGACGTGCAAAGCAGCTGCGATAGCGCGCATGTGCCTCCATTCAATATCGACTTGGATCGGAATCATGGCATGGGCGCGAGCCTCAGGAGTCAGGCTCTTCAATCTAAGTTGCAATTGAGTTCTTTCCTGGAATGATATTAATAAGTAATACAAAATACATAGACTAACATACCCTTTGATCTCTTGACAGATCCTTGGAGCTAGTGCACCCCGAACACTCCTCACCACAGAGGTGTTCTAACACGTTGGGGACAATTCTTTGGTAAGGCTTGGGTCTTTTCTTTGCGCTTTTTGTATACTTAGACAGATGGTGAAGTATCGCAGGAGGTGTAATAGGTCCAATGATATCATCGTCCAATGAATCATAGGGAGTATCAGATGAAGGTGGTGACATTGGGATTTTCACAGATTTAGTCCGTGAGATAGTTGGACGACTCGGTATCCTAGAGAGGCTCAGATTCAGAATCAGGAAACTGTCTGAATCCTGTTTCAGAACATGACTGGTTATACATGGACTATGTCCTTTCCTGCCTTGATAGACAGGACTAGACTCCCTGATAGGACAAGTGATACAGGCCATGCGCGTTCTAGCCATAGTAATGCCTGCAATAATACAGCAGGAGGGAGGTGACTGAGTTTCAAAACAGCTAGAACTTCTTATATTGACATTCTCACCACGTACTCAGTGAATGTTTGAATGTTTGAACATTGACACCAAAAAGGGAGGCCTTTTATGTGGCTATGTCACTATCGAAATTGCTAAGGACTCCAAGTCCGAATGACTTGACCGGTCCATGGCATAATATTGATTCGAGTCAGGAGGCCCACATCCTAGGTTGGAAAGTGAATTATCATAGTATGTTTAATCACTTTTCTGGGAGTTCCGAGTCTGAATAAACTCGGGTCATCATCATGGTTGTTTCAGGCAAGCTTTGGGCAGCACTAACTGACCTATCCAGAGGTAATGCGAGTTGTGGCCGGCCTGCAAGAAAACTCCGAGTCGTCCCACGATTGGTCTCCCCTGGGCCCTGCATATGATATATGATAACCCAATTGGGATGTCAACATGTGGTGACATAACACTTGCACAGTTTGAAAGAAGGTATCGTGACTTGCTCCGATCATCACTGTGACTGCATGCAGCACACACTGTAACTTACCAAGGACATACCCATTCAATATCCAGGACTCATCGACCACAGTTCATGCTTGTACAGGACCTTACTTGTCGATTCGCACTGACCCTTGGCCGTTTGGCTCCTGAGCTGCAGTTTCACAAACCGCGCAGATGATATTGTTATAGCTTCCCCTACTAGTCCACACCAGCGAAATGCCTTGTTATCAATTTGTGATATCCAGACTGTTCCTTGACAGTTTGGTGGAAACAATCACAGACTCAGAGACTGCCCATCTCAATGTGAGGCAAGACAAAATCGAATCCTTCACAAGACTCACAGCTTGAGGGGTTGGTTCCCCACAGCTGGCCTCATCATCACTATCACATTTTCCTTACTTCTATGTATGATTCTCCTGGCTACCACGCTCTAAACCCGAGATGCTAATCCATTCCACTTCAGTTCAGAATGCCTGGTTCATCTTGCCTCAAGGAGCCCCATGCACCGTATCACTCGAAGACGTGCGCGATTGCATCCTGAAAATAAACGGCAGCCTATCAGTACATGAGCTTCACATCTAGCAACTCTCAGAATCCAAGTTCGTCGCATCTGTACATGTCATAGCCTTAAGGAATCATGGTTTCATGCATGTCGCTGCAGACATACACAGGGCTCTGCATCTGAGTAGCATTTATTCCAGAACTATTCAGGCAGAATACCATTGTTGTCCTTGTATAACCAGCGAGGATGCCATGTCTATGCTGTCGATCAGTTAGAGTTGTGAATGGGAGTCCATGTTGAAATTTTGCAGCAGAGTGATGATGTTCAGGCAGACGGTGCTGCCATAGAGTCCTTCAAGTTGTCCTGGTGCCATTCTGGCACAATTGTTTTGCCATATTGAAAGCTACTAGTAAGGTCATGTCAAAACAAGTGCAAATCGGTGTAGAGACTAATATCTCTGTGGGCTTGCAGGGATCTAAAATCCCAATGTCTCTATCACTTCCCAACATAGCACGACTCATATCTCACCCAGTGCACCTCAAGCGCCTCATCGGCCGCTCACAAGCGCCAGCGCTCCAGTCGCTCATCCATTGCGCATCGGCGCGCGCATCCTCAGTTCCATCCATCCATTCCATGTCTGTTCGGTTCATCAGTGTGTATTCCGATTCTATTTTCATTGATTCTGACATATCTCCGGCGCTCATGGCCATATTCCATATGTTTTCCGTTATGGACCCTTTTATTACATATTATCTCACGTCCGCTTCGCTTCTCGGTTCGCTTTAGCACTTGACAGTGCTTAACATTACTTAGTATATATAGACGCGCATAAACTGTATAATGAGTATCTTTCTGCCCGCACATTGTTGGACTCTAAGTCTAAGTTCTCCCTCTAAATCTAAGGATCTAAGTACAATATGAGCACTGCCGCCGTACATTACTAGAAACTCTGCCAATTAGTTTTCTGACTCATTAAGAGTCGCTGCGCTCCACCAACCGCACGCGCACCGCTTTCACTTAGCACGTGCTCCCGCTATAAGTCACGTGCTGATATTTATCGTCAGCTGCTATTGCTCATCAGCGCTTCACGTTGCTTTTGCTCGCTCGCGCTTCACTCATCATCGTGCACCTTACCAGGCTTGACCAAGCGCCCAGTCCAGTGTTTCCCTCCAATTTATACACTTAGAGGAACCTTCTCAGTAGCAATCCCCTTGGGCTGACGTATATCTTGCTCACCAAGGACTACTTGAGTTATCTCATACCACTCATATTCCCCCACTTCCCATTCCTCTTCTACACCAGATACCCATGACATTGCCTAGTTGCAGTGGATACAGCAGTGTTTTGCATGGCCAAATACACATCTTCGTTGAAGCTGATGACAGATTCAGGTTTGCTAAGGGTCGCACTCAAGTCACTCAAGTCGCTTAAGTCGCTGATGTCACTCGTGTTTCGTGCATGGTAGAGAAATAGTATTGGTAGTGAGATGTCGGGGTAGGTGGTTGTGGGTCATGCTGACTAAGCATATATCAGACCTCTTCCCCACTATGTCGCTGCAGGTGGCCTCAGATGCTCGAAAAGCGCGTTTGATCGCCCTAAGAAACCGCAAGGAGGGTATATCAACTGTACCAAATGGGTGCGTGATAATAAAATTCCAATAATGCAAAATATTAACCGACCACAGAGATTCTGTGCTTCTCAGCAGGAATTATGATCCTGAAACAAGGACGTTGAAGAAGCACTCAAAAAACGACGTTCTGACTACAGATACTGTCGAGAAAGATATTGAAGGAGTAGCTGAAAAGATACTTGCTGAAGATGAACGGCAGCGTGCCCAAGAACTTGTATGCCAATTCATATTATAGCGAACTGCTGCGTTTACAGCTGCTCATTCATGTTCTCCAGGACGTATTTAACATCGCCCCGAAACGGCCAAACTGGGATTTGAAGCGCGAAATGGAAAAGAAAGTAGCAAAGCTGGAGCGAAAGACTCAAGAAGCTGTCCATACTCTTATCCGTCAGCTTGATATTTCACCTTGCCTTTATTTTCGATTGCTCACACTGTATCAATAGGGCAGAGACTTGCTTCTCAAAAAGGGCAGTCGGACGACATTCTAGGGGCAATGAATGCACAAGAGAAAGCATTAGACGTCGAAGACCAGCCTTCAGACGAGGATGAATGAACAGGTTCTTTCTCTATCCTGGTAAACATCGTGCTACCTCATGGTCATGGATCTCAGTTCTTCCTCTGTATGCGAGCTGAATATCACCCTAGTACCGCGACCTCCATGCGATCGCAGTTTCGTGCCATAATTGGCACGAACACGTCCAAGCGTGGCTACCATCCTTTCGTTGATCAGGCTCTAATAACCAGGAGTTCCGCCATTTGATTGAAATAACCGAAAATGGCGGGCATGTTTCTTGTATCATATACATTTTTGCAAATCGAAGGGCGGCTATTGAATATCGGTGTCTTCACCAAACACGTGAGGCCGCAGAGCAGTTTGCACTTGGGACATGAAGACAACTGTGAACTTGAAGAAAATCCTCGATCGTCTGTCTGGAAGACTGCTTTTCTCTCTACTTTAACTGTCTCTGAGGTCAATCCAGGTTGAGGGCCAGTTCCGTCGTTCACCCACGTCGGTCACATGTTACCAGCCGGCAATACTACACCATCTCGGTGATGTCGTACCGACAAGATCGTGGTGTTCGGTCCTCTCTACAGATTGTACATCTCAAAGATGTAGAGTTGATCATCATCTGAGACTTGAGTCGTTGCTTCAGCCATAAGCAGTCTGGAGGACAATGCTCACGGTATGATATGATTTATTTGGTGCTGGGCTCTGGGTAGCATTCTGCGTCTGGATCATCGTCTCGCCTCATCTCCTTCCATCATATCTTGATTTCTGATCCGCCGCCTGAACGTTCTGCATCTGTCTAGTTAGAGAGCTTGTAGCGCTCCAATATCGTGTATGTGCAGTGTTTCCATTGCCATATATATTCGATTAGCATGAACTAGATACATATCCCTCTAACACTCTACGTAGTCATACTTTAGCGATACTTAGTGAGTGACTCTTCTCAGTGGCGAAATTATAGGACAGGGGATAATGATAGAGGCTCTACTACACGCGCAAGAAAGCAACTGGATATCAGCTGACATTCCACGTGTTGTGCAATCCAACTGTGTCATCCGCACGGTTGATTGGACCGCTAGACGCCACCATGGTCTCTTGATCGTGGAATCCGTTGACCACACTGCCCTCACCTTTGCCTTCCCATGAGCTTGCGCCCGACTTCTTTTTGACATTGTCTGCACGTAGCAATTCCAGTTGATGCAAATACTCCTCAGTGACACCACCAGTAACATATTCCCCTGTGAATACGGAGCAATCGAAAGTTGGAATGGACGGGTTGAATTGTCGCACAGACGCGACGAGATTAGGAAGAGTCTGGAACACGACAAGGTCTGCACCGATGGCCTCAGCTATCTCCTGAGTGGTGCGCCCGTATGCAACAAGTTCCGTCCTTGAAGGCATATCAATACCATAGACATTAGAGTACCTAGCAAGGATTCGTCAGTAATGTGATGGTGGTTGGTAGAAAGGAACAACCTTATTGGTGGAGCACAGCTCGCGACGATGACCTTTTTTGCGCCAACATCTTTCGCCATCTGAATAATTTCTTTTGAGGTGGTGCCACGAACAATGGAATCTGAAGCCGTGTGTCAAGGCAAGACGACAAGATCATTCAGTCGTTGCAGAACTTACCGTCAACGAGGAGAACATTCTTCCCAGAAAACTCCAAGGCCATGGCGTTCAGTTTCCGCCTAACATTTTTTCGTCTTAGAAAAACGCCATCAATGTTGTGAATTCATGGAAAAAAACATATATCTGACCTCATTTGTTGACCTGGCATAATGAATGTCCTACCAACATAGCGATTCTTGATAAAGCCTTCTCGGTAGGGCAAATTGAGCTTCTGAGCAAGATTCAAAGCTGCAACACGAGATGTGTCAGGAACCTGAAAACGCGTCAGAAAAAAATGTGGAACGAGGGGAACCACTGACGGGAATGACGACATCCACTGTGATGCCGCGTTCCTTCAAAACCTTGTCGACTTCAACCGCAAGCGCGTCGCCCATGGCCATTCGACTGCGATAGACACTGATGCCGTCAAGCACTGAATCGGGACGAGCGAAGTAGACAAATTCGAATATATCGGGTGCAAAGATCGCATGCTCTGCTACACGCTTCCTTGAAACCCCTGACCGAGTGATGATTACTGCTTCGCCTAATCAGAAACTGACGTCAGTGACTGCGGCTAACGGTAGGAATAGACACTGACCAGGCTTCACATCCTCCCATTCGCTAAAGCCCAGAGCATCAGCAACAATGCTCTCGCTTGCAAAAAGGTAGTCTTTCCCAGAGTTGCTCCGTCTGGAAGCCACCCCGAGGGGTCGTATGCCATTCGGATCTCTGAACGCAATGATCCCAAAGCCAGCGAGCATTGCAACACATGCATATGCTCCTGTGCACTGCTTCATAAGGCCTCCAATGGCATTGAAGATGTCGTCTTCGTTTATGCGAAATTTGCCAGTCTGCTGGAGGTTGTTGGCAAAAAGGTTGAGTAGGAGTTCGGAATCGGATGAAGTATTTATATGTCTATGTGCGGTGGCGTCCATATATTGCAGGAGTGAAGGGCCATCTATGAGGTTCCCATTCTAATCACCTTCAGTCTTGACTCTTGAGTGACCAGTCTCGAGAACAAACTTACATGCGCAAATACAATACCATAGGGTGAGTTAACGTAGAACGGTTGAGCTTCAGCGTGGTTCGAGCTTCCAGCAGTTGGATAACGAACTACAATGTGCTAGATCAGATAATCGTTGACAAGACCAGTTTGCTCCCGAGGGCTTACCATGACCAACACCCATCCCTCCGATGAGTTTGGAAATGGCCTTCTCGTCAAAGACATCGCGAACCATACCGTTGGCTTTGCATTGAAAGAATCGGCCTTTTGGACCACAAGTCACGATGCCACACGCATCCTGTCCCCTGTGCTGGAGCAAAGAGAGACCTTCACATATGTCTGGTGCTGCGTCCACCGATGGATCATGAAGCAGCAGACCTAAAATGCCGCACACTAAATTGGAGATCTGTCAGAGGATCTGGCACTTGGACGATCAAGAAGCCAACTCACTCGTGATGCAGGGGTGAAATGAGAGAAGATGTGAAATTAAGCTGGGACGACGCCCGTTCGCGTGATAAACGTGCAGGTCACTACTATCAGTGGTTACAGACCTGAAGAAAAACTGGCATGGTGTTTAAATCACTTTGCCGCAACTTTGCCGCAACTTTGCCGCGTGATAATCTTTTCCTTGATAATTTGACCTCGGTCCGTATATGGACGAACCACGCACGTGGGCTGATGTTGCGGCAGGAGTGACTCCGCCATTTCCAGCCGGTTCTGACCGGTTCTCTCCGGCAGAATTCGATGGCCGGAGTCCGGCAGAAGTGTAATTATGTAACAACCTTATAGTTATAGTAACACTAGTAAAGATTGTAATCATCAGAAAGCCGTAGGACAGCCAAGTCGTCGACGTGGACACACTGATGCTCTTCCTACCACACACCTTGTAGCGCTTTGAGAATTTAACCAAGCGACAGAAGCCAATTGCTCGCAAATAACTCTGAGCGTGGGACTTGAGCTTGAGCTTGAAACAGCTTGTAACTTTATCAACGCTGGAAGCTTACCATTCTTCTGATACCGGCTTTCAAGTTTCCGTATTAGGCTAGTCGCTGTCCTTTGACCCTTATTGTCGTCTTACTTGAGTTAGACGATAGATGTGAAAATACACTGCCAACTTTTAATCACTCCTAAAATCACAGAAAAATACGCGGTTGAACGCGATTGTATTCTTCGGTACTACGAGGTGATATAGTGGATATAGGTAGGGCATCAACAACATGCAACGTCGTTGGGGTCTTCGCAAAGTCGCGGGTAATGGTCGTGATAATAGGCAGCGTATCGGCTGCGGAGTAGAAAGCGATGGTGTGCAATAGTCTACAGAAAGGTGCGTGCGATGATGAATGACAAATTAGGGAAGGATGAACTTCCTATGCTAGATAGAGCAAGATTCCACAGGAACCAGTCAGACAAAAGAGTGATTACAGCTTAAGCTGTTTGGGTTTCTCCCAGGTGTATGCGGGGTTACCTGTACACACATCAAGTTCTGCGCTACACCTGATAACGTCAAAAACATACCGAAGTGGCCGTAAGACGCGGTCCTCAGGTAATGGGGTTTCTGGAGGTCAAGCTCGCGCACTAGAAAGTATCGATAATTTATCCTTCTCCAGATAGAAGAGACTTACCCATGACACCAGGACGGAGATCCCAGTTGTTGCGAATGACGTCAACGAGCTCCTCGTTTGTCCTCTTGCCAGTGCCGTAAGTGTCAACGTAGATAGACAAAGGCTCGGCAACACCGATAGCGTATGAGAGCTGAACAAGGCAGCGGCGAGCAAGGCCAGCAGCAACGAGTGACTTGGCTGTACAACATTTCAAATACCGTGGATTGATCAGAGACAGATGAACATACCGATCCAACGAGCAGTGTATGCCGCAGAGCGATCAACCTTGGAGAAGTCCTTGCCTGAGAAGGCTCCTCCACCGTGTGCACCCCAACCACCGTAGGTATCTACAATAATCTTGCGGCCAGTCAGACCGGCATCACCCTGAGGGCCACCAATAACGAAGCGACCAGACGGTTGAATCTAATCCAACTCGTGAGCTACATGCGTCACTAGAAAGTAGAAATTCACGTACGTGGTAAACGATGCGGTCATCAAGAAGGTTGGCGGGGATGACCTGCGCGACGATCTTGCTTAGAATTTCCTTGCGGAGCTCCTCGGTGGAGATCTCCTCTGCGTGCTGGGTCGAAATAACGACCGTGTCCACACGCAGGGGGATCATCACACCACCATCGTTCTTGTACTCAACAGTGACTTGAGTCTTTGAGTCAGGGCGCAACCAGGGAAGAAGACCTGATCGGCGAGCATCAGCCATGGCACGGTTGAGCTTGTGCGCAAGCATGATGGTCAAAGGCATAAATTCCGGGGTCTCGTCGGTAGCATAACCGAACATGATACCCTGGTCACCAGCACCGTGGTCTTCCAGAGAGCCGTGGTCCAGGCCCTGAGCGATATCGGGAGACTGCTGCTCGATGGCAACCAGAATGTTGCAAGTCTTGTAGTCAAAACCCTTGGAAGAATCATCGTAACCAATTTGTTTGATTGTGTTGCGGATGATTTTTTGGTAGTCGAGCTGAGCTTTGGTGGTGATCTCTCCAAAGACCATGATCATGCCGGTCTTCGAAGCGGTCTCACAAGCGACCTTTGAAAAAGGGTCTTGCTCAAGGCAAGCATCAAGCTGTGAAGTTGATCAGATTTTTTCCGCAATGATGGATATTAAGTGGGTACTCACAATAGCATCCGAAACCTGGTCACAAATCTTATCTGCTATGGATTAGTTTCATTGCAAAGCTTTGACCACGACGAAACTAACCGGGATGACCTTCACCTACAGACTCAGGAGGTGAACAATAAATGCCCAGGTGCAAGAGCAGGACGCGCGTGACCGTTAGCAGCCATAGGTAAGACAAAAGTCGTTGAAAAAAGAACGAGGAAAGGATTGGGAGAAGGAGGGAGAGAAGATGTGAGACCAGTCGTTTGCGCAAAACAATTAAAGGTTCAATATAGCTTATATAAGCAGGGCATCACGCCATCCTTCTGCCACCTTCTGCCATCCCCTTGCCAAAAAATACCAGGTTACGTCCTCAAAAACAGGATAGATAGCAGACTCAGACGTGGCATAACCTAATTCACATGAGTCCTAAATCTGATGGAGGGAAAAAGTTCAATTAAGCCTCACAACATGTATAGCGTGGGTCCTGATAGTAGATGATAGCCAAGCGAATTGATTACTATTACAAAAATCCTACACCAAGAGGATCTGTATTTGTCGAGGAAGGTTGATCTTCCTGTTCTAAAACAAGGCTGTCATCAGACACAACCGTGAGATGTGGTACGCCATCGTGGCTCTGCCCAGATATTCGGAATCCTGACGAGTCTCCGTACTCTAGGCGACGAGGCGGATGTGCGACTGTTGGGTCAAGCGGCAATGATTTCCCATCAAAGAGATCTTGTGACAAGGAAGCCTGTCTAGGTGATCTTGACCTAGTGGTACTCCAGGGATTATCCGAGGGGAGTACATGTATAGTCTTCTGGGGTTTCACATTATCCCAAGGGTTGTGTGATGAGCCGACTGAATGTGATTGGCTGGTTATACGATAAGCAGGGCGTCCTTCATCTCCAAGGCGCTCACGAGGCTGAAATTCGGAGATTTTTCCTTGGGCATTTTCGTTATCTCCTGATGGCTTCGGTAATGTTTTGAAGTCCTTTGCGACTCCGTCATAAGCGTCCTGCATCGCTGAGAATGCTGCGGTAGCATTCGAGGATAATTTTCCCCACACTGATCTTACTCCGGTGTTGTAAAATGTATCCGCGGAATGCGCAGTCCGAGAGCGAGCCGGATGTAAAGGATTGCTCCCTGGAGATGATGGTCGAAGGGGAGGGCTAGAAGGCCGCAGTGATGCGGGAGACGGAGCCGCGATGTTATCTGCAGTCATTCTCTGCGGAACGTCTGGTAACGAAGACCATAGTCCACGAAGGCCCGAAGTCAGCGTTTCAGACGCATTCCCAGGGTTGGATGGCACAATAGAAGGATTCGAAAGGTTTGGCGTTCTGGCAGGTGACGGTGGGAGCGGTATTCCTGCGGGAATACTGATTGAATTAACAGGATCATCCTCCAGGGATTCTATTGGAGATGTAAATTCTGGCCCCTCCTTCGTCTGATAAACGATTATCCTCCCATTCATCTCCTCCTCGGTCCTGCCATAAAGCTCGTGCCAAAAACGAATATCCTTGGCGTTCGGATAAATAACACCCATGTCAGCTGAAGGATCTCTACTGGAGGGATCATCCAAAGAGGGGTCGTATGCGTCATTCTTGTTTTGCTCTAGCTCCGATGTCGAGTTGAAAAAGTCCCAAATGCAAGCTGCCCGCTCTGAGGGAGCAACGCCGTCTTCACCAGCTCGTCGTTCTCGTTCACAATTGTATAAGAAGTTGCCGAATTGGCACGAATAGAGGTGATATAGCAGTTGGCGAAGGAAGCGTTCATTAAACTCAAAGCGAGATGGATACTGCCGCTGCAGCTGACGAACGCATTCCAGGAATTGGTGGAAACATGGGCTCGTCTCTTTCAGGTGACTCTGGGACGTAAATCGATTCTGGACAGAAACCAAGAAGGCCTGCGCCGCATCGGCGCCACTACTCGTCCCCCCAGTGTCCGGTAACGAGGTAAAGAATTTGTCGGAGGAGAGGTGCCCGCAACGGTCAAGAATTTGTGCCCAAAGGACACCCAATCTTTCTCGATGAGTATCTGGAAGCCTCGAATGGTACGGTAGTGGGGATCCAAGCATAGCTGGGCCAAGGCAGATAACTGAGACGTTCGATCCCAGCCATCTGAGCAATGAACGAGAACATGTGACGAATTAATGTGAATGTTTCGGACAATGAGAGCTGCACCCTCCATTATATTCGATATGTGTTTGAGCCATCCAGAACGACGTAGCGCCTGTCGGTCGACTACCACAAGTTGTTGTGCTTCTCCAGGCAGGCTGCCTGTAACACTCGCAGAAACGTTGTCTGCCTCGCGTAATACATCCACCACCTTGGCAAGGGCCTCGCGCATAGTATGTATGTGGTCTATGCCCAAATACACCTTCTTGGCGTCCTTGTAGTTGTCCATGTTTTCTGTGCCTGCACCTTTGGCTGTGTTAGCCACGGCATTGGCAGTGGGCCGTGCATCAACTATCAAATTTGTGCTAGTGGCACCGTAAACCGGTCCAGATGGGCGCGATTCCGAGAAATGATGAGACTGGAACACAGCTTCAACGAGCTTCTCATCTTGAAGTGAGCGGTTCTGCTTGATGCCCACCATCGGCTGGCTTGATCTTGTGATGCTGCCCTGAATGGGATAAATTAAACAGTGTACTATATCTCGGGTGCCCTGATACTAACAAAGTTTGCCCAGTGCAAGTAGGTCAGCGCAGGTACCCGACATTTGCTGCGGTATTTGGAAGCGTATCGCAACGTCGAGTCACTGATGCGAGACGGGACTACCAGCCGTGACGGGTAGGTAGGCGAGAACTTTGAATTGATCTTCAGACATTGGATGATTCGACAAGCCCGATACTCACAACGTAATCCTTGTTAATATCAGTGAAACGCCAAGCTTTTGTACGAGTTCCAACCCCCATACGGCCGAATTCTTCTCTTGGAGAGTAAAGGGACCATCCCCCCGTAGCATCAAAGGGCGGGTTAGGGGCGTAGAAGAAAGCATACAGCTGGTTGACAGAGGCTAATAAATGTCAACAATCGATGCAACTTGAGTCGAGGGATTGGATGCTCACTGCACACGGTTAGCTCTTTGACACTTTCGAATACATCTAGAGCGTCCCGTTCCTTCTCGAAGGACAGCGAAAATGTTTCAAACATACGAGTGTGAAACGTTAACGGGCTCTGTCCATACAGGGTTTGCGGGAGCTTCAATACAAGAGATATCAGCGGGTAAGGTACCTGCAGTGCGAGTTATCAAGTGCAGCACGCCGTAAACCGGGATGTAGAACTCGCCCACATCTCCTCCTTCTCAGAATCCTCATACCGAAAAATAAGGTGATGAGCAGTAAGGTGGAGTGACCCATAATGAGCCCTGCCTGATTTGCCACATAGTACCTTTTCCACCTGCACACGCGCTGTTGAGCATGTCAATCGCAAGTCTCGTGCGCAGCGCACCTTTGAAACTCTGATTGAGTCCATCTATCTGCAGCTGCTGGGAGTGGATGCCGCTCGACCTTAGCCCAGCTCTGAGCTCAACGTCAGACGGAATCAATTGAAGTATGTTTGGTCCTATTTACACATCATCGCCTTGTGATGACTCGATGCCGCTACTCAGTCTCATTTCCAAGCTAGAGTATTGCCTATACCACAGTATATTTATTCATTCAAACACCCACAATTCACTAACCGCATCCCTACCAGCCAAACAGTCGCCCAGGTTCGCTGCATCTGCCATTGGAAATATATCTCTCCTCAGCTCCATAGCTAACGCGGGTTCCCTTTTTACTTTACGTCTAACCTCAGTTTCAATGAGCTGCAATATTGTTACAGTAAGCGTGTGCACAAGAGTTTTGAAGAATTCTTTTACCGTTCCATACGTGTGATCAAGGAAATCCTCCATTGAATAACCAGGCTTTGTAAAAGCCTCTGAAAAAATGCGCACTACGGTTGACACTGCAGGATCATAGTGATGAATATGGGAGTGAAGCTCCCATAACGAAGAATCAAGGGCGTTGGTAGAGTTGGGATTTGGCTCGTCGGCAATGAACGGGTCTGATATCGCGATTAGTTAGATCGTGAACAAGGAGCTGAATGAATGCGTACCGGTGTTGGTGCTAGGATTATTGTGTATCATTACCATCAGGGCCGGATGTTGCTTGAGAATATTGTACGTGAAAGGAACGATCATGATGATAGCCGCTGGAGGAGCATTCAATGAAAGCCTGGATAATCTCTTGACGAACGATGCCAATAAAGTTGCAGGCAAATGGCTGGACTGTCTCAGTAACAACAAGTGGAAATTGTAGAGATGGATCTTACGAGGAACTCAAAAATAGCTCGGTTAAACGGAAAAACCGAGCACGATGCTTCAAGTGTAGAACATCCCGATGGAGGAATGCGTATAATCGGGTGAAAAAAGAAGGGTAATCTCTACAGTATGAACGGTTAGTGAGACGTGAAGCGTGGCATATGAAGATTTGCACTTACAGATTATAGTCTCTCATTAGGGTGAACAAAGCGTTAAGTGCCAGCAATCCAACGGTTTCTCCTATAGTAGAATGGCTTAACAAATTATGGTTAATACCAGGAATGTTCCCTCACCAAGATCCACGCATGCGCTTATCCAATCCATGACAAGCACAGGCCTAGTGAGATGTGGCAGGACACCACGATGCATTATATTCAATGCTCTTGTTGTCAGCGCTCGATTAGAGGATGACGAGATAGATGAGAGATGAGGCAGGAAGTTTAGCCACGTTCGCGTGAATACAGCGCGATGAGCTTGAAGGGAGAAAAGAGACTGGTGGAATGTCAGAGTGTAAGCCCGGCCCTTCACACTGTTTTTTTTCTCATCTTTCGCATTGGAATCCTCATCGAAAAATTTGCGCCAGTCATCCTCGTCGTTTCCATCCACCGACTCTGCGGCGTCATCCTCTTCAGCATCTCCCTTGGCACTTTTGTGTTTTGGGGGTTTTACGCCGAGCTCTTCCACCCACCACGAGTTAAGCTCTGACGAGTCCGTTGGAAATGTCGACAGCTTTTCCATAATAGAAAGCAGATTGTTGAGCAAGTGAGGATTCTCCACAGGTGAATATTTCGAGAGCACGGTTCTGAGGACAGAGTTAAGCACTGCATATAAATTTTGCATTGGGCCTTACGTTGCTTCTCGCAAAAAACACCATCGAATATCATCGTAGACGCTGAACCATGACTCCACGAAGTGCTCTCTCACATCCGGCATCATCTTTAAATTATTTTTATTGCTTCCATTCGACCGAGGGGACGGAGGGCACAGTAGGAGCCCATGTACTATGTGCTTGAAGTGCGCAAAGTGGAATTGCGGCTGTGCAGTCGAGGAAGACTTAGTGAGAGAGGTTGAGAGATGTTTCAAAAGTGAAAAGAGTATCTCCAGCGAGGATTTCTGGCATCGATGTAAGAATACAAAGCACAGCCAACGATATGACACGTACCCTCAGCGCAGGCTCTTCGTCTTGCAGTAAGCCAACGAGGAGTTCGACGTACGAATCCAACTTCTCCCATATCCACTTGCGGACAAGCTTGGCAGTAGCGTCACCTCCGTGTACTAGCATCCCACGAGTTATTATCAAGACAAATACGCGATAAACGCTATAGACAGCTTTGGACATTTCCCTCGCGTCTGATGAGCCATATGCCAGTATGAGCAGGTCCGCCAGTGGGTTAAGAGAGCCATTTTCTGTGACGGCAGATGTTAGCTGAGTCTCCAGAGACTTAACTGAAGTGGATTCAACAGCTGTCTTGCGTCTTTTGGTTGGGGGAGGGAGTGAGCGGACCGGCATGGTAGGGATATGCAAAGTTGAGCAGATCAATACCGATCATTTTTAGATTAATTTTATTTGCTTATTGAATCAATATTTATGTAATTATTATATGTACTCTGATATAAATATCTGTAAATACAATGAGGCTCTTTGTGCCGATCAATTACACTATCATCACGGGCCTGTTGATTCCGTTGTTCGCAGATGCATACTGGGCAATATATGATTGGCGTATCGACAGCGCTGTGGACCTATCGGACCAACACAGCCAGCTAAGAAACAACGACCGTGAGAAATTATGAATATATATCCACTTGATAACGTCCTCACTAACCGTGACGTTCCGTTGCCCCGATGTTATCTGTCACTTTCAAAGCTTCCACACGGTTGCGCTTTGCGTCGACCGCAGGTCACAGTTTGCGGTCTGCAGTGGGCCTGCGTCAATTCCATGGATCCCTGAAGTCCCAAGAGCACTACTTGAATGCTGATGAAAAGGCAAGCACCTTTTCCTGCCCGTAACATAGCACCAGCTTGGTCAAACATAACCACAAGCGCTACATGCATATATTTTCTAGACTTTTGAAAAAGTCGCTTTGAACCCTGCGAATGAAAAGGCCGTCCTGGTCGACTTTTATGCAGAGTGCGTAACTTCGGGTGTAACAGGCGTTTAGACATATGCTGACAAGCCGTATATTATAGTTGGTGCAACCCTTGCAAGATGATTTCGCCCCTACTCGAAAAATTGACTAGTGACGAGACAGTGAAAACTGGTAGCGGCCGTTCGCTTGACTTGGTCACGGTGGACACAGACTCAGAGTTCGACTTGGCAACAAAATACAAGGTGTGCAAACTTCGACTTGACCTAGGGCAGTTCTCATTCCTGCCATTAACATCAGGTGCGGGCGCTGCCCACAGTCATAGCATTCAAGGATGGCCAGAAGGTTGACCAGTTTGTTGGAGCCCTGAATGAAGATGGCATTCGCCAATTCATAGCCAAGTTGTAGGAGACATGTAGCGTCCTTACATGATGAATATGATTGTATATATTCGAAACCCCTCTGGTTCCAAAAAATGTATCAAAACATCGAAAGCGGTGTAGTGTTTGTTACAACGAGTTAATGAAAGGTTCAATATAGGTACACGTAGGAGGTGAAAACGAACTACCGGGGTCAATAAAGCAGTGGGGTCCACATCGTAATGCAGCGGTATAAACGAGAACTGTGTTGGGCGCTAACATATAGACGGGCAAGTGGGCGAACGAACATTCGCAGAACCGTCCAGGCTATTGTATCGAACAACAACCACCTCCAGTCTTTTGTTGGCCGTATACATCGTCTGCCTTAGTGACTGGACCCCACACGGACGGAACCTAGGTAAATGTTATTCGTCATGTTTCGACACAAAACTCGCACAGTGAAGAGAACGTACGAGGTGGTCTTTCGTCGTCTTGCAGTAGCGGATTAAACTATGAACAAGTCAGCCTGGTTTTTAAATAAGACCAACGAATAGAACTCACCTAGCGGCTGCTTCACTGACCCGGATTCTTGGCCTTGCCAAGTCTTCTCGAAGGCGCTGGTTGTGCTCCAGTAGCCGACGATACCGTAGCTCCGACATTGATTGCCTTCCGCCTCGAGAGCTCATGCTTATGGTATTCGTGTGTGGTGAAAGTCCCTGATTAGCAAAAACTGCGAGATATGAGTGTGGTCAATTATTGAGTACGAAAGTACCCACTAGCTTTGTATCAACTGCCGTATGATGTACTTGTCGCGTGTCGTATCACAAAGTCAAGAGAGTAGGATACCACAGAATTAAACGGTAGTACTTTGTGGTGATCGCGGTGGGGAGACAAGTCTGCAACGGTACAATTACCCGGTTTGACTGCTTTGAAATGATAATATCCAAATTTGGACAATTATATTTTGTTCATAAAATTCTTTTCTACGCTTCCCTCCTAACGTGCCTTCAAGCTTCAGTATCTTCAGTGCTAGTCCTCAGGCTTCTGGTAAGGCTGCATGGGGATAACAAAGTTGAAGAGCGAAGTCGGCGACCGGGCAGAATTATGAACAAGCATAGCCCGGGAAAGTACATTCAATTTACTATTAAGCTCCTCGACTGAAAGTTTCAAGTAATGCGCCAGAGCTTCTTAGTGTAATTCAGTCACAATCTGAACCCATGAGTTAATTATGACCAGGAACGGTAGGAGAACAGCCTAAAGGATTGGCATTTAAATAACAACGCAAGTCATACAAACAATACGAGAACTCCGTGATGAATCCCTGGCAAGAACACGCTGTATGAAGGGTAGAATCAGTAAAGTGACATGACGGAAGTCCGGGCAAGGTACATGACGTGCAATAGAAGGCAAATTGTGCTCAGTATCTGTCCAGAATGCCTCGTAGAAGTTTCTCCCTGGCTTTTGCATGATCTCCGGCTGCGACAGACTTAGTTGTCTGGTCAAGTCTACATATGAAATCCTCGACGTCCCCGGGCGCCGATTTCGAGTGACCTTGAAGTCGTTGGACTGAGCGGAATGACCATTCTGTGATCAGGCTCATAATCCAAGAAGTCTGAGATAAAATACCATATTCATTGACGGCCTTTTCATAACTATGGAGGAGCTTGTCACTCTCAGCGCATACATCTTGCAGCTGAAGAGATAAATTTTGAAGCGTGTCCTAGAAAGTCATTGCTGCGTCGAACGAAGAGATGAAGGCAGTTTTCACAAACTAACTTTCACCCTGGTGAACGCCCGAACCACTTGATCGTGTTCATGCCTTGCAGTTGCAGCGTCTTCGAGTCTCGAGCTCTTGTCAAATAGGGCAACTCCACGGAGTAAAGTCGGAATGTTGTCATGCGAAAGGAATTTGTGAGCCTCTCCTACTCGAGTGACCACCGGAACGAGAGTCTCCCTGTACTGTTCTGTTGCTTCTCTGCGACGAGCCAGGAATGCTGGCGAGAGTCGATCGATGATAGCTGCGCCATCAGCAGATTCAGACGCCCCCTCTCTGAGATGATGATGAGCGACGAAGTAATCCCTGAAGGTTGTGAAGGTATTGAATACCCGTCGTCTAAGAGAGCAATCAGAGTCGCATGCTCGTCCCAGTCAGAGTCCGCGGAACCATTTTCGTCTTCATTATCCCGGTGCCCCTGAATGGCGTCCTCCACATCGGTAAATTCGTCTTCTTCGCGATATTCAGTGTAGCCAGGGGGTTCTTCTGATCTAGTAGGAGACTGGTAATAAGGTTCACAGATGCATTTATGCCGATTCTGAGTCCTCCGGGAGGGTGAAACGAGTCTGTTACGGGCCATTACGCGTGATTTGTCTGTCTTAATCACTGCAGTACTGCTGTCAGTAACGTCCCTGAAGGCTGAACGCGTAGATGGCATCTGACATGACTTGAGCGCTTTCGACACTGTGGACCGCGTTCGAGTGTTCGACATCGACTTCCTATCGCTTGGTGATAAAAGGCGCACCATGATGAGTGTTACACTTCGAAACTGTATTAAGAGAGTTTGCAAGACCAATGCAAGGTCTCCTGTGAATTAGAACTCCGACACGGTATGTCCCACTGTTGATCGTTGTTCGTCTCTCTCCCGTACATCTTGGCGCGGTGGGCAGGTCCGTTGTTTTTTTTTCACTTCAAGTCTGCCAATTTCTTTGCTTATAAGCTATCTGTCATCGCAGGCGCATACTAGGTTCCCTTCTCAGATCTCCTGAGCTTCGCCAACCTCTTTGTTCTCGTTTCCGCACTATTTCACCATGAACGCTCGTCCACATAAGCAGTCTATGTCGGAGCTAAAGCTTCGCAGGCTCACAGAACACAACCAACGACTGCGAGAGGATCTCGCGCGACCGCGAATGAGAGTGAGCGAAGCTAGTGCAAGGTACTGTGCTATTTTCTTCCCACCATGGTCAGGCACATAAGATCTTACCCTCTGTCTCCATCTTACAGTTTAATTCGTTACTGCAAGACCACAAAAGACCATTTGGTGCGTTTGTACTACCGGTGCTCTCAGCGCTTTCACTTGCTCCATAATTTCATTTTATGTGCCTATGCACTTTACGCTCATACGTCATATTTTCAGGTACCTTCTGTGTGGGGACCCGTTGGAAGGGGTGAGGACCCGTACGCACCGCCGCAAACAGGCTGCACCTGTATCGTGATGTGATATGTTATTCCTTATACCCCATACCGTGACATACCCCCTTTCAATTTCTGTCTACGGAGAGAACGGAGGAAACTCCAAACACTCTTTCCTGCGCGACACCTCCACGCATCCTACGCACATCAAACCGCCCACGCTCGTTACACGTATCCTACATATCCTCGTCATCGTGACTTTCCAAAACCTGATGGACGATTCATGGCTTGCACATCCTTACACTCCAGTCGTATACATATTGCTTAGAACTGCAAATCCTTTGCCGCTTCGAGTCGTTCCAGGGTCTCTTTTATCCATTTCGAGCATGACATTCTTTACATGGTCCATTCTCTCACTTTTTGCATAGCTCGGTGTTTTATTTGTTTTTATCAGTCTTTGTCTCGGCTGGAGGTGCATCTATGTGATATATATTTGTTGGGAAGAGACCCTTGACAATGAAGCCATTTACTATCATATTATTCTGAGCCAAGATCTAGTCACTAGTGAACAATTTGAAACAGCTTTCGATCAACCTGAGCTCTTTGCGCTTATTTCCTGGAGTCTTGTTCTGTCAAGTTATTGTTCTTGTATTGCGGTCTCTGTGTTTCGTTATAAACAGATGATTATTATCTCTTCATGAACTTTTGCTACGTCTACTTGCGCCAGCACCCATCTCTGAAAACGTGTTCCGTTGTTCCATCATAGTAATTTTGGGAAATATACTGCTAAATCCACGGTCAGCTCACAGGCCACGAGTTCGATCGCCTCTACAGTTGGTTCAAACCTTCAGTTACGTACACTCCTCTGTCCCATGATCCAAGACGTGCGCCTGCAAATTCGCGAGTTTGCTGCGCCAGTTGCGCAAAAACTGGGCATCGGCAAGATATCCGACTTTGCCGACGTTATCTTGCTCTCCTTCGTGTTCTTTACTACTGTGCACAATAGTCTCTCACCCGCCGTAAGCAGTGCGCTTTTTCCTGTTTCATATGGGAAAGCAGGAAAGAGAGCGAGGAACAACTGGTGAGGCTGACTACACTACACTTCTTGGGCGGGTAAGAATTCACAACGACAGGGATATACGTGTAGCATCGCTCGTCCATGCTATCTTAATTGTATTTCTTGCCGGGCGCTGTCTCAATCTTCCGAGCCTTGACCAAAATCGCGCCTTTGGTTGGCATGAAGATGCAGGGTTTCTAATAGCTATTGCAACAGGGTGAGTTGACACTTATCAAACGCCAACACAGTTTTCTGACTTCACTCTAGTTACTTTATATGGGACACATTGGAATCGATCATCCATTTCAGTGACATTGGATTCGTTTTCCATGGTATGTGTCTAATGTGTTTCTTCGCAAATTTGCTCCCAACCCAGCCTCAGGCATTTCGTGCCTTCTGATATACAGCCTTTCATTTGTGAGCGATACGATTATACCAGAGCTTCAAGAATCTAACGTGCCCATTTAGACGCCATTTGTTCCTTACTATGCAGTACGTTTCTTGTTTTGGGAGCTGTAAGTGATATATCATAACAGACGTCCAGTTCTTTGTTCATACTGTTCACAGGAGCACTGTATTCTTGAACATTCATTGGTAGGTCGTGATTATATATGTTCATGATGATGTAAATGAGCTTCGCTGGTAGGTTCTTGGACAAGACAGGAAAAACAGGCAGTGCCCTTCAGCTTGTCAATGGTATTGTCCTCATTACGACCTTCTTTTGTGTACGCTGCATCTGGGGCGCAATGATGGTCGGTGCCTGTCTGAACCTGGCTTCCTTTACACTAATGCTTTGAATGCAGTCGTATGACTTTTTCGTAACTTTGGATAGCGTATACGACCAAATTTTGACACCATACCTCATCATTTATGGAGGCGGTAATGTCTTGCTCCAAGGGCTCAATTGGTTCTGGTGAGACTTGCGCTGTCATTGTCTTGAATGATTGATTTATGTTCATAAACATCAGGTTCACCAAGATGATAGCTGCACTTGTGAAAAGGTTTCAAGGAAAACCCAATGGTCACAAGGTCATCGAAAAAACTAAGACATAACCATCTTTTATAGATCGTGTCGTTCTGCAGGTTGAATGCCAGTAGTACCAGATACTATATGCTTAAATACATGATCATGCACAAGATATCATACCACTAGGCCACGGTGAATGCTGCCTCTACTTGTGTCCGTACTCTCCGCTCCCAGGCAACAAGGTTTACGCGTCGAGTGACCTCAATTCTTGTACTGTCCATGCTATACAGAAGACAGTGTAGGTACGCGAATGCAAGTGCATCCAATGCAGTGGGATGTCTGTGTTGTGTCAGTGAATACATCGGGTGGCTTCGCGAGTACAATAATGACTTACTCTGAGCCAAGGAACCAGTGGTCAGTTCCAAGCCGTTCCGAGAGTGAAGTGATGGCCTCTGCGTACTGTCCTTTGATGGATGAAAGTGTAATATTTGCTCCATACGGTGGCAGTACTGAACTCAAACCAGTCAGAGGGGCAGGTGGTGGGCTGAGAGTGGTTGCCAAGGCCCTTCCTCCAGCGATAGCTGTCAGGAAAAGTTGAGACAATGCGGGTCGTGGAGGTTCTGATAGAGTCTGGCAAGAACAGTCAGGATGTGGTCTGCACACGAGACAGAGGGCACGCACTAAGGCAGCATGTACTACTCCCTCGAGCAAGGAGACCCATGCGTGACTCTCGTCTTTGAGTATTTCATCACTGTAACCATTGAGAGGATCGTTCCCGCCGCCAACTTGTCCATTCACCCAACCAGGGATAGAACGTGGTGCTAACAGCTCACTGCTGACATCCCCAAACACAGGAGTGTGTAGACAGGGCAACCGACCATCGATCCCACCTTCTGGAGAGATGTCCCACCGTACAGTGATGTTAGTGAGCCCACGCAAAGCGATATATGCCTGCCATTTCAGACACTCGACGTCTGTGCTCAGAATATCGGAGTTAAAGGCTTGGTCGACTGCCGTTGTCCGAGGAGGTGCAATCCATAGCGTAGGCTTTTGCGAAGGACATCTTGAGATGACTTGAATCGGTGAGTAAGTGTGTAAGGGGAACTTGCTGAGGAACCTCTGGAGCGGTTCAGGAAGACTGAGAACTGATGCCATGCTAGGAAAACACTAGTGCTACGATTTATTCGTTACAGAGCGTTGAAGCATGTTTGTAATATACCATACCTAATATAGGGACATCTACCACTGAAAAATTCTTTTATGGTATATATATCTCACAAATTTCAAGGCACCGGGCAGGTAAGTTAGTAGCTTATGAGATTTCTTGAACTTGCTTACCGACGTTCGCGTCGACGATATTTGCTGGCAAACAACTGGCAACCTTATTGGACGTAACGAACTGGCTTCACTCTTCTATCTTTTTTTTTGAGCCTCGTCCTCAGTCGGCGCTTCCAAATACCGAACTTGCACACAAGCAAGTGTAGAACATGTCTGATTATGTGTCAAGTCCCTCTAGGCCAGCCACGCCAGTACCCGCTTTACCAGAAATACCAATTGCACGTCCATTCCGCTTAAACTGGGATACGTCTTCTCGTGTTCGAGGTCCAGCGAGCGTTTCAGAGACCACTGAGGGTCGTGGAGGTGACTATTACGCAGCACCTTTCCGCCTTGAATTGCCCAATCTATCAACCGTCAATATTGCCCCTGGTGCTTTACCCCAGGAATGGAGTAGCTCAACACAGGGATTCAACGGTAGGCCACGCTACCGTCGTGTGATGCGTGGTGCTCATTGTTTCCAGCGATTTCAACGGTTCTCAATAACCCTCATAGACACCAAGCACCTCCAAAAGCCCATTCCTCTCTCCCAGCTGTGCCCCCAGCCGACTTACCGCGCGTGAAACGCAAGGATTTCGATCCGTATCTTCGAGCCATTGGGCCCGAATGGGAGAGGTTCGAGCGAAACATGCAGCTTAGTCGGGATGGTCAAGAGAAGCCGGACGCATCATTTAGTCATCGTGGTTCAACAGACACTCCGCCTATGCCATTCACGCCTCGTGCAGGAAAGCTATTAACACCACTTAGCTCCGTCCCTCAGGTGTTCTTCGATGCTCAATTTAACCTTGGTGACCCACATATATTCAATGCCGTCATAGAACACCAGGAAGAAGATAATGATTCCTCCGACCCTTCGTCGCTCTCATATTCGCTCCCTCTTCTTGAGAAGCTCTCTCATCATGCAGATACTATTGAACAGCATCTTGTTCGAGAAATTTCTCTTCGGTCCACATCATTCTTTGCGGCATTAACCAACTTGCAAGACCTGCAGACCGAATCGGAAGAATGCCTTGATCGCATATCGAAGCTCCGCGGACTGCTTAAGGAGGTTGATGAAAAAGGTGCCAAACGAGGACTAGAAATTGTGAGGACAGAATGCAAACTGCTCAATCTCGAATCTATCTGTAGTGGTGTCAAAGAGATCGGGGGCGTGGTGGAGATGACTGGTGTTGCAAAAGGATTAGTTGCAGCAGGACAGTGGGGCGAGGCCTTGACAGTTATTGAAGGCGTAGACGCACTCTGGGATCCAGTAGCTGCTGAAGCACCACCTGCAATTTCTGCGAGGGAAGCTCGCGCAGAACTTGTCCGCGTCCCTACTAACGGACGATTGTCCCCTCTTCCACCTATGCCGGAATCGCCTCCCCCGGAAAATGAGGGGACTAGGAAGACTCCATCAATACCACTGTCCTCCTTAACCGCATTCTCTTCTCTTCCTGCACACGTTCGTGCATTGACGATGGAGATAGCGTCCTCGCTTACCACGGAACTCGTCAGTGTGCTAAAGCTTGACTTATCAGAACGAGTGAATGGAGTACCTGAGCGGAACGGTAACGTGAATCTCTCCTTTAAGGATAGGTTGCGGCCCGTCCTTCAAGGCCTTTTGCGTACCAAAGGAATTCGCGAAGCCACAGTTTCATGGAGAGAAGTTGTGACAAGTGAAATGCAAGGTATCGTGAAGCATGTATGTGCTGGGCACTTCAATGGTGCATGGTCGTTGATGGTTCTCTAGCACCTGCCGTCTTTCAATATGGGTGATGAGGAGTCCAAAGGTCCTAAGGCTGCTTCAAGGTAAGCGGGGCGTTGACTCTCTTGGTACTACTATTAACCATGGTATGCTCATTACAGTGGACTTGCAAATCTTCTTCGCTCCAAAGAGCACGCGGAGTTCCTATTACTTCTCTCACAGCTGTATACGAGTCTTCTGAATGGTATCAAGGGTATTCAGGCCCAAAATGGCATACTAATAGAAGTGTTAGAAAGTTTGCTGTATGACCTTTTGTTTCTCCTTCTCCGTCTTATCGCTCACTGTGCTTCCATACCTTTTGGTTCATATCCAGAGCGCCGAAACCATCAGTAGATATCATCTCACTTCAAGAAGAACTCTTGGATATTCTATCTTCTACTGCGGACCTCTCGAACAAGCTAGCGGCAATAGTTATTGGATATCGTTCCGAACAGCATGCGCAACTTGATCTACCTGGCTTCCTTACCTTTTTCAATGCTTCGTGGGGCTTCGTGGTGCAATGCGAAGTGATATGCCGGCGGATGATCATGGGGCTGAGGGGTGTGGTCCTTGGTCAGGTACGTTCCTTTATCTAAGTCAATCAGAAGCGATCATAATACGCTACTCCTAGGCGAAGCACTTCCTACAAGCGTTCCATCAGGCCCGAATTAGCCAATCTGCGAAACTTGTCGAAGACGAGCTTTGGAATCCGATGTCGGACGTGCCTGCAGCACTGCAGCACATGGCAGATGTCTTGGTAGATTCCGCAGTCCGGGACTCCCCTGAGCTTATCGTAGGAGAGACAGATAGCTCGACTTCGGCCCCAAATCCGTTACCACCCCAATCTGCTTCAAGCAATCCGAATGGATCCGCGCCGTCGTCCAAGTACCTTCGGATCGAAGAACGACCATATTTTTGTGTTTCTGCCACAGGTGCCGTCCTCGGCCTGTTATTCGATTACCTTAAGCTTGTCGTCAATCTACCTATGCTTAACATCGATACGATGGGCCGAGTGATAGAATTTTTGAAGGCATTTAACTCTAGGACCTGTCAAGTTGTTCTTGGCGCTGGAGCCATGCGGTCAGCTGGCCTGAAAAACATCACAGCAAAACATCTTGGTAGGTACTGTTCGTCCCCCTTGACACTTAGGAACCACTGACGTCACCCTTTCAGCGCTGGCGTCACAGTCCTTGTCCATAATGGTCGCACTCATTCCGTACGTACGAGAAACCTTCCGTCGTCACCTGAGTCCAACCCAGGCAGTAATGCTAATCGAATTTGATAAACTCAAGAGGGTGCGTCCGGAACCGCCGGTACCAATTCATCACCGAATCTCACTCGTGTCCTAAATGTAGGACTTCCAAGAGCATCAGAGTGAAATTCATTCCAAATTGATTTCTATTATGGGCGATCGCACTAGTGCACATGTCAAATCTTTACAGGCAAGTTTTACGCCCTCTGCCGTAATATCTCTCGAGTCTGCTTTGAAAGCTAAACCGAGTGCAAATAGAACGTTGATTGGGATCGGCCCAAGCAGGGAGAAAGTGTCAATGATTACATGGAACTTCTCGTCAAGGAAACTGTCACGCTTCACAAAGTGCTCTCGAGGTACCTGACTGCACCAGTGGTGGAGGTTTGTGATACTTATGTCATACGTACCAACCAAAATCGCTTACATTCGTGACTTGCTGCACAGTATGTGATGTCTCAGGTGTTCGCTGCGATTAATCACCGCCTATCCGAAGAATACAGCAAGATAGACTTGCAAAATCAAGAAGCGAAAGACAGGTGACTAGAATAGTTGCTCTATCTTTACGCCCCGTGACGATTTTGACAGGATGCTCGCTGATGCGCACTACCTTCACGAGAAGTTTTCCGTTCTAAAAAGCGTTGGTGCACCTACAAACGTGCTCAAGAATGTGGTCGCCGAAAAACCTTTACCTCGGAAGTCGGCGTTCAGCAATATCCGAGCCACAGCAAGTCCCAACGAGCGTATCAAGGGGCTGCTTTCGCGGAAAAATAGTGTCAAGCCGGACAAACCACTACCCGCAGTTAATTCTTCTCCGACACCTAGCCCGCCGCCACCACCTCCTCAAGAGGCACCCACCCATGCTGCGACCGTGGAAGAAGATAGAAGTGGCAGCTCAACCCCTGATATTGTGGTGCCACCTTCACGGGGCAGTTCTCGCGCCCGCGGGATAATAGACTTTAAACAAATGGAATCTTCTTCCAGAGATGTAGATGCGGCAGAGAAGGATGAACTCCCGCCCATTCCCGATGACGCCAATCACTCACTGCTTTCAGAAGCCGACATCTCTAACGGTGTTGCTTCTGAGATGGAAAACAATTCCGCATCGGCAGCATCCTATAGGAAGGAGGAGCGTGAGATCAGTGATAACCACGACGAAGTTCCACCTGCTGTTCCTATATTACCTTGTAATGGCGATAGTTGATAATTTTGGTTGACGATTGCAATTTGGATAGCAATTATGGATTCTTGCAAGATTCCTATTTGAAAACTCAGAATGCCGGAATATTCTAGTGTTCCTCTTGGTGGCGTATTCACCACAAATATGTATCAGTGACAAGTCCTCCATTCCCCGATCCCATTGTTTTGGTCGGATCAACCAGGATGAACCCCCGGGCTTGTCCAGCTGTTCAGATAGAAAGTATTTCTGTATTTATATATCACAACAAACAAAGGAAACTGTGACCCCCAGGCCCCCCACTGAAACCTTGTTTCTCTTTGTTCCCTTACGTTGACACGGCACCCGTTAAATGCACTTCGGATCTAAATGTGGGGAAACGAAAATCGAGGAAGAGATTTAGAAGAGTATTAGCGAGTATTAATATACGCAGACTGAGTTTGATCACACGATGTGCTGCAAGTCGTTAAACTAACTCTGTTACAGCCTCTGACAGGTATGGTGATGCTGTGGGTGAAGCACATCAAGTATCACGTTCGTGTGAGGTTATGATGCGAGCGTATCCAATATTATATTGACCGGCGGTGACCAAACGGTTCCAGACTGATGTGGAAACGAGGGTGAATCTTCTAGCCTTTCCGGCAGTAAGCGTTGACTGATCTGGTCCTCACCTTAAAGGTCGTGAGTGTGCAACCAGCGGCTAGTGCATCTCATCATGCACGGTGTTACTAAGGATGCACGCTGCAAGAGCTGTGCGATCCTTTTGTTATTATCCTCGGGTGACGAGTGCCGTCCACAAGTTTATTACGTGCGAACGAGGAGTCACCCGTGGTATTGTCACTCACAGACGTTCTGTCTATGTGACAGAACTGAGTGAGATGGATACATCAATGAATCGGACTTCTGAGGGCGCATAAACGGACCTCTTGGCGCCTGTGATATGATGCCAGGCCTACTATCACATCACTTTCACATCATTTCACATCTCAGTTGACAAACATGCTGTCCTCAAATGCCGGTCAATTTTGACTCAAAGCACGAGTGATGGTGTCACCTCAGAGTCGCGCAATCAAACGTGCGACGAGGTGCCAAGGTAAAGAACAATGGGGTAGACAACGTTGCTTACAAATAATGCGAATGTGACGCTATGTGACGTGGTTCCTTGGGTCCCCTGTGAGATCACACGCTTTGACTCAACCCGGTCTTGTCTGAATTGAGTCATCTAATTCATATTTATTATTTCTCAAATATTCTATTCCTCGTACCGCCTCCCCCGTATTTAAGCCCGTGCTGTTCCTTTCCATTTTTCTCATACGTCCCATCATTGCACTCCGACGACGCCTACGACAGCGTGCTCGTCTTCATAAATAAGCTTAGTTCTTTACCGCCTGGTACCCTTTGTCGCTCAACTAAGCCTCATGTTCGAGGAGATATGCCTCGCATGTTCCAAACACCTCCGCGATGATGGGTATGTACTTCCCTACGCCCAGCTACCTACCTCTGACCCCCTTCATCAATATAGTCGTGCTTACTGCAGTGATGAATGCGAAAATTCAGACATGTATAATTCTCCTTCCATTTCTTCTGCCAGCAGTGCCCTTTCGTCTCCATACATCGATTTTACTCCCGGTGGCGAAGTTCCACCGCTCATGCCGTCTGCATTAGGAACCGCGCTTAGCAGTAATTTCCAGAAACGAGGCCGGTATTCTGTGTCGTCTTCATCCACATCTTCGGCTTCCTGGTCCCTCTTCACTGATGCAGAAGAGGAAGGCTATGCTTCTGTTGGCATTGATGACGAAGCCGCATATGAAGGAGATGGCTTAGAATCAGGTGTATCCGGTGACGGCTTCGCACGGTCCGCAGGCTTCTTACATCCGTGCAAGTCCTCAGGACTTAACTACACTCGCCAACCGTCAGCTACCAACAACCGCTCAACCATTCCCCTTCTTCACCGCCGAACGTCTTCTACATCTAGCTCAGGTTTCGGTCAACTGCATTCATCTGCTGAAGATGATGCTGATTCTATGAACGACGTTCCTTTCCACGAGAAACCTTCAGAACGAGAGCGGGAGCATAACAATCTCACTGTTACTTCCAAGTACAAAAAGAGCCGTAATCGTGCGAGCCTCCCTGCATATTTCTCTCTTCTGCAGGTCAGCTCCCCCCAACGCAGCTCGCCGCCACTTTCCACCAGTTCAGGAAACACAACCAATCGTGCTTCTCCTCCTACACCAAAATTAGCTTCATTGCTAGCAATCTCTGGCATTCGGTCTGTCGTAGAAGCGACGCCCCGTGGGCGGCGACGCGAACCTGACATGAATAGTCGCTCCAACTCCCGTTCTCGTGCACGCCAGCAGACTCTGGTTCCTGGACCTCGCGAACGCCAGGACAGCCGTAGCAGTGTCGAGAAAGTTTTCGATTGGACTTGCGCTCCGTTGCATCGAGGTCGTCCAAGTGTACGGCGCAACTCATCACCACTTCCAAAGATGATGTCCTCGATGCAGCGATTCGAGGAAACACCTTTCGTTAATTCCATCGATGAGGCACACGAACGCAGGGGCCGCTTCAAGCGCAACGAGCTTGACGGACCAGGCTCGCGTGATGCGCCGGGTTATGGGAATGGCAGGAGCGGCCTGCGAGAGCGGGTGCGAGAACGCCAGCGCGATGTTGACGCCGGTTTTCTGTAACCGCACCCCCCAGAACTCGTTTCTCGTTATGCATGCCACGCCGATATATTTTTGCATCTCAGGCGTGATAAAACCAATGGCTTCTCAATCGTTTTCTCGTCACATCGCACTCAAAAAAATAACCGCACAGACCTTTCACTCGCCCTTTTATATCGACCATACGTAACATATCTACCTCATCAAAGTATACGGCAGAACTTCTAGTAGTCGCAGAAAATTTACGGAAATCACAGCACGCATTCTTCGTCTTCACATATCACCATTCATTACTTATTCGTGGCCGTCACATTCAAAACTAGCATTCATCGTACCATTTAGCATCGACTTTCACCATTTTGTGGTCGTCACATCGGATCGAGGGGAATCATTATCAAGTACCATACATTGCTTGACATTCAACTGAAATTGTGCTATAACATCATCTGCCCAACTGAGCATGACACAATTATAGGAATCAGGCAGCATGCACCTCGTTGCAAACGTGCAGGCCATTCTCGAGTGACAAGAGGTGGTGACTACGGTAGATGTTCAGTGACTAGTGGCGCCGCAAGGGTCCCGACGTATCGTATTAAAGTATTAGTACCTCCGATCCTTTCCATTTGATACACGGCAAAGTAACGTGTTTCATGGTAATTCGTGAGCTAAAGATAAGCCAAAAAAAAACAACCGGTAACGCATTCCCCAGCAAGCAAACATGATGGCGAGGCTGGACAACCGGCAGGCAATGACCAATAGCAATATCGTAATAACGTAGAGCATGGGGCCTTGTACCCAGGATATTGTTCGCGGCGTGGTGTGAAAGGGTGCGAACCTTCGACACGCGACGGCGGACTTCCATTTCGGGAACTTACTGTACTGACTCCTCCCAATTCCCCTTCAACCCATCAAGCTGAAGCTCTGTCTTCGTTAGGGATTCATCCTTTACCAGCTACTCCCAAATCATCCAGAAATCCTCGTAAATATTATAGTTCCGCGATTGCACTTCTGGTGCTGCATGACATAGCTAGCCACAGAACCATCAACTTGCCATCATTGATTCACTTACTCAGCTGAATACTGCAGAGGACAATTGTCCTACACGCCTAGGGCCATATCCAAGCCTGGAATCTGCAACGGTTGAGAGTAACAGTCGGTCTACTACCACGCAATCAAGGGCAGTCGCTGTACAAGCCCATACAACTACTTCGATACCGGCTACCAGACACCGGTCCCAGCTTGAGGAACCTGTAGGTGACATACAATCTACTGCATCAACAGGTGCGGCTCGTCTGGTTTTCAGAATGTCCAGATCATGTCTACTAACCATTCATTCCTTTATCCAGATACTGAGGTCTCGAGGCCTCGCAAACGACAAAGAATCGATAGCATAAACACTCTGGAATCCGCATCTACCTCCCTGACCGTCAATAACAGTCTTCGCGTCACTAATTCGCCTCTAAACGACATGCGAAATCCTGAACCTGATAGCCATTCCAACTTGTCTTCTTCATATGATTTTGTACCAGAGGCAGGCCCGTCTTGCGTCACCTTGGACAAGGCTGGTCATTCCAATGGAATAAATAAGGAGAATGGGTACTCTACTCCGGCGTCAAATGGCACTATTTCGAACGGATCTTCAACAATGGGAAATGGCCTCGCTAAGCACAGTTCATCCATCACGCGAGTGTCACTGCCAGGCACCACCCTCTACGACGACCCACATCTTGATCGAGAAGAGTTTGTGAGATTAGTTATCCAAAGTCTTAGAGACGTCGGGTATATGTAAGCGATTTTTTTTTGACTCGCATGCTCTTCCCTTATCACATTCCCTTCAGAGAATCTGCTGCCACTCTCGAAGCTGAGTCAGGGTACTCGTTAGAAGCACCGGAAGTGTCGGAATTTCGGCAACATATCCTGCGCGGTGCCTGGGCCGATGCAGAGCCTTTGCTCATTGAACTTGGGGTGACTGATGCTGATGCTCTTCTGGTATGCATATCTTCCTGTATGGCGGACATACCCTTCTGATGGTTCTATTTTTAGGATGCACGCTTTCTCATTGGAAAGCAGAAGTATCTTGAATTACTTGAGGCGCGTAAAACGACCGCTGCGCTGCAGGTACTGCGGAATGATCTGGCTCCGTACAGTACCGCGTTAGAACAGGATGAACTCCACGCATTATCTAGGTGAGCTCTTTGACATATCTTCATATCTTACATTCATGATGACTCTCGTCCAGCTTAATGATGTGTTCAGATCCACAAGATCTGCGTCGACGTGCATCTTGGGATGGAGCGTCGGGAAATTCACGGCGACAACTTCTTGATGATCTACAACGTCAGTATGAGATCCCAATAGAAATATCTCTTTGTGCTCCTACGTGTTTTGTCCAGTCACTGACGTCTTGCCTCACAGATTATATACCTTCTTCGACCATGATTCCCCAGCGCCGATTTTCTACCCTTCTCGCACAATCGCGAGAATATCAACGACAACGTTGCCTCTACCACAACTCCCCCGTGAATCCATCTTCATCCTCACTATTTAGTGACCACACATGTGACAAGGAATCCTTCCCTCGAATAACAACTACCATCCTCGAAGTCCATTCAGACGAGGTGTGGAATGTGGCCTGGAGTCATGATGGTACACATCTGGCAAGCGCAAGTAAAGATAAGACTGCTATTATTTGGCGCATTGGGGTTAGTTGGACTGACTTGCAGCATTTAACATACTAATTTCTGACCCCACAGCTCGAGGCAGAACCATCATCCCGTGATTGTATAGCAGAATTCATCTTGCGCGATCACCCATATCCTCTTGGTTGTTTGGCCTGGTCACTAGACGACTCTATCTTATCTACGTCTGCGGATCACCTCATTTTGCTTTGGAACACAAAGGTTAGCATCAAATTCTCGTGTCTTGACTTGCGATACTCATGAGCCATAGACTGGAGCTCTGATGAAGACACTCGAGAATCATGCTGAGACAGTGTCTGCCTTGGTATGGCTCCCTGACGGCTCAGGGTTCATGTCGGGTAGCCTCGATCGCAAGATCATATTATGGGTACGCTTATCGTAGGTTTATGTTATCGCACCTCACCTTGTGTTTAACAGGACATGGAGGGCGAACCACGGGAATCATGGAATGATATAGCCATACGTGTCACTGATGCTGCAGTGACTCCTGACATGAGACGCCTGGTCGCTGTTGGGATGGGATATAATCCTCCTCCAACATTGGGGACACTGGCTCGTGCTAACGTCCGAGACGCATCTCCACCCATTGTATCCAACGGCAACGGCAATGCAGTGGGGCCGCGTCCGCAAGAGAATCGGATGATCATCTACGATCTCAAGACAGGACAGGTTGAGCTGTATGTCCAAGCATGTTTGTTTCAGCATGTTTGCTCATCGATCTTGCACGCAGATCTGTTCACATGGAGGGTGAACTTACTAGCGTGAAGATTTCCGAGGATTCTCGGTATGCTTTAATCAATCACGCTCCAGATGTGACTACCCCTTTTTTTGTATCAAACCCAACTATCTCACTGACCGTGCATCAAAGGAAATACACCTGTGGGACTTGGAAGAGTTCAGGCTTGCACGCAAGTTCACTGGGCAACGACAGGGTCATCATGTCATTCGCAGTTGCTTTGGTGGCATCGATGGCAACTTCGTCATTAGTGGGAGTGAAGGTATAACGACGTTCATAGCCGTCCTAATTCACACTCACAAAACATTTCCAGATCGCAATGTCTATGTTTGGCATCGCGACACAGGTACGCTTCTAGAGGTACTGGAAGGTCATGGCTTGGGAAGCGTGAATTCCGTAGCCTGGAACCCCCGCAATAAGCGCATGTTTGCATCGTGTTCGGACGATAACACGATACGTGTGTGGGAGGCACCTGTTTACGCGGGTGAACTACTTCGAGGGTTCAGCATCTCTGCGTCCGAGCCAGAGATGATTGGGAAGGGGAAGGGCAAAGTAAAGCAACCTTGGGCCTATAACTATGGAGGGTTATAATGTCTTGGGGACTCAGCGAACATCGATGATCTTTCGCGAATGCTTTGCATCCTCACTGCTTTGGCCATCATTGCACAACATACAGTTATCTGAACGCTGATCAATTATCTTCATCGTGACATATCATGCATAGTATAGACTGTTCAAGTAGCAAGGACGTAGGATAGTGTTCATTGCATAAGTTATTCGGATTATTTTTGGATGTCACGTGAGCGCGTCGCGTCGCGTCGCACTGCACTTGTCTGTCCATCAATTCAATCTCTGACCGGCGACCGCTTCACGTTCTTGACTTTTGCTAAATCACACCCCTTTGTCTTCTTGTATGATTATTCTTGCACTAGTTTTTTTTCCGGTGCTTTTGGCATTTGCCTGGGCCAAGGAGTCCGCATGGAACGGTCAGACTCCTTCAGGGACAGACACACCAGGTCCATTCCGACCCTATTACGTCCCGCCAGGAGCAAAAAGTTATGATTCATCGTCTCCGCTCATTCACTTTACTGGCTCTTGGGTTGACTCATTCAATAACATGTACGTCGCGACGACCCTGCGTTGGACCGACGAGAAAGGAGCTGCTGCCCGGATGACGTTCGTGGGCACTGGTATCGAGTGGTTTGGTGGTCTGGACAGGAGTCATGGAATCGCCGCGGTGTTCATTGACGGGAAAAAAGTGCAGGAGATCGATACCTGGAGCAACGTGTCGCGTAAACAGCAACGGATCTTCTGGACTTTTAATCTGCCGTATGGGAAACACACCATCAAGGTCAGAAACCTTGGGCAGGGACGAGTTGACAGCCCTGTCATCGATATAGATGCCTTTGTTGTCACAGAAGGTCATACAATCCTTCCTCAAACCCTTGACCTGTCAAACGCAGCGCCTCAGCCAGGGGAGTTCCAGTCCTTCACTTCGCAAACTCAATGGACACTGCAACAAAAGGGCGTAACCGGCGTATCTGCCATGCAGCTTACCGTGATCTCCGATACTCACGTTCTTATCATCGATAAAGTTGAACATAATCCCTTGTCAATTGGGGGTCACCCAGCATGGGCTGCCTTGTTCAACCTCCGGACGCATGCCGTTAGGCCCCTCAAGGTTGAATCCAACTCCTTTTGTGCCGGCGGGACTTTTCTGAGCAACGGAACTCTAATAAATGTTGGAGGTAACCCTGTGGTCGGCGGGTACACGTCTGCAGCAGACTTCGGAGACCTCGATGGCTTGCAGGCAGTCCGCATCTTCGAGCCTTGCCCATCTGCCTCCGCCGCTCATTGCAACATCTACGAGAATCACTCTCGTATCCGCATGGCTAGCCCCCGCTGGTATAACACAGTCATCCGAATCTCAGACGGAAGCGCTATGATCGTTGGCGGATCAAAGAAGGGTGGGTGGATGAACAACGAGACAGTGAATAACCCTACTATCGAATACTGGCCCCCAAAGTCCATCCACAACTCGATGGGCTTGCCTATACATCTACCGTTCCTCGTCCGCACCCTCAACGCCAACCTTTTCCCTATCGTATTCACACTTCCGGACGATAGGATCTTCATGGCCGCTAACCAAGACGCTATAATATATGACTGGCGGACGAATCAGGAACGACCCCTTCCGCGAATCCCTAACGAATGCCGAGTTACGTATCCTATGGCAGCCGCTGGCCTCCTCCTTCCTTTATCTCCCGAAGACGGTTACACTGCAGAGATCTTGTTATGCGGAGGTTCCACGATCGACGACAAGAAACCAGGTTACGAGATATCTTCTCAAGATTCAGCATCTTCCCAGTGCTCTCGCCTGGTGCTTACCGACCAAGGAATTGCTGCAGGGTGGGCGGTCGAACAGATGCCCGAGGCGCGTCACATGCCAGATGCAGTCTTGCTCCCAACTGGCGAGGTTTTGATCGTCAATGGCGCGGGAACTGGAATCTCAGGCTACGGCAACGTTATCAATCAGGTTGGGCAGTCGAACGCAGACCATCCGGTCCTTACGCCGGTTTTATATGACCCCACCGCCTCAGCTGGGCAACGCTTTTCCTCAGAGGGAATGAGAAGTAGTGAGATTCCGAGGATGTACCATTCGGTTGCGACACTGACACCAAATGGCGACATCATGGTGGCCGGGAGCAACCCGAACTTGGATCGGAGTGAGGTGAAGTATGGGACGGAGTATAGAGTTGAGTGGGTCGGTCCTCCATACATGAACAAGAACAGACCGCTCGTACACAAGCCCCCTAAGGCTCTCCTGTATGGACAGAACCTCACTCTAAGTGTCAAATTCCCATCTTCCACAGCAAAGGCCCGCAATATTAAAGGTAGGTTTGCCACCACTCAGTTCAGGCCACTCACCTTACAATTATACACCTTAGTTGCACTTATGGATCTTGGCTTTGTAACCCATGCTGTTCACGCAAATAGCCGCCTGGTGTATCTGAGCTCTTCACTCGTCAGTGATGGACATTCACTACAGATTACTGGTCCGCCTCGACCTGCAGTGTATCCACCAGGACCAGGTTGGATATACGTTATCGTGGACAACGTCCCCAGCGTCGGGTTTCAGGTGATGGTAGGGAATGGTGATGGGCCCCCTGTGGACCACACTGCCTGGGATAAGTGCGTCTACTTTTCCCCCTTCTTATCCACATTACTGAAATATCCATTGACAGTTTGCTGAAAATGACCGCGGTGGGCCAGTACGAAGCATCAAAGAGGACGAAGGGAAAGAAAATGGGGAAGTATGTCGACAACATAGAGTGATGATCTATATGCTATCCTAGCTTTCACGGTTGCTGGACCGTTGGCCTCTCATCCTGTTATCTATTTTGCTCACGAACTGACGTCTGAGCTTAGTATGTATTGCCAGCAATAGATTTGTACACAACGTTTTTGTATCGCACTTCCTATGATGATATTGGAGAAATATGGAAAACAAAGATGATAAATTCGTCTAAACACAAAGTTACAGGGCCCGCTGCTTCATACGGCTGCTGACGGTCCTAAGTCCGGCATAAACTTTTCCGGGTGGTGAGCCCAAGATTAAAGAGACAATTGCATCGCGCGCAATTTTGATGTTTTGGAAGGAGCCCATAATGTGAATTTTCCTGTGTTCAAGGCATCAATTACGTTGTCGAGATGAAATAAGAGAACATAGATTTACGTGTCGGCAAGCACGATACGAGTCCGGCTAGTGTTCTCGATCGTGAACTTGGTCTTGCCATCCTGTCCCGCTATCCGTCCTGAAACATTTTTAAGCGAAGAAATATGTGATACGTGCTCGTATACCGACCGATTGCTCTGCTGAGATGATCGCCATGAAGTGTTTTTACGTCTTTAATCTCGAACGAGTCGAGGTAAAGATCGTCCATTCGTAGAAGTGCTATCGCGTCCTGTAAATCAATAACTTAAAGATGCATAAAGATATCAGCAATCAGCACTCACGTTAACGTCAAATCCAAGAGCATATGCCTTCACAAAATCAGCTCCTTTCTGCAGAGCACCGATTTCTGTGGTAGCTTTTGATGTCTACAGCGATGCGATAAGCATATAATCTCCAGGGACAGGCGAACGCGCACTCTAATTTCTAAACACCGCCTCTGAACATTCATTCGCACCTGTAGCCCAAGGATCTCGGTGAGAGGACTGAAAATGTTTATCCAGTCCTTTTTTATAGGCGTCATGCGATGCGGGGGTATTGGAATTCGCCTTGTCTCTGATTTTAGAGTAGATTGTGTCGCAGATGCAGGCAAAGCCGGAAAAGAGGGCGCTGAGCTTGCCTCTAGGGCGGGAGTAGGGTTAATTTCGATCATCAAATCATCATCTTCGGGAGTGTGATTCGACTTCAAAGGGGGAATAACCTCTGAAGACATCTCTTCGTCACCGTCAACTTGTGTGGTATTGGCAGCCGTGCGTGCTTTCTTCTTACGAGTCATGCTTCGGCGGTTTTTGGTGGCAGATGTGTTCTGCTCTACGTGTGCGACTACCATGTCTGCTAATGATGGATGGGGAAATGAAATTAGTCCAGTATGAGGTCTCGAGGATTCAGGCCCAGGAATATTTCGAGGATGTCGGCAAGAAGTGCGAATCACGTGACCTCGATGTCACTGATCAAACACTAGGAAAAAGTTATCTTTGCGTAACGGCGTTGCTAGCCCTTGACCGGACTTCAAAGCTTCACCACTGACCAAATGTCGGGTTACACCAAGGACATGAACGACAGCTATACTGAGGGTAATTACATCTTCAATACCTCTGTTGTGCTCAGAAGGAGAGCTTTTCAGCGCTGCAGGCCCTGTTCAACTCGCTGGCACCCAAAGGACCTGACACGAGCCCCTCTTCAAAGCTAGCACCTTCGCAATTCAAACATCTCGCTGATAAAATAGATGAGATCCTCGATGGCGCAAGTGAGGGTGAAGCCTTGCAACGGAATGAGAAGGGCGAAGTGCGTCTTCGAACCTGTGTCTACTATGTGTATTGAATTCTTGATCTGTATTCAAAGCTTCTCAACGACGAGGGTCTCCCGATCATAGACATCACTGAACCTGCTGCAGATATCAGTGACATTGACTCTCCAGCGGCTTCGTTTCATGAGCCAGATCTCATACCAGAATCATCTCTATCTCCTTCGGAGAGGGAACAGCGCCGTCGCACACGAGATCACATTCTGGCCATGCTTGAAGAAGAGGAACAATCACAGTTGGAAAGAGACGAAGCAGAAGAAAGGGAGAAGCGGATGGAGGATATACGTAAGCGTAAGGAGGCCGCGAAAGCAGAAATGGAGCAGTTAAGGGCAGCCAAAGAAATGCAGAAGAAAATGGGGAAGGCCCTGCTGAAAAACCTTGCAGAAGCCAGGGAAAAGGAGGAGCGGAAGCTAAAAGATCTTATCGAAAAGGAGCCTCCCAAATCGGAATCCTCCAAACCGAAGAAGACTGTTACTTTTGCTAATCCCAGTTCGCCGGATGAATCATCTGCTACAAGGGAGAGTCAAACTACTGGATCATCCATTGATTGGGGACGTCATCCCATGAAGATGCACGTGGTGGAGCGACATCCAGCTTCGTACCAGTCATCGTCAGAACTTCAGCCTGAAGGTGATTCGGATGATGAACCCTTTTCCACGACGTCCTCGACACCTGATGAAGTAGAAAATATGCCATACGAGTCTTACACTTCGGGCAGTGACGACGACGACGACAAATCGGATGAGGGTTTGCTGGAAGAGGAATTTGATTGGGATTCCGCACAGCACCAGCGAGAAGTGGCCCTGGAGTATTATAAGAAGCGTCATGCTATTGGTGCAGAGGCTGCCCGAGCGATGACTTCACACACACACGATGATGAAGAATGGAACCAAGGGGTCAGTATTTCCCTTGTTCAGCCCCGCAATTTAAACAAATCAACTACAGGATATTGCCCCAGATCGGCACTCGAAACCTAGTGTATCGCGCTTCAGGGCTGATCGTATGGCTACGGCATATGACAAATCTACCTCTACTTCGCTTGGTCCATCAGTTATTCCAGCCTCTCGACAAAGATCCTTGCAAGAAGCTATCCGGTTGGGAAAAATTGACAACAACTATCTTGTTGGCGGCGAGGAGGGGGAAAGCGGGAGTGAGGATGAGGCTGTCCGAGAGGTCTTGGAGCTTCTGAGAAATGGCCGCATCCATAATGCTGGTGCTGGCCTCACGAGCTCGACTGTGGCAGAATTAAGCGCAGGTTCTGCGAGGAGCGCGGCAGGCACAGTTGCCAGCGTTCTGGGTGGAAAGATTTCTAGGTTCAAAGCAGAGAGGATGTAGAATGCACCTCAGCGTGCCAGTATGATGGACGATGATCGATGAACAGTTATAATTGGCTTACTACTCTACAGACGTATCGAATGGCGCAATGTGAGGACAAGTGAGGGACGCAAGGACATACAGGACGGGACGACTCCTACCCACGAGACAAGTACTAGTGAGGTATATCATTAAGCCATTCATCCTCTCGAGCGTGTCCGATTTGTTCAGTGTTAACGACGTTGACATCCAGCGAGGCTACATTGGGTAGCTCTTCGAGAAGGGTTTTCACGTGGGAACGCAGGGCGTGATGCTCGAGTAAGCTGACAAATATAACCTGGCTCCGAAGTAGGATGACACCGCAGCGGAAGCAGCCTTTTTGGACACGTGAAAGGCACCAGAAAGGCATGACAAATGGACAAATTTTCGATGCCTTTCAGGACAAAGGATGTGAACCTTAATTTTATAAAATCTGAAAACTATTGCATGGCTGAAAAGTTTAACTTTTGTGGTGTCACAAGCCCCTACAAGTGTTTTATATTCTCGGACATTTACTACGACAAGTAAGATATGGTTAAGAAACAACTGAATGGTGCAATGGACGGTGTTCTTTTGTGTGCAGCTACATTATGGCGGCAGGGTAGGATATGTGAGACTGGTAGAATTTAATCTCACTTGGCGCAAAATGTTGACATTGATAACAATCCTCGCGATGAAAAATCTGTTTTTGAAGACTAATACTGCCAGTGGTCAGAAGCATTTAGTCTTTCATCTTCCAAATGGGTAGGTACTGTCTCAGATATACTCTATGTGAGATCGCCTTCCGACTGGCTAGTCTAATGGAAAATAAAATCAAAAACTTTCATTTGTACGTAGGTTAAAATACACCTGCAGAAATAGGCTGGTAGAAGGCTTCAAAATATTCAATACTGAAAGGTAACTAAAAGGCTACCTTTAAAGAACATGCTAAATTCAACCGATTTGTCTATTACAAGTTGCTGTAATAATCTTAGCAATTCGCGAGACAGTAGAAAAGCCAGGATTCTGCCGATAGAAATTATATGGGGACATAAGGACCTGCAGATATTATGGGTGAAGCCTCGCACTTTTTCTTAGATAGATATGTCGAGTATTAAAATTCAAAATGATATCAACACTTTGCTCTTTTGTATCCAAGCGGATGATCAATCTTCGTGTCGTAATATCCAAGAATGTCTGGGTTGTAGTGCTGCCGAAGTCCGGTTCGGTTCGGTTCTTGGGGCAAATTTTCCGAACGCTGAACCGAACCTATGGTTTGGTTCAGCCATTTGGTCGAACCCTGGACCGAACGTCACCGAACGCGTTCGGGAGGGTCCAGTTCGCGTTCGAACCAGGTTCGACTAAGCTTGGACCATCTGTGGTTGTATAGGCTCGAGACCATGAGTTGTCATGTAATTCGAGTCGGACAGACAACGAAAAGACTCTAATGCAAGGAGAACTTCTTTGTACAAAGATTGAATTCAAGTTTCTAAAATAAACACATTTTATTTGCCCGGTGCACATAGTTCCCTGATCACATTCTCATCGATCCTCTTCTCTAAACATATCTCAAACGCAGCAGCATGTACGGTTGCAGTATTCGAGATTGCAAGCGTGTCAATCTTCGCTGCAGGATTCTCTGAAAGGCGGAAAGCCCAGAGAATAATAGCCGTATTGATGAAGATGGACCGATTCGCGACATGTTGACCAGGACACACTCTAGTATTTTCAAGTAAGGCATGAGAAAAGGTGGAAAGATGAACGATACCACTCACCGGCGGCCAAAACCAAAAGTGAAAAACTTGAGATCAGTGATCACCGCGCACACGACCTGCATCGTCGCGCGATGCGCAAAGCCTGTAGTGAAAGGTGGTCGTCCATTATCGCATCATCACAACTGAAATAAGACGTACCTCCAATAGTGACAGGTCTCCACCTGAGACCCTCGAGGATGAACACGGTAACTTGCGGCATAGCTTGAGCTCGAACGAAGACCGACAGACTCACGAACTGCGAACGGTGGGCAACGACTTGTATCAGCATTTAAAAAAGTGTAAAGCCTACAAAAATTGAGAGGTTCGAACCCGTTCGAACCTATTCACTACCAGCCCGAACCCCGAACCTCTGGAAAGGTTCGGTTCTGAGTCTTGGCCGAACCTTGGACCGGACCATGCGTCCGGTTCGGAAAGGTTCAGGTTTGAACCGAGGTTCGGAACCGGACTGCGGCAGCACTACTGGGTTGAACAAAGGCTAGACTTTTTTGAATCGTTTTCAGCCGAGCGAAAGGCTAACATATACACTACATACAAAGTATATTATTATCTATCCCTGGATGAGCATTTAAAGGATACAGTATCTATCGTCGCAACCTGCTCGAGAGAATGAAAGCCTTTTATTTGCCTTTGCCGATAGGATTCTGTGTAAAACTTGTTGCTGGTGAAAGGATAAGAAAAGGCTGAGGACCCCGGATACTTACCAATGGTTCTGCCCTTTGGACTGAGATTTGAACGACGCTGGCCATGTTCTTCACCGTGATCGCATTTTCTTGCTCATTAGCGATAGGATACATGAGTTTAATATTATCGTCCTGCATAAGTAGTGCTATTCGTCCTGCACAACAGGATAAAACGGTCCCATCTCCCTCTGTGATTGACTCCATCGAAGTGAGCATACTGTAGGGTGACGATTGAGAAGAAGAAAAAAAACAAAAGAAAAAAAAGTTCGCCATCGTCAGAGATACTGAGTAATGGGTCGTGCTCCTCCAAGGCACTATCCCTAATCCACGACATTAGATCGATGAAGGTTAACTTTGGCAACTGGGCCAGTGGTGGATGGTTCTGGGAATACAGACGATTAGGGGTTCTGTCAATCTGTCAATCATAATTCAGTAGGTACCGGGCGGAGCGCAAGGTCCCGTGGGCCGTACGCAAGATGTAGTGGCAATAAATGCAAGAGTTAGAGTGCATTTCGCGAGAGACGGAGTTGTTACCCTGACAGGCAAAGTGAAATTACCATTGAAACGAAGAAACATACGCTGTAACGGGGTCACCGTCTCTGAGTGAAATGGAACAGTATATTCACCAGGTATCGTTGCCTGACAATGACCATGCGGCGATGTACGTGCTCATGGGAGCAACTATCTGCTTCAAGTATGAAATTAGGTGTGGCAGGATCAAGAAAGGGAGTAAAGGAAGAGATGTGCAGCACGTACGTCATACGACTTTCATGGCGGACTCAAATGCTACGCAACATTTAGTTTGATCGAGATGCTGGGTGCCAGTATATATTTACCCGAAGGTGAGCACGCGTATGAGGTCAAAAGCACTGGCATCCAATTATTACTACGGAGTCTGCAGAGGTGCACAGCTAGTTGAAGAGGGTATTAAGAACGAGACAAAACAAACCTTATTGACGTCCTCGAATGGTGGCTTAGACGGACGTCCTAGACCTCCGAACATGATTCCGATTGCGCATGCTGAAAACCTGAGAGACAAGTTATGAGGCGTAGCGCTATGAAGGCGATAAGTTATGTCAAGGCGAAAGGTGAACTCGAAAGTCACGGTATGATCTGAGAGCTGAAAATTTTCTCACACTGATTCAGATTATTGATCATCTGAGTCAGCGATCAGCTTTCATTCAACAATCGTCACTTACTACGATATGTTTTGACGCCAAGATACAATGAGCGTTTAAGTCGAGTCAGAGTCAAGTGCACTGGAAGTCCGAGCTGGTACCATAGTTACATGTGACATTCTCGTGATTACTTCACAGCTTGTATTATGCTGTACAGCTGAAGCGCCCAAGTCTCGTTTATTGTATTCGAGTCAGTCACAATCTTAGTTCCCATTTTTATCCCCCAATCGATGACATCGCACCTCAGAACGCATATCTGTCTCTACTCAGCCAGCTGCTCCTCAAACACACCCGTCGCCTGGTCCATGTCTGTCAAAATTAATTGATCAAGCGGTGAATCATCGACCTGATGTCAGTTTAACCGCCACTGATGCATGGTCTCCATCATCAGACCACCTGAATGCGCCACATTGATTTGACACCGGGATTTTCACCCAAACCAAGTGCTATTACTAAGTCTAGGTAGGATTAAAGTTGTCAGACAAAACACTCGCATAACACTTGTAGTCAGTAGCCCTAAGAACCTCCATGTAATCCTCCGCCGGTGTCGGACACAGGAAAATAGTCAAGGCGCTCAAACATGTGAGATAAGTTAGTACTTTGGCCATCGCCCTGAAAATCATAGGCATGCATCGATGTCTCTTCTCATGGAGGACCATCCAGTACGCAAACCTGCCGGATCCTAGAAACGATTCCCCTGTGTGAATAGCTAGCACTGGCTTGGCACCCAAGATCGATGTGAATTCAGGCGTGGAATCTTCATCGTTTGGGATTATCTTAGTTGTAGGAATAGAGATGTGTTGTGCAGTGACGTGGAGGCTAGACAGTGGAAGCGCTGAATTTGCATCCTTGCTCTGAGAATTCGAATCAAGGTCTTCTATCTTGCATGCATGCAGCGTATGTGTCAGCCCGGGATGATTAGGTATAAGACCATCCTGAATGCATGGATCTGGACAGAAATGAGTTACAGGCGAAAAGAAAATATGAAACGTAACCGACGCACTCATGGGAATGCTACATAAAGGGGACACGCCAGTGTGAGTCAACCAAGGTTCAATAGCATCTGTTTGCACGCCTTGCATCCCACTTCAATTCCAGGGAAGTACGAACAGTGCGTCATGCTTACCTTGATCTTGATAGCTGCTTTTGTTATCGCTTGAACAGCGGGTCTGGTGTGACAAAGTGTCGTAGAGCGATGGCTGCAAGCCCTCTCCATAGTGGTTATCTTGAGATTGCAATCCTGATTCTTCTTGGACAGGTGAGTGGGTTAATTTTCTCCTCGGAGCAGTAATGTTGTTCATGATACGTGAACGCTCGGGTTCTAATAGTCCGGGCTCTGACAAAGATCTGTGAGTCACTACATAAGTTGAAAGCTTAGGTGCATATCTTACGGGTGAGTTGCTAGGCGAATATGATGTGACAACGATCTTCGGTTGTGTTCGTTATAAGTTCTCCAGCAAACGCCAGAGAACAAAACTGAGTTTCTGTGGCCGGCGCCTTACAGGACCGCACAGAGATCATCATTACAAGGTGTACATAATATTATTGAAGTTTTGACTCACCGCCAGCGCCCGTACATTTACTGTGCACGAAACCATCAGCAAATACTAGCGTGCGGGAGAGTTTTAGCACGTACAACATCCCGATTCAGTTGACCACAATAGATTGGCAGAGGCCGATTCCCAAAAGAATATTTTCCCATAGCCATCGTGCGCTACCAGATGTTTACCTCTGTTGATGAACGCTGCTGACAGAGGCCGGCAATCAACAGCATTGACATGGAATCGAAGGGAACAAGAGGTATATGTGGTGACGTCCACCATATGAAATCCGGTTTTGACATTATGCAACAGAAGCCTGTCCCTGGTGGGCGACAGGACGGCAGATGAGCTATCAAAATATCAGCGGCCAAGTTATTTAAAATAGCACTGCGGGACTAACATGGAGTGTGCTACTGATAAGCGTCTCTTTTCACTGCCGTTGAACGCATCAATTTCCAATCTGTTTCAGCTCATAAATCAGGAAACTATATAGTATGACGTACAGCTCACATGATCTTCTCGTGCATATAACAGATGTGTAAGCTTGTTTCGGACAAGGAGAATGAGACATGGCTGATTTGCGCCATTTCTGCTCCAGAAGTCATAGACCATTGTCGTTGAATGAAGCCTTGAAAATATTAGATTCATGCATTCATGACAGAATTACTTTTACGACACCTGATAAACCCACTTTGGAAACGCTGAGAGTCCCATCGGCTGACGTTACAAACAATTGATACATGTTACTGTAGGCAATACACTTGATATTCGCATTGTGACCATGAGGATAAAACGGGGTATCGAAACCAGCGATGGGTTGATATTCTTGAGTTAAAGAGTGCACAACGATAGCCCCATCTTGTAGTACGCACGCAACGCGCATGTCATAGGAACTAGTCGGAGATATCGGTTGCATCCACACAGCCACCTTTGGGGGAGACAGTAATGAGATAGAAGCCATGCGGCGAGAGTTGGAAAGCTCCCAAAAATCAAGGGTATCTTCTTCTATGCACATCCGATGAGGATTGTTCATTGACTGCTTTGAAAGATAACTAATGTAAGCACCCACCACATGAGAGTAGAACCTTGCCATCGTGGCTAAAGAGAAGGAATTTGGCCACTCTAGAACCCTTTGTCAGGATCTCGCGTATGATAGGTGGATTCATTCTTACTAGACTCGAAAACACTTTCAACGGATCCTTATATATATATTTACCCCCTTATGGGAGCCTATGAACACGCCTTGATCAATTCTCGGCGCCGCAAGCCGGACACAAGCCTTGAGCAGAAACGAAACGCTCGTGGCACAATGTGACAATATATGGAGTCTGCGCCTGCGATAGCAACCGATATGCCATCGAAATGTGTAAAGGTCTGAACACCTTCTCAAGACGAATCATATTTGCAAGTGCCGTAAGTTGGGTGCCAGTGAGAACGAGGAATGAGTTCTTCTTTGTGGAGCGGGACGCGGCCAGAGCATCATCAGCATTGGGCAGGCGAGCCGAAAGACAAGAACAGTGCACTTACTACAGGACCTAGTTTCGTCGTTCCGATTAGCCCAAGACCCTGCAATCGAAGGACTCTTCCACCTCTTTGACATCAATCTATCATGATGTTGTGGCCCCCGAAGACTCGTCATCAAGCGTGAAGAACAGCATATGAAGTCCTTTTTTTCTCAAGAGGACGGGCAGCAGAGCAGGAGACAAAGAAGTGGTGCACGGCAAAGAAGGAAAATCTTGAAGAGGCCGAGGCTGTGTCACAACGCTCGTCAAAAGCCAGCATGATTCATCAACATAAGACGAGCGTTACAGGCTTCGGCGGCTATTGAGGAGGCTGTTATGCCCCGCGCATTCATAGTTGGCATGCAGGAAGGAAAACAAAATAGAGTAATATATTACACCCTCAGGATGTCTTGCTTTGAAATATACATTCAACAGAGCTCATCATACAAACTCGAACATATACCGGAAGTCCCCACGTTTCCCATAAATTTTCCTCACCCCGTCAGCATCGAGCAATGGTTCGATGTATTGGACACGTGTCACTCCCTCTGGATGCGTTTTTTCCCGACACCGGAAGATTGCCACATCCTTTCCCTTGTGTGGCCGAGTTGCTACATATTTTGCAGGTGTATTGCAGCATCGGACATCCACACCGTTGGGCCGCCGCCGCCAAGCACATTCAATAAGGCGTCCAACCTGAGACTGGTTTGCAATATAAACAGAGGTGTGAGAAGCAACTTCCTTCTTGTATGCGCGATGCACAGCCAAATCAAACGGTTCACAACCAAAGATATGAAAATCCATTAGAGTGAACAAAAATTGAGTGGACACTAGGAGCGGATCCACACTGTCGGCACCAAATGCAATAGCTGAAGAAAACCACTGGCTATAAAATGCATGAGTGCGAAATCTCCCAGTGGTTGTGTATTCCCTACCAACTAGATTTGAGTTCCTCAAGCGCATACTTGACAAAGCCTCCGCATGTGACCAGAAACAAAAATGATTTTCTGTAATTTTTGATCACGGAAAGATCAAGGATGTGACTAAGGATCTGTGGTGTGGACATCTTAATACTGCAAAAGGGTTATAGTCCCCAATAATTCACCCACTGCATCAAGACTCGCGAATTTGCCTGATCCGTAGAGCAATCTGCCATCCTCAGGATTTGCGTGAGTATTGATAATGATGATCAAACGAGAGGATCTTAGGACCAAGGGCATATCAATGAGGAGTTAGATCAACAAGAAAACCGACTTACTGCTGATGCTCGAGAATTACGCTTCTATTCCAAGCTATTTGCTTTTTGCTTTTTCCATCTGCAAGATCTGTGAATTTCAACTGCAGTGCATCTAAACTCCGTGGCTGTAACGGTATGAGGAAATGATGTCGGGAGAGATCGCAACTCACATTTCCAATGTAGCGTCCGTAGCACATCGATTCTAACAGACGGGCAGAAGCTTCAGCTGGGTTTCCAGAATGGGCATTGTCGAAATATATATTGTAAATAACCAGTGGTTCGGAGGACATTCCGAAGCGGCTGCCACCGACAGAAAGGGTTGGAATTGCGTACTGTATATGTTAAATTAAGTAATGGATGCGCTCATATTAGAATTGCATACTGGGATCGGCTTGCCGGCATCCTGGAGGCACTTTGGACACTTCCATTGGTCCATGAGTTGTCCTGGGATACAACCTTGAAATCCGTTTGCCGTAAAACACGCTGCGAACGATGTACATGAAGAGCATGTTGCTACTTCGCCACCTTGTCGGCAAAAGAAACATTGCTGTTGGAAGATGAAGAAACATATATCAGGTTATAGAAATATATGACCAGACAACTGAATAAGTCCCACCATTCTAGGTAGTTGCCCAGACAAAAGCTTCAACGGAACATTAATGTGGTTACTACCACCTGCTGGATAATTCATTATCAAGATCAACATATCAAGATCGATGCATACCAAATAGCAGTCGCTTGTAGCAGTATGAACCACCCCGGTTGGAGTTTGGCAAGCAGAGGCCGCTTACAGCCTTTCTGGGACTCGCGCGACGAGTGGGAGCACTTGACGTTGTAGAAGGCACAGTCTTCTGTCCTAATGAGGAAATGTTCTTCTGTGCCATTGTGCTTTCGGTGGGTAGCCTATTAGCAAGCTCGATCTCAAGACTAAAATCATACAAATGAGCTTACGGAAATGAACGGGATGTAGAGTCAGTTCCAAACAATCGTGGGACAGATATCAAAGTATCCAACGGCGGAGTGCTAGGCGGTGTGTCAGGCACTGGTGTAGACATGATGAATTCGACGAACCTGACTTGATCATTTTGAATACTTGATCATTTTGAATCATTTAGAAGTTGGGCCGCGGGATTGGTACATTTCAGACCGCGCTACCAGTGATCTCTGACTCCGCTTGCCCTAGCTTTGGGGTCCAGTCAAGTCAAAGCGTGTCAGGAACGGCAAGCCACCTCACCAAACACCATTCCTATAGCGGTACTCTCAACATCAAAGTTCTCTGAGACTTTGGCCTGGGTTGTAGCTTCTTGAGAACACTGTGTCGATCACGCGAGTAAAGATGTCAAGATGTACCGACAGTACTAAACGGGAGCTGCGGTTGCTTCGGGATGAAGGAGGGCGGGCGGCTGTCCAACTTTTATGTACGAGTGCCTTCTCTTTGTCATGCTAGAGCAAGAATTAATCTGTTTCACAGAGCGAGATGAGGGTACAATACTCCACTTGGTGAGGAATACATCTCTCATAGACCTGCGCTGGGCCGCTTGGCATTTGGCATAGCCTCGGATGCCTTCCAATGAAGCATCATCTAGGCCTACCCTTCGTGTGGCCTGCTCGTCCCACCACACAGCATGCCATGCAAGAAAAGCACTGACACGCTGCATCTCTTCAAGCAGGAGTTCCACTTCTTCGACCCACTGGTTGGCACGGGCCCTCGATCTACATGCAAAGCTAACAAAACATTCAGCCAAAGTATTGACACAAGGTGGTCACTCACCTTCTGAGAGAACTGCCTCACCCTCCATCCATGCAGTAGCTACACCTCGTGCTTTCCATATCCACGACAATATGCAGTTCCCGCTCGACTCTCCAAATGCGCTGTCTCCCATCCCTCGGATGTCCCCTTCCTCTAACTTTGGCAGCTCTGTCGTCCATGCGTCCCTGGCTAGGGAAGGTGCAAGAGCACTTAATGTGTTCCAGGCTCTGTGATAGCGCTCAGCAGCCACGGATACGTTGATTTCGACGTTCTTGATGATAATGCCTGCACGTGTATTTGCCCGCTGACCGCGAATTTGAGCATCCTTGAACTTGTATAGATGTGTTCAAAGGCGGAGGTGCCGGCGGAGATCATCAAGGGCATCAAAGGCCTGAGCACGCCGTAAATCCCACTCGTATTTGGAGAAACTGCCATTGCATGGAACTTCTCACGGCCTTGCTAAACTACCCCAGAGCGTTAGACGAAATATATTGATTGCGTGTTGTAGACCTATCAATACTGCAGAATCATATAGGGACCTTGAAAATACCTTCTATTTTTCTGCATAGCTCTTCTCAGGCAAAGGCCGTGTAGGAGTCATCATTTGTCGCGCAGAGTTCAAATTTTGGAACAGCAGGAAGACGAATACAAGCTCGTAAAGTGCATTCATTGCACACCAAAACGCAGTGTGAGGACGAATGAATGGTCCATCTCAAATTGGATCATCGGGAACATGAGGAATGAGACCTATAAAAATGTCGGCGGTCCATCAGTGATTCAGAGAGCGCGACATGGTAGCCGTGGCGACTATAGGATGACATAATTCCATGCACGCCGCTTGTCTTGGCCTTCTTCCAGGACGTCCGACTTAAGTTACTTAACCATTGGTCAAGGCCAGGTACTGATACACGATGACCCGAACTCCGAGTCAGTGGACAAATACTTTGCGAGAGCTCTAGGGTTGATATATGCCAAGGCTTTTAGTGTGACAAATGATTGCTGATCTTCCAGTACACGACGCCATCAGTCTGCTAAAATGGTCGACCTCTGTCTTTTATCTTTGTTAATGATCGGTGCCCGTTCATCGCAAGGTGGTACTATGTTCCTCATGCCACCTGTTTTCGGCTGCCCGACTCCTGACTCATGTTGCGATCTACGTCCAGATTTGAATTTACTCGCCCTGGGAATTTTCGTCTTCAACCTTCATCCTCTTCGGGTCTTGTGGGGGAGGGGGCGCAATAGAGCGTTTGCGCCTGTTTGGATCTGTGAGCAATGAATTATCAAAAAAAAACAGACTTACGATACATCTGGTGTGTAGCCCTGAAGGCTAGGTAGTAATTCCTGGGCGAGTTCGCTGTTGTGATGCGAATAGGTGACTATTTTGATTTGATAATGGTCATCACCGCACCTATTTTCCGTAGTATGGATGGACAAACTAGATCCCGGAAGCTTGGGGTCTTCTTTCGAAATTGCTTGGCTGTCAGGGATAAAATTAACATGGAGGCGATCATTTTTGTTGTCACTGAAAGAAAAAAGGATACCTAGATGTCGAAGACGAAAGCTCGCACCCCACCCTAACAAATTTTCAGAAACGACACAACTAATGAAGAAAAACTTACAAATGATTTGCATCCAACGTCGTTAAGCTGGGGTCCATGTAAATTTGGATGTCACTGGCGGATGGGCGAACGATTTGGGTAGTCACAAGAGGGTTCTTCTGAGCTTCCAACCGACTGTAAAGCCTTGCAATCATACGGCGAAATTTCTCTTTATCCTGAAGTCTACGAGGCGATCAGTATGCACCGAGTGTACATCAAGGGCTGGCCCACATATCAACTATGCAATCTAGGGCGCATGTAACATCTTTCACCCACAACGTCCACTCACTTGCCGTCATGACAATTTCTTCCCGCGTAGCTCTGAAGTGGCAGTGGCGCAATCCAAGAAGAATCTCAAATACAAGAGAGGGACCACCTGCAGCGAATTTGTCCCATTCGCGGTCTTGTGTAGTGGAGAAAAATTCAGGAGGAGGATGAAAATGATTGATTGAGATGCCAGTAACAGCGTCAGTCCGTGGGCGAATTGTAAGCCAAGCGGAGATCCACGTTGTTGCATTTCCAGGAACATTATCGTGATCAACGGCCGAAAAGAAGGGACCGAGAGATGTATCCTGTCTCCTCTACTACTGGTGAGCCAATGCCACTCAAAGCGAATGGTGCTACATACCATGAAGTCGAGTTGTCCTGCAATATATGTGCCAAGACGTACCAATGGCTGCCACAGCGCATCCTGTAAATAGAGTGTTTCGATAGTGCGAGCAAACCCTTCTAACTTCAGGAAAGGGTCGATGTCTGCAGGCATAATTCTTAGGAAGCCATTACCTCCAACCTGTTGCTGAACGTGAGTAAATAACTGATGTGACGTGACAAAACAATTTACATGACTACCCGTGCCGTTAATTGATCTGCCCGAGGTCCGCTGCTCAACAATGTCTTTGTGCTTTCCTTTATAGGTTGGCATTGAACGACAGTGTAAAGCCTGATCCTATACGATGAACTTGAACTCCATTCCGTCTACTATGTGCGAAAAACTGCAACTCACAGAAAAAGGCCCTTCGGGTCCTCCACGTGGCGTCTGCAGGGGACTATCATCTCTGACAACGCCTTTATGTTCTCTATGGGCCAGGGACATCTCTATTGTCGAGTTGACAGGATACAGTTGCGAGGATGCATGCGAGCAATGAGCAGGTACGCTGTGGCTAGGATTCGCACCTAACGATGAATATCAACACGCATATCACGATAATAAAAACGACTGCCTCACAATCAATACAAACCGCCGGTGGCTCAACAGGACCCAACCACTGTTGATGCGCGTGGTTGAAGCCCGAATAAGCTATGAGACCTTTGTTAGAAGTGATAGAAGGAAGCGATGGTGGGTGAACAGATCTCTGAAATAATACAACTAGTGAGCTAGGGGTAGACTTCGAAGCGCTATTATGACATACCTGAGACTGAAGAGACTTCGTATCATTGTGGCCCAAGCCAAACCCTGTGTGCGTCGACCGAATCCGACCACGTTCTCCAGATGGTATGGTGGATAAAGGTATGGAACTGAGGTCGACAGCTGGATGAGCTCTTCGTTGATCATGATCACGTCCGTGTTTCTGTTTCTGTTTCTGTTATCGGCGCATGATACAAAATTAGTGAAGAGTTCGGTATTAAGAAGTCCTGGAACGTCCTTACTGAAGACCGATCCTTGCTGGGTTTCATCATGTTGAAAGCTAAGGTGCCTGAGGTGAAATGTAAATGGTTCTGCCATGGTCGAGGTGATATATATAGTGTAAGCTTGAAGTTTGAGAGTGGCTAGGCCTGTGGGCAATTGTTAGACCTTGAGACCAAAATTGAAGCGCCGCGAACAGCAAAAAAAGGGCAGGAGTCTGAGGTGGATGAGTACAACGAAGGAGCTGTCATAGACTGTTGGGGTAGAGCACGGGTTTGGGTAAACTCATAGTGTATCGACGATGGGTGTGGCGGGTATGTGTGCACTGAGAACGTCCGGGAAATGGACAGTTTGGGGGCAAGTCTGTCACAGACTCCGCCTGTACCAAAGTCTAAACCGCACCCACGTCCTGTGCCGTAAAGTCTCGAATTACGAGTGCAATATATGACAACTTCATCAAAGACGATGAATCTCGTTCCTCCGGCTCACTCATCGGTTCTGCATCTGCAATCCCAGGCAGTACCTTGGCTGCAGATGACATCCACCCTCCGGTCACACCATTTAGTCTCAGAATTCCTCGAGGAGGTCAATCCTGCATATAGCATTGCAGGCGCACAAACTCCTCACAGATGTGCCAACTGCAGGTTTTACTGCTCTCGAAAACGATGCTTTCATTGAGGAAGAGGGACTGAAAGCTACATCGAAGAAGAAGGCACCACCGAAACCCACCCCCGTTGTGAAATTGAAACATGCAAAGGCAAAGCGATTCTCTCACATAGTGAAAATGAGGATGACTCATTCGAGGCCACCTTACCAAAGCAGCCATTTGCCCGAGGACGAAGACTCTCGATGCGACGGTGAATTTGAAATCATTGCAATGCCTGAAATAACCAAGGTGCTTACTCTTACTCGTATTCTACCAGAAGATTCCTATCGTAGTTGGCCCATCCCGTCTCTAGTCACGTGCCTTCACCATCTTAACTCCAATATCACTGAGAGCTCGCGCTCATCCAGCGTGTCAACTCACAACCAAATTCACCATTCTCAAATGGCCCTTCTTATTTGCCATTGGTGGGGTCTTCGCGAACAATGCTTTCGCGGATTGCACCACTCCACCCCAACCGAGGACCTCTCCACTACCATTACCGAGACCTCCCTCCGCTGAAGAAGAGCAAGAAGCAAATAGAGATGGAGGAGCGTATTGAGGAGGAGCTGAGACTTTTGAGGGGCGGTCGTGTATGACTGACGAGGAGGGACTTGTGGAGAGTGCGAATTGATGCTGAGTTGGGTTATGAATGATTTTGAATCGTGTATTCTTAGCACAGATTCTAACTATCGATACCCTGTACATTGATCAGATATTTTACAGGACGCTTTGAGGAATTCTTTTGCGTATTCCGGCGCTGTGGCGCAGTGTGGCGGCGTGGTGTAGGCAGTTTGCATCATATCTTGAATCACGAGTGCGCCCAGACCGGCCGTATCTTGCACATTCACCTTGCAGTTGAATCCGGCCGGATTCATGCGGTTCCACTACGGGCCAGCGAGGTGAAGACACTGCCAATTCTATACGTGTCCCAGGAACACTGCGACTTGTACTATGTTTCGAAGATCAAAAAGTAAGGTTACCTCCTCTGCATCACTTTCAAATAACTCGGATGTCAGTGTGTTTCAACGGAGTCTAAATGCAAAACCGTGTGGGGAGAAAGTGGGGATAAGTTCGGATGATCATTGATCGATATGATCGGCGAGAGAATAGCCTTGGTTAGTTGGCTATTTCTCCCTGTTATCGCCGTTATAAGCGTTGCTACTAGTACGTGCCTATTACTCACGAGAGTCTGTCGTTTAACTAGTCACAATGAATTCCAAATAATAATGTACATTCTAAGCGAGTTGTTGTACCAACAGTGAACGTACAGCTTTACAGTTGAATAGTAATCTGCAATCATACAAATGATGCCAGGCGCTGAACGTCTGCAAGAAGCTGTTTCACCCCAAACGATTTGCCGGCACTAATTAGCTCACGCTCAAGTATTGAGCAATTGGCCAAGTAAACATCGCTGTAACAGTCGCGTGGTAATCCAGGAGGGACCTTACGTTGTTGATGGACTTGAAGAGTGCGAACCCTGGTGCAGATGGGATTGCCATTTGGGTTCCTACTGACAGCATGGACCAAATCGAGATGTCAATAGAGGGTACATAGAGCATCTGACCTCCATGGCTTCTCAAAGATTGCATACTGGCGAGGTTGCCCTGCTGGTGTCATAATTTGCTCATCAGAGCTAATTCCAGCTGTCCCAACAAGTTCTACAAGATGAACAAGACGACGAGCGATATTCGCAGGAAGGGTGGAAGCAGCATCTCGCCGATTTCTAAATGTCTAGAGGCATTTTCACATACATTTCACAGAATTTGCAACGGGAAAACTTATTGTCCCAATTCGACTATTGCGTGAGCTACTTTTTCCCCTCTTTTGTATTTCTCCATCCGAGAGCAGCTTCTGCTGGTCAGTCCAACATTTTTTCAGGTGCAACATGTGTCGACTATACACCACATTGAACTCGTCCATCTTTCGGTATTTCTCTGGAATGAGTTTTGCAGAATAAACGCCGGCCTCCACGTGGGCCCAGAAATACGCGAAAAAATTCTTCCGAACGTGAAGGTTCCAATCAGTCTGTAATGGAGCTCCCCAGTCAAACAAAAAGGGTTGCTTGGATCGACGCCCAGAATTGATCCGCGCTAGATCCTTTGCGATGACGTTGGTAGGTGGCCTATCTGGGAGCTGTGAAGACGACGTGAATTCGAAAACTTTTTTGGCATGACGTCGAAGACATCGCTGAGAAGATCATTAGTCCCCTTATGCCCTACCCGCTAGAATGATGAAAGTATGTACACGAAGGTAATTGGCTGAGGAGTCTTTGCAGCGCTTCACCGTACCTGCTGTTGAGGGTCTACGGTTGGTGGGCGCCTTGTCCCCCAAAATGTAAGATTCTAGTAATTGTTTGATGGTACAAATATCGTGGCTGTATTGTTCTATCTGGGTCTCTAGAGAATCAAGGCGCCGGTTGTCGAGACCAGATTCTGATGGCAACCTGCCGGTGGCAAATGTCCCGTGAACACTTGCAGTCTGCTTTACATATTGATTTTAATTCAGTGATGTGGAAAGCCGTCATGGTCCATAACCCACTTCGAAACACTCGTCATCAACCATCATACCCTTCGAAAGACATCAGTGATTCAGATCCTCTCCCATCAACAACAGACCTACAAGAGAAGAGCAACGGCTGGTCGGCCTACCGTGACTACCGTGATTATGATTATGTCAATCATATGATTGTTCTGAACTAGGGCTACTGCGGTCCTCTCGCGCGCGATCAAATTCGGTTTCTTCATTTGTTTCTCCTGCGTCTTCGCCTTCACTATTGGCACCTTCGTCTGCATCGTATTCACTATCACTACTATGAAAGCCTGTGCGCTGCTGGCTTTTGTGGGCCATCCTGTCGTTATACACTTCGCCTTTCCAAGCATCACGAGACGTCAGCGAGGCCTGGCTCATTCCTGAATCTGACAATCCGCTGACAAAAATATCAGCAATCCGTGAGATGCACGTGAGTATGTGACCAACTCATAACTTTCATCATCCATCTCCATTGTCATGTCGGGAGAATGTTCCCATTCTTGCGGGGAGGTAATATCGTGGGAGTTCCATGTATCCTGGCAGACGTCCTCAGCGCTTTGATATCTACCTAGAAGTAATTAACGTACCACAAGGGATTCGTGCCCGTGAAGCGAAGACTAGTGCAGTCGGTAATTTATGTGAGTTCAGACCTGCATAAGAATGAGCTGAACCAGGCATCAATACCGACATACCTCAGAAGTGAGTGGCTGGAACAACCAACTACTTGAGTTTTCCATGACGAAATCTGATTATTGTTCAGGTTGACGGACCTTATATATATGTACACAAACGCGAGGTTGGCTCCGCGGAAGCAATATTTCTACATGCGCTTTGATGATGATCAAGATAGATCCAAATTTGACCGACTCGGCCCGTCGGACATACCATTCGCTTATTTAAGCATAGGTGGGCATCAGTGATCACCCTTTCGAATACCATAATGTGCCACTCACCTCAGTGCCTCTGCAGGAAACCTGCGCCCTGCAACAACTCTAGTCAGGGTTATTATTTTCCTTTGAGATCTCAACAACAGGCAAGTACTGTCTATTGATGCTGATGAACAGCAACTTGTGACTTGATTCTAATCCTTCATTATAGATTCACGAGCAGCCGGAGCAATCGCATGCGACTGCTTCATCGCTGCGTCTTGACTTCATCAATGCATGTTTAGCATGCCAGACCGCTGCGCTGGAACTTGTGAAGTTTGATGATGCGCAGGTGGGCTTGACCGCGCAGTTGGCAGTAACTCAATTCATGAAGTTTGTCTTAGCACGAGGTGATTGATGGACGATTTGTGAACAATTACCGACAATATCTGCGCTTCACACACCTAGACGCAACGGGTCAGGTACTTACGACAGGCTACACTTTGTGGTCGCTTCTCCCCGTCAGTTGTTGATTCACGCTGATCCCTGGTATCTATCTAATCATCCTTAGGCTACGTCCACTCCTTCCAACCCATTCTACACATCTCCAAATGGTGATCGAGAGACTCAATCAGAAGCTGTCACCCAATTGAAGGCCCTCCGCTTGACCCGTTCCTGGCTAAATGCTCACGTAGACGTTTTCAATTTTATCTTGCAGTCTTTCGACTTGGAGATTGGGCGCCTCAGAAGCATGATTGTGGATGGCCCTACATGTTAATCTTGCTGCCATAATTGCGGTATGCAATTGCAATTTTCTTATATAAAGACGAACGAAATATTTATGTGCTTGATTTACTCTCAAAGGAATACAAAGCAGAACACAGTGGCACGCGCGTAGTGAAAGTCGGAGTCTTAGTTGTCTCGCTGTTTTAATTGAGTTTTAAATGCATCAGATAAATCTCATTGATCATCGAACGTGATCAAAGGTGACTTTCCAAACTCTCAGTTAAACTTCTCCATAGGCCCTTGCCAAGGGAAGTGTACTGATAGAAGATTGCATTTTTTATCTCACATAGGCCCTTGCCAGTGAGTTAAAATGTGCTACGCATGTTCACAGGTGCTGGCGAATTTATTGATATCACGCGTCTCAGAACGCGTCTCAGATCTGGCCATAAATAATTTATCTTTGTTGTTGTGCCATTCATGGCAAAATGATCTTTAAGTGGACCTGTCAACACGCAGTAGAACAGGTCGTGAAAAGAATTCGAACATCAGTATACCTGTACTGTCTATGTAGTCATTCAATGGCACTGTCAGTTGAAGTGAAGGGACATTGACGGTCCAGGGAGTTTACTTATGCTACCAGTGCTACCAGTGTGGTTGGAACAACCCAAAGGGCAGCAGATGTGGCGGCAGGGAGCGTCTGGAAGACGGAAGAAGTAGCGCGAAATCGAGTGGGGATCGTCGTAAATATGCCAGGAGCATCAGAGAACTCACGAGTCTCCCCGGGGTGCTTTACGTTGATTGCGGTGGCTTTCCGACATTATATATTATACATGGCTAGACAGGAGAGTCACGCGAATTGGTTCCGCGGGATCAACCGTTTCGTACATGTACATCAGGGAAAACCTCATTCTCAAGTCGGATCCAATGTGATCCAATTTGCGTCAATCTGCGAGCATTCAACAAATTATTTTAGTCCCTTGAAGATTTTCGCCAATTGGATCTCAATTCGCGACAATGAGAACAGTATTTTCGGGCCGTTGTCCAATTGATCCAATGCCATCAAGTAAATATCATTGAATCTCAAATCTAGAAAATACAAACTAATGACCAGTCCTATTCATCATTCTTAGGATAGGGACATAATACTGAATCCGATGAACTGTGTGGAATGAGAGTGAGATCAGAAAGAAATCAGCGTGTGGCGGGTGACTCGGAAACATGTGGTCTCACCAGTCTCCGCATCCTTGAAATACCTTGGATATTTGATGCCTGTCAAAGACTTTTTGTCATAATCAGCAGGATGTCCGCCTCGTAGGCACCTTTGCACCCCTGACGTTGGTGAATCAGAATTATCATATTAAGACGAAGCAGAAACAGTGGGTATCAATGGCGGTACGATATGTTGCGTAGAAATGGAGGTGAAGGAAGGGAGTGTGACATCCCGCTACTCAGCTTTGGAGCAGGGCAGCCATACCAAGCGTCGTAGGGAGGGGAAGAACTTGGTCTGGGAACAAGCGGACATCAGTAGCGTATACATAGAACAAAATGAATCAAACCATCAGGCTTGAAGCTTGAATGCTCGGAGTCACCTCCGAGAGGCGTGTTGTGCCAAGGATGTAATGGCTCGCCGCACGGACGGACAAGAAAAACATCCAACACTTTTTCCCCTCCTGCCATCCCTCCTTCTCCTTTGGCGTCACATGTTCATCTTTCCATCATGCTGGTACTTCTCCATGTTCAGCGTCATTCAGGTCGGGTTTGGCATTGGGTGAATGCGGGGAACATGGTGGTGTTGTAGTAGTTATGGAGTGTGCCGGCGATGTGGAGGATGGATCTACCGGCACTTGCCGAGGGTCAAGCTCAAAGTCAGGAAAGTTAAGCTCAACATCAAGCCCAGTCAGATCCTACTGCAGGCATATACAGACGCATACAGAGCCTGTATGGGCCTGTATTTTTCAACCAATCTCTGGGTGGACCTATTGCAATGGTTGTAGTGATACAGGGCGATTGGTTACATGGCAAAACATGAGCACGAGGCACCAGCGGGCGAGTGTAAACGGATATGTGCGTGAGGTGTGCATGAGAACAAACAATGCAATGCAGAGACAAGTACGGGTAAACGAGAAACACTAACGAGCATGAGGTGAGCGAGCATAATGGAAGATGTCCGTGAGGCGTGCAAGAGAACGTGAAATGCGATGCGGACGAGTGCAGGTAAACGAGAAATATGCTGCTGACCCTAGATTGTAAGACTGAGATTGATTAATTGTGTCCTTATGGTGATTCTCATTGCTTTCATATTGATACAATGATACTTGACCAACTGTCTCGCGGGAACAAAAAATGGGTAGGTTTAGCCTGAACGAAGGAACCAAGGCAATGGCAGCTTTCAAATCAATGTCACGATCAAGAGGACTCCGTTTCAGAGCGAAGTGCAAATGTGACTATTTCCAATCAAAACACGGTATAGAAAGATGATTGATGAATAACAGACTAAATTAGGAATATGTGTGCAAAAATTTACTTCATCTGACGTCGGTGGGATCGAGTTTTTCTGGGGATCACAGTGGCCTTCCTGACGAGCCCATTGGAAGCGTAAGTTTGAGATCAGCACCAAGAATCTTAGGAATCACTGACGCCTTTCTAGATACATAAATTGCGTCCTTGGCATTTTCCACTCGTTTACTATGACGTCATTTAGTTCAGAACACTTGACAATATTCCCCAGCGTACCTGCGACGCTGTGCGGGACTAATGTTAGCGCTGGAGAAAGTAGGTTGTGTAATTTTGAGGATCGGGGGGTGTAAGTGACCGCTTGATTCAACGATGGAACTACCTTGGCTGATGTAGTGTAATAAAGTAAGCATGTGAGATGAGATGTGAACATTAGACCGTCTTAAAGACTTACGTGTTGGACAACTCGAAGTCTGTAGTTCTATCTTGGGCACTAGGAGCGGATACGGGCCTATCCTGGGCGTGGGGAGCATTCTCGCCTGTGTCGGAGGGTGAGCACATTTGATTGTCAGCTCTGGATGTAGAACATTAGTTCCGCGAAGGATCTGTGACTACATTCCTACCCGTTGTGTAAGCCTGATGATCCAAAGTCGTGGATCAGAAGGTCAGCAGTGCTGTTCGGTCGGTCGATTTTTTTGTGTGAAGGCGGAGCATACAAATACATACAATTTTTGAACTTTACTCGTTAGCTTTCCGAAAGAATCGTCGTGGTGTTTTATGGTTTCCTGAAGTGATTGATGACTAGATATTTCCAGCCAAATAATGCAGTAAGTCGCATCAATAGCGAAAGAACTTACTCAGCTTTCAGTTGGTTGAATTGCGAGAGGAAGTCAGCCATAGTGTTTACCCACGGGAGGGAAGTCCCTGTACTACCAGGGATGTGTCGTGCTGTATTGGGCAAGGGTATGGCATCCTGATGGACGAGTATTTCTGGTGGAACGTTGGCTTCGACATCACGATGACTGAGTAATCATGATGTCCGTCAGTCAAGGTCCGCAGATGTAAGAGAAACATTACCCAGAAAATTGGTCGGTGGCGGGCTTGTTGGTAACCAACATATGATCGTCGGCGCCTGGAATGACGGAGGGAATAGGTTCTAGGCCATTGATTTCCGACGGTGGATAGAGGGGCATAAGCATTGAGTCAGGTTGAGATTTGTCCTCCCCTCCTGAGTCATGATGAGAAAAGGAGTCCAGATCGCCTTCCATGCAAGATGAAGTATCATCCATATCTAGCACCGAGGCTACCAGTAGGACGTCTTCGATGCAATTCCAATGTGGAAGGGACATCGCCGGAGGAGTTGGCGAACGACGAGACCGATAAGTTGGTGCTCTCACTCGAGGAAGCGCCATAGTTGAGAATCTTCAACATGGTGGCCATTTAGACTTGCTATATTCTTCTTATATGAAACCTAAACATAAATCCAAGGAGCTTGAGGGTTTCTAGCGACCGAATTGGACTCCACGAAAGATCTATGGCCAACACGGAACCAGAGGGACTGAGCGATGTTGAAAGACAAATCAGATCACCTAACCATCTATTTTCCAGAAGCACCCAAGGTCATGGTACGCGTTGATGGTCAACTCTACGTGTATCCAACCACGGTGCGAAACAAACAGTGCAGACCTGAGTATTATGTAAACTAAATACACACTAGGCGAGCCGCCCGCCACTTCTAATTAGCTTTGTCAACCTCGAGCGTTAGCATCGCTGTGATCAAATATCCTTTGAAATTTGAATTCGAACGCTCAAAGTATGTGTATTCTCGACTCAATGCAAACTATTGCGTCAATGGAAGTACACGTGGTTAAGACGCAGCCCCAGGTTCCTGGCTACCGAAGGTTCTTTGATGGGATGATTGGATGGGCTGCTGCAAGGCGCGCTTAGTAGTACTAGGCGTCATATCAGGTATTCCATCTCATTGATCACGATAACCCTTTGTTCAATATCAACCTTTAAGTCTTCGTTGAATTTCGACAAAGCCTGTCCGCCATGAATCAGGCTTACTCGTCGGCCCCGTCAGAATGTTATAACATCCCCCTATATCGAGAGAGTACTACTCCCTTGCAGTCCGAGGATAGGGCTATGTTATATGATACTTTGGTATGTTTTCCTGTTTCAGTGTAAAATTTATGGTCAATATAATACATCATAGCTTTTCTTATCAGTTTCGGCCCCTGATATCAACAACCTCTGTCAGTCGCCTCTTCAAGTGTGGGATATTGTTTTGACATATGTTACAGCACTTATATGTCCCTCGTGGCGGAGTCTAACTGCACCAAGGCCCAACCTAACGTCCGACCAACATGATGAAACTTTAGGACCTACCGATCCGTGTGATCTTTCGGTTTTGAATGTGAGTTATATGAGACTGGTGCCTTTCGTACTTCATCCCAGCCTCATCTAGTGCCAGGATCCACACCTATCTCCATATTCAAGTTGGCACTTTCATCAGCACCAGACAATCAGCCTGACGTCACCGCACTTGCATACTCCCTGCCTTCAAGATTCTAGTATAGATTACTCGACTGTTTCAGCATCGCTACCAAATCAGGCAAGTTGGTCACGTAGTTCATTATAGTTTCGGTGCTAATGCTCTTCTCCTGTCAGGATGATACATCCGAGCCACCTGCTATGCTACCCGGATCAATTCCTTCGAATTTAGCTTTTTCGTCTGAGCTCGACTTCGTTCCCACACCTAGGCCGGTCACTCCAGAATTCTTCTCGAGCCTGAGTGAGCTGCCCTCACCATCGCTTCCTCCAGTTCATCCAGAATTTTATTCAAACGAGCTGGCCTCACCATCACCTTCGCCTGTTCCGCAAGTGCCGTCCTTTACTAATATTGAGGCTGAGTATAGTCCGCAACCTGCTTGCATTGACCCCAGCCTGCTGAACATTACACCATCGGTGCCCGCAACAAACATCAACATCACGAGTTCCCCAGATGCTACGAACCTACCAGGTATACAACATCCCGGAGCAACTGACGAGGGATCAAATGTTGGTAATTTGCACGACTTTGTTTAAAAAAAAATCTGACTCTTCTGCGGTAGTCAAGGTCATGCCACGAAGTACCCCAGCCTCAGCCTGAGGGCCTTTTTCTCATGGTTCCTTATTATCCTTATCCTTATCCTTATCCTGGACCAGCGCATACTCCTTTTGCGGGACAAGTTCCCATAACTCTAGCTGGTCCAGGGCCAGCACATGTGGGACTGTCCACAGGATTTGGTCACAGTGTGAACGCATGTGACTGGGGAACTCATGCTCCACTGACTGCGACGAACGGTGTTGAACATCACCACGTTCATGGTAATAAGTCTTTGCCGGAACACCTCACTAGCTAGTATATGCAGCTCATACATTCATTGTCTCGCCAAGGTAGTCTCAAAGTTGTTTATAGCAAAGACCCTCATAATTTTTAATGTGCCTCGAGAAGGCGCGATAGTTTTAGACGCACTGTATAGCATTCTTAGCAATCACACAAGTACGGACTTCACCGTGACTACACATCAATCGGACTCGTCGTTGATTGCACCTACTGATATGCAACACGGGGGTGACTGAAGTGCTGACGGAGGTGGTTGATGTAGATGGCAGGGGTGACTAGTTACTGAACGGGGGTAGCTGATGGGATCAGTGTCACCGTAGATCATGGCGGGGCCCCTTTTAGGGATGTTCTCCCATGGGCCATGGCTGATGAGACAACCCAGAACTTGCCGGAAAAAATACAGACATGTCTGGGCCCCAGATTCTACGTGTTTCCTAGACTTTGGGGCGGAGTCTGCGCAGACTTAACACAGACTAGTCATTTCCTACATGCCCTCAACGAACTTTGAATAAGTAATACCAAGTTTCGTTACGACCGCACGATGCATCGCATTCATCAAACAAGGAAGCGCTCATAGCATGGCAGTGCAAAAGCTATATGTTTGTAGGTAATTCATAACACAACACTGTCTAACAACAACCATTTACTAGTAGCAACAAGATAGCGAGCGGACGAGTTCAGCTAATGATACTAGAAATTGATTCCAGTTGCGAGGGGTTGAGACACCCACATTTGGGTCACAGAGCATACCAGCGGTGGGCAGGTGAGCACTCGTGCAATTGCTCATAGTAAGCACCCCCATTACTTTTCACTACCTCCTGCAGCTCTTTCCCAATGGGTTGTGCACCTGCACTGCCCCAGTCTCCCAGCTGGTTCCCTTTCATGAGTCTCACCTTGGTAGTGCTCCCAGCGGGTGTTACCATCCTTGTGATCACGACCATGACCTCCTGCAGCCTTGTCATTTTTTAGACACGTGTCCTGAGGCTGGTGTGTTTTTTGACCGAGTTTTAGTCCGCGGCTCCTCCATCGGAGTTCAATAATCAAGTGTAGCTTTATATTACTCGCTCGAAACACCTTGGCCACTCACTCACCCATCCTTCCTGACGATGCCATCATCACGGTTATGTGTATTACCAAACCGAAGCTCGGTGTGTAATCTTGACGTGCTTCATTTTACTTGTTATTTAACAGCATAAAGAGATCAACCCGGAGAACTGGGTGCTTGTATGGCTTCGGGCATCCCCTGCCTAGGTCGGTGAATATACAGTGGCTCAAAAAAGTGTCCCAATGTTTGTAGCTTTTCATGTAATTGCTATATCATGTGTCGAGACGTGGGAATATGACTAAGCTATAGGGAGATGTCGGAAAGGTCTGCATCTCAGCTTCATTTCGGTTCCCTATACCGTGGGAAACTAATGACATTATGTGAAGATATGAGTATTTTAATTTGATGACTCATTGGGACACTTTTTTGACTTTGAGTTTTACTAATGTAATCTCTATAATTCTAGTACTGTGTGTGACCTCCTTCTGCTCCAATCACTTCTGCCACTCTTCTAAACATATTCTCTATCAATTTTGGGTATTCCTCTTTGGTGATTCCATCATACTCTGCTGTAACACTGTCTCATAGTTGGAATAGCCCCTACAGTGAATCTTGATATGCTACAAGTAATTTCTTGAGTGATTCTCAGGGGTATTCAATATGGTTGATGTCTTGGGTCTATGTTGAACATGATAGAATAGTAATATTATGGTCTTTAAGTTATTTGGTAGCCAATCTAGAAGGTTGCTCTATAAGACTTAAGATCTCTTAATCACTATATTCTAATTGGAAAGACTGCTGATGCTAATAAAGTGATTAAATTGATTATTTCCATCATTCCTATGACTATCTCTACTCAAATAGTCAGACAGACTCTCAAGACAGCCCATCTTAAAGCTATAATCAAGAAAAACAGATTCCTCTGTCTCCAACCTATAAAAATAAAAGACAAGATGCTACTTTCAAGTACAAATATCGGACTGCTAATAGCTGAAAGAGGTTTATCTAGTTAGATAAGGTTAAAATCAATAGGATGAAATCATATGGCAAGGAATTTATATTAAAATAGATAAGACAATCATTAAGATAAAGAAAAGTTAAATAAACACCTTAAGTTTCAAGACAAAACTTGATGGTATAGGACTATATGAGATAAAATGGAGTGGGAATCTTCTATGAAGCAAAGGGGAGGATGAATACAGAGTAGTAAATACTCATTTGACAGGAGTGTCTGCTAAGAAGCATGCAGAAGTTATGAGTTAATGAAGAAGATACTGTTTTGTGATAAGACAATGACCCTAAGTATACCTCTAAATAAGCCACCAATAGCTTGCAAACCATGATATTACTATTCTATCATGTTCAACATAGACCCAAGACATCAACCATATTGAATACCCCTGAGAATCACTCAAGAAATTACTTGTAGCATATCAAGATTCACTGTAGGGGCTATTCCAACTATGAGACAGTGTTACAGCAGAGTATGATGGAATCACCAAAGAGGAATACCCAAAATTGATAGAGAATATGTTTAGAAGAGTGGCAGAAGTGATTGGAGCAGAAGGAGGTCACACACAGTACTAGAATTATAGAGATTACATTAGTAAAACTCAAAGTCAAAAAAGTGTCCCAATGAGTCATCAAATTAAAATACTCATATCTTCACATAATGTCATTAGTTTCCCACGGTATAGGGAACCGAAATGAAGCTGAGATGCAGACCTTTCCGACATCTCCCTATAGCTTAGTCATATTCCCACGTCTCGACACATGATATAGCAATTACATGAAAAGCTACAAACATTGGGACACTTTTTTGAGCCACTGTATTTGGGAAATCCAACTCTGGTTGTATCTCACAATCACCTCCTATTGGTGCATTGGTAGTAGTTCTGGCAGCTTCACTCATTTTGGGGACATCACACACCTTCGCCAGTCCTGATTCCTGGAGTTTTGACAGCTTCATCACACCAGGTAGTCAAGAATGTCTGGGGACTGGAGACCACATCCTGGTATACCGTCAGATGTTCAACTCCTTTGTGCATCCCCTGCCACTACCAGTTTTCTCTGCAACAGTGGAGAACATAGCAGGCTGGGGGAGTGGCCATGTCGAGTTTAGAATCAAAGACCTGAACTCTGGGAATTACCACCCCAAGACTCTCAGATTGCCCATTGAGATAGTTCGTTTGTCTATGGGGCAGAAGTTACAGAGGCTACTCTATCCTTTCCCTCGGATAACCACTTTCCCCTCCTTGCCTGGAGGTCAGAGGTTGAAACACCACAGATGCAGTGGGATCATAGGAGATCGTGTTCCACGGGATAGTGACGGTCTTCCCATATGGGATTGAGTTCAGCTGGTGAAGTCAACTCCTGTAGATTCAGGAAGTTTCAGCTCTAATTTGCTTGGGTGTATCAGGTGGCCTCCTTCTCCCTCTACACATTTGCACAGAGCTATCAGCGATGGATACTTTAATAGTTGACCTAATTGTTGGACCAGACGCAAGTCATTTGCAACCTTCTTGAGCTGCTTGGCCCGCCCGCCCATCTCAGCTCGCTCTCTCCCATAGCCATCAAGAAGGCTCAAGGCTTGTTTCGGTCGAAAAACCCCTGCGGGTTTTTACCCAATCACTCGTTTAATTTCTCTCATTCAGTTCAAATGTTTCACTCGTTTGTTGATACTTGTCACTCATTAGCCTTATTACAACTTTAATGTTCGCTCGAGGTCAGAGCATAGAGCCTATCTTACATAAAATAATGAATTAGATGCTAAGTGCTGTTAAATTATTTATAAAAAAAATACCTCTAAGAGTTTAGTTTTCAAATTGGGGTATCGGAGACGCAGCTCAGGGGAATGTCGATGACGAGTGAGAAGACGCCTAGTCAGATGCTACAATGTGATTAATATTAATCATGTGATTTTGAGATGAATTACATACGATTAGGTCATAGAGAACAATAATGCCACAATGACAGATAAACAAAAATAGGGCGAATCCTCCAAATCCTATGTAGACGAGGACACTGTCGAACACCAACATATCGATAGCAGAGGCCGAAAGATCCGAGTCGATTGCGTCAGGGGGAGAATAAGAGAGGTACGAGCGCAGCCAAAAGAGGACGAGCGAGCGACGCATGACGTCGGCTCGTACTCGTCCATATTACCAAGTTTATTTTCACAATATCGTGTTTCTATGCTAAACACTATATATCTTCGAGTAGATTAATCCTCGCATCTCAGTTCTTACTAGAAACTGAGATGTAAGCCGTTTATATTCATCGCACACGTTATACAGTACTAACGAGACTTAGATACATTTGTTCTCCTAGGTACTTAAGCTCGTATAACAAGTTCTTACTAGAAACTGAGATATACATTTGTTCTCCTAGTGCACGCGTCTCCTCGCTCGAAATAAGTCTCTATAGACACTGATACCGGCCACTGGGAAAGTCTCTATAACACATAAGATGAAGGATCTGCGAGGTAAGAAGTAGGGCTCTGCCGCCTTGAATGGGGATATCAAGATGACTATGCCTGCTACGACAAGGAATATAGTAAACATCATGACTTCTATGGTCGAACATTGAATATTGAATATTGAATCTCTGTGTGGATGACCCAATCAGCACGTTGGTGACATCATCGCGTCATATGCATGATGTTTGATCCCGCGGAACCAATTGGCGTCCACCTGTCCTGCAGCATGCCATCTGCGATGGTATTCAGTCACGAGAAGACGAGACATTCGGACACTATTTCCTACAGAAGCTAAGGAAAAGACAACGGCGAACGTAATATACAGACACCTGTTATTGTAATTCACTGTAAAATGACACGCGACGTCTGAAGGTGATCGGTACGCTTGTACATAGTAAGTGTAGGCATTTGGATGACTTTGTCCTCCGAGATAGATTCACAAAGTTATAATAATCTTGAAAGGGTCCGATCCGCCCCCTTCCAAGCCAGCTATCGTTGCCCGGCGTACAGCGTCAAGGTATTCCCCAAGCCTTCGGCCATCGAGATGCAAGAAATCATCATACAGCTTGTA